ATAGTTGCAGTTTCGGGAACAGGGGGAGGGGGAGGGGTGGGAACATCTGAGGAAGCGGGTGCTTCTTCCCTTTGAGCTGGCAGTGACGGTTGCTGTTCATTCGTAGAAGACGGGAGAGATTCATTCGTTGACCCAGCAGCTTCTTTCGACGTTGCGTCTACGGGGAAAGGCTCAGTTTCTACTTGTGATTCTTTCGGTTGGGCACTCGTGGTTGAAGACGCTTGCGCGCTGGCAAGCTCAGAAGAAGCTTGAGGAAGTTCATCCAAATCCATGGATTCCTTCGCAGCAACAGGGGTCGTTTCTGGTTTCAAGGCAGCTGCCTCTTTCTCCGGTTGTGTGGCTGGCAAATCTAAATCTACCTCTGGCGTAGTCTGTGACCCAGGATTTGTCGACACTTGAACGTCTGCTGGTGGAGCTGTAGCTATTTCTTGACTTAGTGGTGATTTGGGGCGGGATGCTTCGAGTGGAGAAAGGGGAGAAGCAGTATCGGCAGCCTCAACTTTAGTGGTGCCCACCACCCCATTACCGTTTACTACCGGCGAAAGAGGTTTGTTTTCATCTGTAGCAGCAGGCTCCTTGACTACCTGGGCTTCAGAAGACATGGTTTCAGAAAGCCTCACGGCAACTGTTTTCGTTTCTAGAGTCGGGTTACCACTATTGTTTTGGTAGGTTACGGCAGTTAGCCTGAATGATCCCGCCACGTCTCTAAAGCATTCATGGCAGCAGTACAAAGAGGTATATACGGGATATATAATAGAATAGATAGATACAAAGCAAAATATAGAAACAGATATAGGTAGAGAGAGAGGGAGAGTACTCACCCAAATAAGTTCGCATCAAGAGAAACCTGATCAACAACGGGAGGTTGCTGGGGCTTGCTCTCCGCGACAGCAGTGTCTGGGGGAGGAGTTGCCATGACCATCAGCGACGATCACGTGAGGCAACACAGGGGGTGATAGATGAAGGGTAAACACGCGCGCGCCCTGGCCCGCCGGGAAATCCGAGCACCAGAGAAAGGAGAGGGCGGGATAGAGTCCGTCTTGGATGAAGAGGATAGACAGGACGTATTAACGCGTCACGGAGCAAATAGAGTAGACCAATTGAGAGAATGCGCGACTCTGGTAAGCTTGGCTGGCTGGGCGGGAAATCTGATATTAATCCCGACTTTTGATCTTGTTGTTTTGTTTTTGGGCCACAAAGCTATGGGTCGATGTCCCCTATCTCTAATCTAAGTCAGAATATTATATTAGACTAGACACGACAGAGTTATGGTCAGAGCCATGCGTGGATAAAAGAGATGTTGTATGTATGAGAAAGCAGCCGGCAGCAGCAAAAGAAAATCAAGTAATATCCACTAGATATTAGTAAACACAGGGTACAATGATTGAGAAAAGAATAATTTCCCACAACAATGTCTGCTTTTCTGTTGCGTGATTTGTTGTTGACAGTGGTTTCAATAGGGGGTGGTTGGCGAGACAGTAGTGCCAAAGAGGGGGGGAAGCAGAAAAGGAAGAAGAAGAAGCAGAGCGAAGGATGCGCAATTTATATTGCCAAGAAAGTTGACGGGAAAGCTTGTGGCCACGTGGAAAGATGACTAAGCAACAGGCAGCGGAACAGAGCAGAGCTGCTGGAGAGCGAGGTAAAAGAGTGCAGGTGATTGGCTAGGAATGAAGGAGGGAAGAGAGGAACACTCCGTGCACTGACAAAAAGCCAGCGGAAAAAAAAGGTGATGCGGAGAATCCCGCTGCTAACCAGAAAAGGACAAGGCAGGAGCGGAAAAAGCTACCTAGGTAACTGGTAGGGGATGTACTGTACATGTACGGAGTACATATCAGATGACAAAGAGACTGGAGAGTACAGGAGGCTAGGAATCATATGGGACGTGCATGTAAGTGTGTGTATGAAGTGTCCAAGTTATACAAAAATTATTATGCCCTAGAATTATTCACGGGGCAGCACTTAGAGGAATACAGTCTCACAACAAGGCAAGTCAGGGTCGGCCTTGCAGCTGGGCAAATAAAAAAATACAGGCCAACTAGGAAGTGGCAATAAGCGGTAGAAGACAAGGGGCAATAATACGAACCGAATTGATAAATCTGACAGTGCAGAAAGGCCGTGCGCGTAAGGATACAAGCCGCGTTTCTAGGGTTGGGCTGGGTTGGTGAGCAGACGAAAGCGTGGCGATAAGGGAGATAAAGTGCGTGACGGGAAGACGCGAGGCGAGGAGGCGAGCAAAAAGAGAGACTGAGGAAACAGAGGGGATGCTAGAATCCTTAAGTACGGGCAGTCCTCTCGCTGCCAGTCCGTGCCAGGGAACCAGAGCAGTCTGTCCCGCTAGCCTCGGATGACGCTACTAAAGGCGGCGATCCTTGTTGATGCCATTCTGCCCGCGTTGATTGGCTGCCACGCGTCATCCTGGTCTTGGCGTATGTTCTCATTGGCTATAGTGCCCTCCCCTTTCCGAATCACACGCCCCACCATCCCTGTTCATATTGTAATTTTGCTCTGCTTTTCGGTATTTTGGTTACATTCTGTTTGCTGCTTCTGGCCTGCTTTCAAGGCTTCAATGCCGAAACCAAACCGCTGATACAAACACAGAACAAAAGTTACCGCCTTGCCACAGCCACAAAATAGATGACTGTATCACTGACTGTTCTCTGTATTGACGTAATAAACATGTCCTGCAAACCCCCCAGTCCAGTCCATGACATGCATCCTTGATACACACATAATATTGTTTTTTTAGGCAGCGCAAAATTGATCAATTTAAGATGTGATACATACACAATATTTAACATTCCATGCATGTTTCTTGTCAGAAATAAACCACAAGGAGGCGACAGGATTGTGCAATCCAGGAAAACCTGGAATTACCTAGGTATTCCCCCCATGCGGAATAATAATAATAGAACAGTCTGCAATTAGGGCTTAGCCGGTACCTTTTTTCCTGCTTTTGATTTCCTAGGGTTTAACCCCGACACTTCTCCGTTTTTGACTACTCCGTATAGAAATAATAATAATGCCGTTGCGGGCAGGTCGCCAAATTCGTATGCCAAGATTTTTGGGGGAAAATCAAGTGCCTGGCCAACCAATGAAATTCGTCCACTGGCTGTTCGCAAACTTCTATGCTTACTTAATACGCGAACTAACAGGAGGCTACCCGCCTTGGAAGCGCGTCCTTCTTCCGCTCTATATCCGCCCGCTGTGCCTGTTGCTTCATCCTTTATTCATCCTCCTCTTGGAGCAAGGCAGACCTTTAACCTGTCCCAGCCTGAAACACTGCTGCAGAAACTGCGTATCATTGGGAGTGGAGAGGCTGATTTATACAGAATATATCAAATCATTCCCGAAATTGTTATCAGAACCTGGGAGGTCAATGAGCAGTACTCAATCCACAACATCTATATATTCAGCGCTCAGATACCGGTGGAACTTGATTTCCAACACTTAAAAATCATTTCACTCTATATGTGAATGAGTAATTTTTGTTCACCTCTCTTCATTTCTCTTTTCTTTCAGAAACAGGCAACCCCTTGCAGATACTCTAGGGTAGTTACACTTGCACTTACACATATACCCAACCTTCACCCACACTTGCCCACACATTCAGTCATGTCACAGTTGATCAACCTGAAAGCCAAAAAAAAAAAAAAGAGAAAAATCCAGCAACAGCATCAATCATGCATCCTGCAATGTCTCCATCCCATCATGGCTGCCACGCTGCAATCTAAATATAGATAACTAGGGATTGATTACATCACCAAATGCAGGTGGTCTGGCCCACTTACCTAGGCACCTAGGTACCCCCAACGGAGCTTTTTGAGCGATGTGTGTGTCTGCGCAGAGAAATCTTTATCCTATGAGGATATCCTTGGAACCTCTGCGTTTGTGTGCGTGTGAGGCCACCTCCTCCTCCCCGCCCCAGCGTCAGGTTTCATGGGCCGTGGGATGCTGATGATAGTTTCAATTTCCCCGAAACTTCCTCTTATATTCTCTTGTCCTGGCAAAAAAAGGATAAATTTATCCTTGGACTGTTTTACCTTGCTCCCCGTGATTAATATACGCTGGAGGTTTACTGGCCCGTCCTTCTAGGTCTGTAAACTTTGTCAACCATTGGCTTTTCAGGGAGTGATTTCGCAGTGTCATTTCACTCGGAGCATGAAATTTGAATGGGTGGTTGATGTTCTTTTTGTTCTTCCTTTCATTCCTTTGTTCAATGAATCCTGAATGAACAAAATTTTACAATTCATATGATACATTATCATCTGTCTTGAAACTAATGGCTTCTGAACATTCACAATCATATCAGATGGGGCGTTTTTCCCCTCTATTCATTTGATTCCTTAGTGAGGATGGAATGAAGGCAACTTGCTGTTGAGCGACAGGAAGGCCAAAGATATTCAGCTTTTTGGAAACATTTTGTTAGGATATCAGGAGATTGATAAGAATTAACAGGATGTCTGTGGCAGGTAATATGAGCGAGAACTGGTTGCTGCACGGATAGGGTGGCCGCCTGAAACAGCGAAAGGTGAGGACGTCGCAGGAGCTAGCATTTACCTGCCCACCTGGCATAACCACAGGAAACAGGAAATGACTAGTATTTAACTCCTGCTTGGCTTCTACTCGCTTATCCTTCTCTCCTTTCCATTCGCGAGGCAAAAGAAGCTTCCACAAAGGCAACAATATCATCAATGCCTTCCGGCTCCCTTATCCGGTGTCCTTCATTATCCGCTCCAGAGTGTTCGACCCAATCCACATGCAGCCCGATTTTGGTTTAAGTTTCGACATGCCTGTCGACCTAGTTCAACATCAATCCACGCATCGTCTGTTCCGTGCAATAATAGAATAGGCGTAGACAACATTCTTTCAACGCTGGGCTGTGTTGATCGCTTGAGTTCCCTCGCATGCAATGATATCAAGAAGGAATTTTGGGACCATACAACCAACTTTCATTCCTCGCTGAGGCAATGGTCGCATCCAGAGGAATTTTCGAAGATAAGTGAACATTAAAGTCATTCGTAGAAGGATAACCTATCATTCAATCACTAATCAGCTTGAGTCAAGACTCCACTTTCTCTCTTGCCATACCAGACACATTCGGCCGGAGAGGAAAAGCTTAGGGTTGGGTACATTGCATAGACATTCGGTCATGAGCACGTATTAAATAGCAGCGACCAACAAGCTTGGTATCATCTAATCAAAGGCACAGTCCAACTTTCCCAGTCATTGATGAGAGCAATGTTGCTAAGGCAAATGTAATGTAGTGTACTTGGTAATTAATCTCTATGAAGGGGTCGGCCTCGGAATAACCTTTCTGTCCCTGGCGGCATTCTGACTAATCTGGTCTATTACTTGGCGCTAACCTCGATCCGGCCAGGCGCGATATTTTTCAGCATCAACTTTTTTTCACACAAGCAAAACATCCAAACGCGGGAAGTACATGTGTTGAGAGAGAGGAATATAAAGAGAGAGAAAGAAAAGAGAGTTTTGCCAGGCGGCCGGATTCAAACATCCCATCCACTCCACCGTATAACCCCGGTACAGCTCCCGACAAATTTGCGGATCTGCACATTCCGCTACTCTCCTCCCCCTCTCCGCCTCCTTCAATCCCTTACCGCATCTCCCCCTCGACATATCTAATATAAAAACCATGGGGACCAAGAAGGGCTCAAGAGGCCCCGTGTCGAAAATCTCCTCGGCCGCAGCTCCATCAGCATCCCCCTCACCTCTCTCTGCAAATAAATCTTCCATCCTCCGCTCCGCATTCTCCCCATCCGAGTATCAACTGGCGCTTTTTGCATCTGTCATCCAGGGCCTTGACTCGCAGCATCTCCGCGTGCATGAGATAGGTTCGGGCCGTCTACATTGCGAGCATGCAGTGAATCCAAGAGAAGCCATCACTTCGCTGGATTGGGGGTACTATGGTGATTCTCATCAGGGCAGAGATCGCGATCAACATACGAAGAAGAAACGCAAGCGCAGCTCATCTGGGGTAAATGGCATTGTCAATGCTGATGGCGATAATGCGAGCAATGTGGCTATTGCCTTTGGTACAAGTTCGTCTGATATTCGAATGTACTCGCCCGCTGAAGATAGGATCGTTGGGACTCTTTCGGGCGGACATGAAAAGGGTATTAGGGATTTTAAGTTCACGGTGAACAATCCGGGGGCTGAAGGGTGGAGTATTGGTGGCGACGGGAAGCTTGTGCAGTGGGATCTAAAAGCTGGCCGGAGTATACGGTATGCTATGACTTCTTTCAATTTCAATTTCCGTTGTTCGTCTCCTGCTGGCAACTGAAAAAATTGCTTTCTCTAACAACGTATGTTTCTTTAGAGTCATTTCTCTGCCGTCAGCTTCTGTCTCTGCGCTTGCGCGGCCCGTTCCATCCAATCCTCCTATCCTATGTGCTTCACAAACGCCGTATCTAATAGGCCTTGAAGGCACTGATGGTGTGGTCTCGTTCAGTGCCATGAAAAACTCCATCCATACACTAATACCGTCTTCCACTGATCTTGGAAATCTCTCAGAGCAATTCCTTGCTTCTGATTCTGACCGTTACATCAACATCTTTGATATCCAGAAAAAGAAAATCGCAAATACTCTAGTGGCTGAGAGCGACATAGATCAATTGGCGTTCTATTCGGCCCCTCAGAAGGGCGGCCAGGGTAAGGATAGTAAGGAATCTACAAGATCAGATCAATTGCAAAGACAGTTTCTTGCTGTAGTTACGCAGAATGGTGTCATCGAATTGTTTTCTAAACCCTTTCACCAACTCCAGTCTGCCGGTTCCGCGCACAGTCTGAAGCCGCGAGGAAAAGCAATGACACGCCGTGCGGAAGCTGTAATTAAGATTGTCAGACCTGATAAATCTCGAACAGTGGTACCTGTCGCTTCGGTTAGCTTCCAGGGACCTGATTTGGTCGTTGCATGGGCTGAAGGCGGTGTTAACCTGGTGTTTGAAAGGATACGTTGGCAAGACGAGGATACAGAAGAACTCGTGTTCCAGGGAGAGAAGGAAATTATGCGCGGCAAGTCCGCATCCATGCTTGGATCCGGAATGATGAATGGAGTCAAGAATGTTGGTAGGACTCAAGTGGATGAGTCCCATGCAGTTGTGGAACAAGGCGGGGTTGCAGAAGGAATCCCCATGGAAGAGGAGGGCGAGAAACAGAGAACCCACATTCCAGTCCCCAGTGATGATGAGGAAGAAGCCTCTGATGAAGAGGATGAAGATGAGGACATGGAGGAAGAAAAAGAAGACCCCGCACAACCCAAACACGCGTCAGAGCCCGCAAAAACACAAGAGCAACAGGAAGATATCGACATGGTGGACGCCGACGCAGAAGAAGGTGGCGAGCCCTCCTTCGGCGAACTTGTCCGCGCCCACGCCGCCGAACCCATCGACGTCGAAGCAGAGCTCGACGACGCAAACGCAGATATAGACGCCCACACCCGCGCCCTTACCTCTACAGCCAACAAGTCCAACACCGCTCTCCAGCTCCCCACCGGCCTCTCTCTCTCCACCGTCCTCTCCCAAGCTCTCACGACGAACGACAACTCCCTTCTGGAATCCTGCTTCCACACCACAGACATGAACATCGTCCGCGCCACGATCCAGCGCATGAATTCGTCGCTCGCTGCCACCCTGCTCCAGAAGCTCGCTGAGCGCCTCTCCAGCCGCCCTGGCCGCTACGGCCACCTGCTCGTCTGGGTGCAGTGGACATGCATTGCGCATGGCGGCTCGATTGCGGGGAGGCCGGAGGTGCTGCGCAAGATTACCGCGCTGTTTAAGGTGATGGATCAGCGGTCGGCGAGTTTGCCGTCTCTTCTGTTGTTGAAGGGGAAGTTGGATATGCTTGATGCGCAGCTGGGTCTTAGGCAGAATCTGCAGCGAGCTGCTGGTCCTGGTGGTCGTGGCCGTGGCGCCGGCACGGTGGGTTCTGAGGAAGATGATGAAGATGATGTTATTTATGTTGAAGGCGAGGAGGATTTGGTGGATAGTGAGGATGAAGATGGAGATGGACTCAGACGCATTAAGGGCACTGCTGCCGCTGGTGGTGTGGCTGCGAAACGAGGCGTGCTCGGTGCGGGTCTCGGCGATGGAGAGGAAGAGGATGATGAGGACATGCCCTTAGCTATTAACGGAGTGGCATCCGATGAGGAGGAGGAGGATGGTGAAGAGGAGGAGAGCGAGGACGAGGAGGTAGAGTTATTTGATGATGAGGCAGAGGAATCTGAGGATGGAGAAGGTGCCGGTGGGGAAGATGATGAGGAAGACGATGAAGACGACGAGGATGAAGGGAGTAGCATGGCGGACTTTATTGCGGGTTCTGAGGAGGATGAGTCTATTGATCTTGCTCCTACTTCGTCGAAAAAAGGGAAGTTAAAACATGGAAAATCGCGAAGATAGATGCATAGAGATTATTTTTTGTACTTTGTTTCTTCCCTGTTGTTACCTCACCCATTTGTTTTCTATTCATCCTGTTTCAGGTATTTTTTTTATTTCTTTGGGCTTTTTATAAACACGGTCCATTAAAATTTGGTTCTTCGTTCAAGTTTTGCTGGCAGTTAACTAGCTCCCACTCTGCATGTACGTAACTGGTCTTTGGCTCCTTAGTATCCTATCGTGCCTCTCTAGGTATGAGATTTTACTTATATAATTTCGAAATAAATATAAACCTAACTCTGATAAATAGTCTGTTTCCAACTCCTTCACAGCGTTTAAAAGTAGGTGGTTCAGTCTAACCCGGAAAATTTGAAGATATATTTATTTTAACCCACACTCTAATTCTCACCCGGTGCTAACTACAAGACAAAAAGAGGGAGAATGAAAACGACCCGAAAATTGATAAGAATAACATTGATTCCATAACCATCTATACCGGAGCCATTAGCCATAGAGAATCTAAGCTAAGAATGCAGAAAATAATAAGTCCACCCAAGAACGCTGAATCTAGGAATGACTAAGGATTAGTCGGCAGGATAGAGAAGGCCCCAACCTAACAAGACACGTTCAAATCCTAGGGCTTCAAAGAAGAAAAAGTGAGCGGAAAAAACAGGGTATGACTTCACAGCGACCCCGCCGTCTAGGGGAACAAACAAAACGCGATATGGGGTATTTATCTAATAACCTCGCTTCCTTCCCGGTCAATCCCCTCCAAACTCTCCAGTATAGGACTCCCGCCCAACTGACCAGTGGCCCCAGCCGTACTCTTCTGTGACCCACTCCAGACCTCATGGAACTTGACGCACTCGTCGCTAGAGGCCACTATGATGCATCCTTCTTCTGCAGTGCGGGACCACCACGTACCGCCTTCCCGATACGCGACACGTGGTCTTGTTATCGGGCTGCTAGCGACTATTGTAGAAGTAGTATTTACGGAAGAGCCAGTAGAATTAGATCGGTTAGAACCATCTCCCGTCGCGGGGTTGTGGGGTGCTGCTATGACTGTAGAGCTCGACGATGAGGTCGAAGGTACACGTTCATCCGCACCAGTGTGGGTCATATCATTGGGACCTCCGGGATAGCTGATCGCCCACAAGGCACGACCACAATCATGCGAGTTGTCAAGGTCCGTGCTACCAGCTCCACCATCAGGAGCTGGGCTCCAGGGGATAGCTACCACTTCCTGACAACTGGGCCATGCGAAAACAGCTACACGGAACGGGTGTTCCGGTTGCGCATATCCAAACGTGGCTGCGATCTCCCGCCGTGTCTTGCTCCAAATGAGGCTTGTCACCTGAGCATGGACGTTGATCGTGGCGAGGCAGGCTCCTGATCCTGTATGGAAGAAATGGATGCAACGATCATTTGACCCACCCCCTGTGGCCAAAAGTGATGGCTGCCAAGGCGCAAAAGCGATTGCCTTCACCGCGGCAGAGTGGTGAAATTTGTATTTCTGTCGGTTGGCTGGTATAAAAATAGTCTGATGCTGCCTAGATCCTAAAAATCCAGCTTGTCTTGGGGCGGAGTCCTGTGCAACTCCAGAGGAAGGCGCACTACTGAGTGCATGGGGTATGGAAAACTGATTGAGCCGGCCCCAGTCGAAGATACGATTTAAATTCGAATGATAAGGGAAACGGGAAAGACTGCCGCGAGCTTGGGGCGATGCTGGTGGATTTGTCGTCTCTACGGAGGAGCTGGGTTGTCCATTTCTGTCACTCTTGCCTAGAATATCCGGAATATCAAACAAGAGGCAAGCGTTATCATTGCCTCCGGTTGCAAGATATTTACCATCAGGGGACCACACCATGCCGCATATTTGCTGGGTGTGCGCAGAGATCTTTGCAATCAACGTTGTCGCTCCGTTCCACCCATGGCGATCTCTTGTTTTCGAATCTGGCCATTCTACAGAATAATACCACACGTTACCTGCATCGTCTCCAACAACCAAATCCTCGGTATCAACAACCAATCCTTGAAACCTGGTTGACTGTCTTTTGGTTGTGACTTGTTTAAATGAGACGCAGGAAACAGCAGTCCGTTGGTAAAATTCAAATCGAACATCAGTATCGAAAGTGCTCCAAAGCGAAACTTGACCACCGTGTCGACCAATAGCCAAAATGCTTTTACCCCCTTGAGGTGAAGAAAAGGAAAGAGAAGTCACATAGTTTGAAGCAAGATGAGGCGCCAATGGTGGGTATTGCACGCCGAGAATCTCTGACCAGAGGTACACACGGCTACTCAGTCCAACGGCCAGCAGGCGAGCAGTATACGAATACGCGAGGGTAGAACAGTAGAAATCGTCACGCAGAAGAGGGGCATCGAGAACCCGGAAAGGCGTCGATGGAACTGCAGATCGTGCTGGTTTGGACGTACTTTTGTGCACTACTATTTTTGTCGAGTTAATGAGAGTCAATTAGAATGCGCCTGTCTCCTCGGATACAATCTTATATTCTTCCATAAATATTTTCGGGAAAATGTGAGATGCGAGATATCAAAAGGGAATGGGATGATGCGACAGGTCCTCCAGGAGACGTATAATATCCGTAAATATGATGCATGTAAGTCGAGCTGTTAAGAGAAAAAAAAAAAAAAAAAAAAAAAAAAAAAAAAGAGGAAATAAAATCAAAAGAATTGGGGATGCCGGTAAGATATTGTGGAAACAGAGGCACACAATACTCACATGTATTGCTATTTGCTCGTATCCAGCTACTATGCTTCCACACGTAAGGAGAGTACTTCTCAAGTTGAGCGGCTTCTGCGAGATATCCCGGATCCATAAACAGGGAAGGGTCCCCAAAATTCAGGACTTTATTTGCCTGGTCGATATCTAAAGCGGTTGCAAGGCGAGATTCGTGACGTTTGAGGTGCTGAATATGCGTGTCCTTGTCCAGAAAGTTTGCAATGTACATCGGGGCATTCGTCCCGGTTGAAATAAGCCCTCCGCGGCCATTGTCGACACCCACGGGTGCACGTCCGGTTGCAGCGGCTGTGCCTCCCACATTCCAAACCGCCCCGGCGCTGATCTGGCGCTGGTTTCCGCGGCCAGCTGGCCTGTCATTCCTTGCGTAAACTGACGTGTCGCTAACATGTCGCGGTAAGTGATGAGGAGTATCTCTACGGTCCGACGATCGACTTGACCTAGAGAGACCAGCACGTCTCCTTGGCTGGTATGGAGCAAACGGGTCTGCTCTAGGGTCTCGTCGCCGTAGCAGTTTCTCTCCTGGAGAAAGCAAACGCGGATTTTTGCTTAAGCGGAATGCAGGTACATCTGTAGCATAAGGCTCACGAGCTGGGATAAAGCGGTCTGGAGACAAGAACCTCTTGCGAGCAACTGGTGATGGACTTCTGATTAAGCTCCGCCTTCTCTCAAGTGTGTTGAGTAAGCCGGAGCGAACTGGGCTGTGATCTACCTCGACACCGTCTGGTTTCTTCCCTTGGCTGAAGTAGCTATCACTTAAAGGGCTAGTGATATTGCGGCTGGATCCAGGACTGGTAATTGATTCTAGAGTGGGCGAAGGAGAGGAGTCTACATTAACCTGAGACGAAGTGGGAGAAGACGAACCCAACGATTGGGCTTCTGGGGAAGACGCTGTGGAGGCTGGCCCAGATATTGTTTGTTCAACAGGAGAATCAGGGACGAGAGTTAAGGAGAGACTGTCGCCATTCCTGCTAGAGCTTAACTCTTCTAGTGACTGGCATCTCGAGAGCATTGCTGCCGCCCAGGCAGAGGGGCGCCGGCTGGCTCCACCATCAAATCACTACGTGAAATGCGATGTGATTGATAATAAAAGCAGCGATGGCGACAAAGAAAGACAATATGTACAGCATTAAAGATGGTGTGATAGTTTCCTGTAGCTAACAATGCTAGTTAGTAGTATGTCTGTGGAATTTGTTGACCTGTGCAGCGTAAAGCGGGAGTAGTTATGGGAGGATATGAGGTGGATCGAGCTGCCAACCGGGCAATGCCCCTTCTGCCATCCGTCTTCTGACAATAGCTTCTTGCGCTTCGTCCTCCATTGTAGCTGCTTGTTACTGCACGGTATTTGCCTTGTTCCTGGTTAGTTCCTGGAATATTTTATGTTGTGTGTTGTTTGTTTGAGGTTGAGATGAGGCTGAAGTTGGACGGCGATGATGAGGGAAGTCGTCGCGGAGGACAGTCACGTGCTGATAGCGAGTTGCGGCTGGCCGATAAGGGAGAGTCAACTGCTGGCAATTTCCTCCTGCTTGTTCCCATCCACTGGATCTATATCTATATAGTATGTCAGGGTTAATATATACAGAATATACCGGATATTAAATTATATATTTATCATGGCAAGTGTAGGTTTTCCCTAATTTTCCTCACCTCGCGTCTTCCAGCTAACCTCGAAATGGTTTTTGACTAGCATGGAGTCCCACGTTATGACACTTCCAGACAAAGGACGGAGGGAGCGCGGCAGAAAGAGCTCCAGAAGATACGGGCATATAATGAACTTGTCCGGATCGTGAATTCACAGGTAAACGCTCACTTGATTGTAGATACGGAAGACAATGCATAACCAAACATACTGACACTGTCAACTAGAGAGCAGAGCGCAATTTCAGTACAGAGGCCTTGAACAAAACTTCAGAACTGCTCACTACCAATCCAGAATATTATACGATATGGAATACGCGGCGCCTAATACTGCAGCATCAGTTTTCTATGGCTACGTCTTCTACAGATGGAGGAAATAGCGATGACCAAATCAGGAACATTATCAAATCCGATCTTCAATTTCTGTTCCCCCTTCTTCGGGGGTATCCCAAGTGCTACTGGATCTGGAATCACCGCCTCTGGGATCTAGAGCAAACCACGCTCCTGCTTCCGGCTTCTGTCTCCCGTAGTTTCTGGCAGGAGGAACTTGCGCTCGTGGGCAAAATGCTCAGCCTGGATAGTAGGAACTTCCACGGTTGGGGATACCGTCGACAAGTCATATCGGCACTCGAAGAGTTGGCTTCCAACGATGATGCAAAAGAAGGTAAAAATGACAGCGCACCGGCACCGAAAAGCATGGTAAAGGCTGAACTCGACTACACAACCAAGATGATTGGTACTAATCTATCCAATTTCTCCGCCTGGCATAATCGAACGCAACTTATTTTACGGCTGCTGGATGAACAGGCAGCTAGCAGTGAGGAACGGCAGAGGATGTTGGATAATGGTAAGCCAATCTACTCATCGAACGAACTGGGTTTATACAATTCATTAGATTGCGTTGATTATTAACACGGGACACCACTCAACCCTTCTTGTGGGACACTTAGAGCTGAAATTGATCCATCGGGCTTTAATCGATCCATATGACCAGTCGCTGTGGTTCTACCACCAGAATCTGATGTGCACTTTTGACCCACCGCTGGCTTCGGGAACGATGGCACCAAATCTTACGGATGCTGAGCGGTTAAAATATCTTGAGAACGAGGTTGAGGCTATTACTGAGATGTTGGACGGAGAGGAAGACTGCAAGTGGATTTATCAGGCTCTCATTAACTGTGGCGCGATTATTTCTCGCGTCGAAGGGGGGATGTCGACGGAAATGAAACAGCGAATTTCTAGATGGGTATGTGAGCTAAAAAGGCTTGACCCACTGAGGCAAGGGAGGTGGCTGGATCTGGAGGCCTCATTGAGCCTGTAAAAGCGGCGATGTTTCATGATACACCAAAACACACAAGGTAACTACTGTACATACATTCCACTGCATCTCCGCTGGATGGAATGCGTGGTATTGGATTTATTTATTTATTTTTTTTTTTAAAAAAAAAGTTTTAGACGTGTGTTTCATGGGCCGAATAAATTGATAATCTGCATCTAGGTGCAATGTATGTCCAGTGTTGAAGATTTAAGTTTCCGGGCCGCCGGATCCAATCAAAACCAAACCAATAGTTAACCAACAGCTTTGGGACACCTCTAGATTGTTGTTATGTGTGCGCATTTGTATACATTCTCCTATTATCCAGACTGGACAATTGTTCGACCTTTGGGGACAAAGAGAGCGGCAACAAGGCCAAACAGATGTACTCGATCTCCAACTGTTGGTAGTGGTTAAGTAAACTCACTCACTCACTCACTCACTCACACAAATACACACACACATGCAGTTGTTTCAATATAATAATAAAATAGGTTAGCCAACATTATCTTGCCGGTTGAGGCTCCGAGGAATCTGATGCATGTTCCCGATCGAGTAAATTGCAGCGTGGGCGCCTTGTGAAAGATACATATATATATATATATATATATACCCGCCCCTGGATAACTACCAGTTTAGAGGTACACACACTTGGGCAATCTGATTTTCGAAAAAACAGACGAAGTAAACGTACAGCATGGGTATATTTTGACAGAGACACAGTTTCAAAACAATAATATATCGCGAGGCGACCAGGACTTCGGCTTCAACAGGTGGCCAATATCGTAAGACCAAGCCTCTCTCAGACTAGGCCATTGTTCCTTAATTGCAGATGTTTCAAGATGCCTCCGTCCCTCGTCGTCACTCTCCCGCCATACGATACGCTGAAGACACAGTAGTAGTAAGTTAGCTAGTAGAACAATGGATGGTTTGACTGCTGCTCTGTCGTAAGTCAAGTCGAGTTGGAGAAAACGCCGCCGCCGCCGCCGCCGCCGCTGCTGCTGCTGCTGCTGCAATGTTCCAACACCCAACATCAACAACTCCTCACCACCACCACCACACAACAGTCTATCTAAATAGTCTAATAACCACGTCGTTCCATTTCAAGCACCGTGCCTGGCGATCTTCGCTTCTTCTGCTGCTTTTCTTTTTTGTGCTCATCCCATTTCTTCTTCTTCTTCTTCTTCTTCTTCTTCTTCTTCTTCTTCTTCTTCTTCTTCTTCTTCTTCTTCTTCTTCTTCTTCTTCTTCTTCTTCTTCTTCCTTTCTGTGTTCACTTCCCTCTTGACTGATCTGATTGATTGATTATTGCTGAAACGCAATTTCTCGAAAGCACCGCCCGCCTTGTGCAGTATTTAAAATAAATAGTACCCGAAGGCTATTTTTTGGGTTGTTCTCATACGCAAACCAACCATTCCATTCCTCCTTAATATACCTGTCCATGTGGAGTTAATTTTAGTTCATCTTTCTTACCCCATCCCATCCGCTGTGCTAAGAATTTAATTTATCCAATCTGGTCGAAACAAAACTGTCTATGGACTCCGCCTTCTCTACTTCTTAGCAAGGCTTAAATATTGTGAACGACCGACATCTGCTACACTACATGCACACGACCAGCCATGGTATCCAGCAGCGCGGAGAATACGGACTATGAAGCTGTGGGCTACAATTCCCCCTCTCTCTCCCTCCCAATTGCCCGTTTATCCGTTTATGCTCCTGTTAAACAACTAAAATAGAATAGAATAATTGCTCATTATAATATTCGTCTGTAGGATGCCTTCGAAGACGCACAAGATACTGCTGCACAACGTCCCGAATCCCCTATTCCCCAAAGCGCTACCCGCTCTCTAACCGACCGTCGACCTTCCAATGGATCTCTGACCACCCCGCGCGCCACCACCCACCCTCCCTTGCCCATACCAGAGATGAAACCGAGTGGCCAGGATGATACGCTCTCACCAGTATCTCCTGTGGGAGGTGACGAGACCCCGAAGAAACAGAAACCTGCAAAATCACCCCTATTAACTGCTCACCGCCTCTCCACAACGTCTCTCGATGAAATCAATTTAGCTGCGCCAAAGGAAGGGGACGAGGACGAGAAAACGCAACAGCCATCCTCAGACTCGTCAACTGGCCCTCCCCCCCTTCCCTCGAGAGACTCCCAGAAGCAAACTGGCCGCCTACAAGGTTTCTCCGCTTCCCTCCCGTCCGTACCGTGGGGACCCCCGCCATCAACCAAACATCAACCACCCACAACCCAATTAGCGAATCCACCCCAACCCTCCCGGAAACTTACTAGTCCGTTTTCCTGGCTTTCGCGGGCTAGTACGGGCGGTAAAGATGTAAAACCCTCCTCCGGATCTGTGGATAGCCGGAGAAACACAGCGGCTTCGATATCGACAGTGGGTAGCAATCCTGAGTTGCTGGCCCGGTTACAGGAAGGCAGTGATGGGGATTCCGCGAGCCTGGATTCGAGGAGGCAATTGCGGAACAGCTTGAGAGACCAATTCAAGCAGCTAAGGATGCGGAACGAGGGTGTTTCTGATGAAGCAGCTAGTGTCACCTCTGGCCAGGATGATGGCCGAACCAGCGTCATTGGGAGTCCAGCAAGCGGATCGGATAGGGGTGAAACTGGGCTTGCTGCTCCATCTGCTTCATCCCCTGTGGCAACATCCCCAGGTCTACCTCCAACCGTCAATCCGAACCTAGCTCCTGGCACCGTCTCTGGTATATCCTCCTCCGCAACCGATGCCTCGGCTCCTGTTGATTGGGAGCTATGGCAACATATCGTCAACCTGGGGCCGGAGGCCCTTAAAGGATCCAATGCCGAAGAGTTGAATGCTGCTATCAAGAGAGGTATTCCGCAAACGATCCGTGGAGTTATTTGGCAAGTTCTTGCGGACAGTAGAAATCCCGAATTGGAGGATGTGTATAGAGAACTCCTAGCACGGGGCACGGAAAAGGATCGAGATCGCTACTGGAGCATCAGCTCTGCCATAACTCTTAACGGCCAAGGGAATGGAGTGTCCAAGGATAAAGAGAAGGAATCACTCGCCTCTTCCCGGTCCTCAGTTGATTCCGGCCGTTCGAGTCCCACAGCTAACTCAACCAATGGCGTCGTCTCTCCCCTTTCAATACCGGAAAAGGATTCGGAAACGGTATTAAAAGCACAGGCAAGTCTCGAAGCCGCTCGGAAGAAAAAATCAAAGGAGGATGCCATCGCTCTTCAGAAACTGGAGAAGGCTATCAGGCGGGACCTGGGGTCGAGGACAAGTTACTCGAAATACTTCTTATCACAGCGCAACCAGGATGGTTTGTTTGGACTCTGCAAAGCCTATGCACTATACGATGAAGGGGTGGGCTATGCTCAAGGGATGAACTTCATTGTTATGCCTTTATTATTTAATGTAAGTGCTCATTGGTTTTCATTCCGGCGAGGTATGATTTGTGACGTATTATCATTCTAACATGGGATAATAACAAAACTAGATGGATGAGGGTGAAGCATTTACTCTTTTGGTTAAGTTAATGAACAAGTACCGCTTACGAGATATGTTCATCCAAGACATGCCAGGGCTTCACATGCGCCTGTACCAGTTCGAGCGCTTACTAGAGGATCTGGAACCTGCCCTGGCTTGTCATCTACGTCGACGTGGAGTTACTCCCCAGCTCTATGCGACGCAGTGGTTTCTGACATTGTTTGCATACCGATTCCCGCTACAACTTGTCCTCCGCATCTATGATTTGATCTTCGAAGAAGGGCTAGAGCCCACAATCCTCAGATTCGCTGTCGCGATCATGCAGCGGAATACCGAGGCATTGCTGGAGATGAACGATATGACTTCGCTGACTAATTTCCTAAAAGAAAAATTATTCGACGTCTATATCGACCAACAACCTTCTGCAAGTTCGATTCTCGAGTCCGGTTTCTTCGGCAGCTCTGGTTCCTCGGACAAAGAGGTCTATCGTGCTGATCTTATGGTCCAAGATGCATGCGCTGTCAAGCTTTCGAATGACATGATCAAAACGTATACTGCAGAGTGGGAAGAGAAGGTCCGCGTGGAAAAGGAACAGGCTGCTGAGCTTGAAGGGTTAAGACACACTGTCGCAACACAGGCTGCTCGCATCCGCTTGCTTGAAGAGCGCGCGGAGAAGTCGGACACAGAACATGTGCAGCTTGCGTCCGAACTAGTTCGCCTCAAGGTGGAGAATGAGGAGCTCAGGGATGCCAATGAAAGTTACAAGGTTGAGGTTCAGGAGCTGAAGATTGTTATTGACCGACAACCTGCCGAGTTGGAAGAAACGCTGAGGACCGAGATGGATCGGATTATGAAGCGGAATATTGAGGTGCAGAACGAGAATAGGGCGATGGAGGAGCAAATGGCTGAGATGGAGAAGGATCTGGTTGATACGAAACTGAAGTGGGCGGAGGTAAGAAATCCCTCTTTTTCCCCCGCCTTTCATTCAATTTTTTTTTCTTTCATTCTTTTACTTTAGTTTCTTGTTCTTCTTTCCTACTAACCAGCTATACACATTTATTGTTGTAGATGTCCGAAGAACATGAAAGCCTCAAGCAAAAGTGGGTTGACCTACGAAAGGCCCTTGGTTAATAACGGGGAAACCGAAAGTCAAATATCTAGTCCCCCTACCCTACCCCTTCCCTCCCTCCTTAGCGATACCACTTGCATTGTACCCAAACTTTCTCATTTTATTACCCTTTGCACATCCACCACGGCTTCATAATTTTGCATCCTATCAACCGTCAACACAAATACATACGTTCATAGATAACAGTAACAAATACCTGCTTCCATCTGCAACACCACCGCGTCACACCAACCACAACAACCATGAGCTACGCAGAATCGCTGACCATTGCACGGTACCGGTACGAATTATTCCAACATGTGTGCATTTCTTCAGAATATTTTTTGAACAATCAATTGTTAAGACTTCCCAGTCTTCTCCGGGTTTTGCTCCTCATTCCTCCTTCTTTCCCATACCATGTTAACACTTTTTTAATGATGTCTTGCAATGCGATCCTTATGCTCTTCCTTCTTGGTTCTTTTATGTTTAAAGCCGAGTCTGGATTTTTTCCTGTCTGCCTTTTGCCGTCTCCAAATAATTACGGAAGTAGCGGGGCCCGTTGGATGCGTTGGATCGATCTACTTACGCACTCGGTACATTACCTTCTCAACTGAACACCCACCACACCCTTACAGGTAGCCCATCAGCGATTTTTATTTTCTTCACTGCCATGTAGTTTTGTATGCTTGTATGTTATTCTACGTTCGTCTATGTCATGTCATCCATCCATCCATCCTGTTTCTACTTCTTCAAGTGCTTTCCTTCTTTCAATTCGACTCTCCTTTTTTTTTTTTTTTTTTTTTTTTTTTTTTGTTATCTACAGTGTCTTGCTTATATCTCCCTACATTCGTTCTCCTCTATGATATTAGTAACTTGCTATTTGAAAGATTTTTGAGACGGAGTATTCATGCCGTATGTTCCTCTTTTATTTTCCTCTTTGTATTTCTCTGTACAGGCGCTTCTCTGCGCTTCTCTGCGCTTGTCCTACGACTTACTGCATGCACTATTCGGCAGCCACGTTCGGTCATGCACACCGTCGTGCATAAGCGGGGATATGGGGCCAGTGTTGCCCTCAATGACACCACCTAGATGCAGATGGAAGAATTGAGAAAAGGGGATTCGAAGAGAGGAGGTTAAATAAACACTTATCGGAGTTGGAAATACAGTACCATGATGCTCTTGCTCTTGTCTCTAGATTTCCAAGACAGCTCGTACATTTATTCCCTACCGATCGTTCCTTCGCAAACCACTCGCTGTTTCTACGGAACCCACAACCAACAAGGACACACACGTGAAAAGCTGAAAATCGAAAATTGACCCTACTCAAAGGTTCCCTCTAGCCGCCTGCTCCCTCTCAAATGCCTCAAACAAGCTCTTAAAATTCCCCGCACCAAACCCATCAAAATTATTCCGCTGAATCACCTCCAAAAACACCGTCGGCCGATCCACCACATGCTTCGTGAATATCTGCAGTAGGTACCCTTGCTCGTCGAAATCTATCAAGATGTTCAGCGCCTGCAGTGAATCTATGCTTTCTTTGATGACTAGGCTTCCCCCTTTATTGCCGTCCGTGTTCCCGGCACCGATGGCAGCGAGGCGAGTGCGCATCGCATCATAATATGTTGTGGGCACGGATAGAAACTCTACGCCCCTTTTGCGCAAATTGGTTACAGTGCTGATGATGTCGTGGGTGCGGAAGGCGATATGTTGCACCCCTGAGCCGTTGTAGTAGTCGACGAATCTGTGGATATTAATATATTGATACTCATTTTTGCCTATGGATGAAATGGATATTGGATATTATTGGGCATGATTTTTTCTTACTCTTCAATTTGTGATTTCTTCTTGCCCACTGCTGGCTCGTTCAGGGGCATTTTGATGACTTCGTTAGGTGATGCGACGACGATGGAGCGCATGGCGGAATAGTCGGAGCACATGGTTTTATCGTCGACGGTCCAGTACCGGTGGAAGTCAAGACAGTCTTCGTAGCTAATATATCCGGTTAGCTGCCGCGTTCTGTCCTTTTCGCTCTCCTCAAAACTAAACTGATATATATTGGGATTTCATCGTACAATTTCACTGCCTTGTCCAGCCCATTCCACGGCTGATTCCCAACACAGTGGTCAATTTCAATAAACTCAACAGCAGGCAAGAGCTCGTTGATCGCGTCCCCCTTTTCCACTTGCACATATCCAGGCATGAAGCATCCCCTATAGCGGTCCCTGTTAACCAGGGTATGTGTCGTGTCCCCATACGATTTGATCGTAGCCAGCTCTATCTTCCCACTCCCGGGCTCCTCGCCCCGGATGATCGTAGGTCTCAGCACAGAAACCGCGCCATGAGCCACAGCCCTCTCCCACTTGGACCTAACGTTCGCATTGACCTGAAAAGCAACATCCTTTACCCCGTCCCCATGCTTTTCCAAATGAGCATGGATTTCATCAAGCAAGACTTTCTCCTCGTCGGAGATCCCAAAGCTGCTTGTTTCATCCTCTGCCAATTTCCCGCAGACGGGAGAGGTCATGACAAAAGTAGCACTGCCATTCGAGATGACATATGAGGCCACGGTGCGCGATCCTGTCTCCGGGCCGCGATATGCGATTTGGTTAAAGCCCAGGCGAGTGATGAAATATGACGCTGCCTGTTTCGCATTCCCCACGTACCAAGTGATATGGTCGAAACCGTAGTACTCCGGACCCAATATGGAGGGAAAAATTTCACCATTTTCGGTGCCTGTGGTATCGAAACTCAGGGAGCGGGTCATTTTTGGGAGAGAATTGTATTTTCAAAAAAGGGTATTTTTATTTTATTTTATTCTTTTTTCTTGATAGAGGTATCTATTGCGGCACAATTGGGAAGATCAATGTCACTAGAACTTCGACCGGATGTGTTCGGGAACACCCCTCGTTTTATGGACGGATTAAAGCGGGCTTTTGGGATGGTAGGTATGATGGCGGGATTGGTGTCAATAGGAACTGCGAAGAACACGAGGCATATCTAGGAATTTTCATTTGAGAAAATGCAGGGGAGGAAACCATGCACATGCCTAATATAGACAGAACATTCATTGAATGTAGGCGCAAGTTTTCTTTTTGGATATTTCGCGAAGCTCAAGCCAGCAAAGCTGCTAAATGAAATGCCGGGGCTGTTGTGAAGACGCTGAGAGAAGGATGCCCGGATCTCTCCTTCAACAAACCTCGTACATGCATATCCAGCCCTGCAAGTTTGAAAATGTTCAGTATATAGTGGTATAGCGATTCCTTCTGTCCTACACTCGCAAACTTTGTTCAAAGGAAGCGAGGTTGACGATTGAGAAAGTCAAAACCTTCGCGCTTACAAACATTCCAGCCAGCTCGGGTGGGCGTTTGTTGCAGCCATCCACGACACATATCAACCAAACAGCCCTGTTTTATGTATGAATAGACCCTCTTGCAAATCTTTTCTTCACCCACTGCAGGACTAGGTTATTCTTCCTGGCCTGAAAGAGCGGTGAGCGGTGAGAATTAGATTGTCGCAAATGAGATTGCATTGCATTCTGGTCCGGACATGAATCTGTTGGGCAGGTTTTATTGGAAAGGAAACAGGTTGAATTGAGGGATTCGGAGAAAAGAACTATATTTGTATATACATACAGGTTGTAGCACACTTAAAAAAAAAAACGAATCGTCATGCATATAAGTAACACTGCACATAAAGATTGCCGCCTGGGGACCGCTATGAATGTAACCTGAGCATCGTAATCATAATCATCACCATCATCTACCCTGAACAAACCCGTCCGCTACCGTAGCCTACTCATCTGAAGAAACCGGCTCCGGCCTTGACGAGAATATGATCTTGTGCCTGATCACATCGACAATCTCCAATTCATCACAGCTATCACATTCCTCATCATCTGAACACTCAGCATCCAATATCCCCTCCGCCCGCAATCTTGCCTTCGTCCTCCTCCCCTTCATGCCGCCTGCCGTGCTCTCCTGACTCGTCTCCTCAACCCGTTGGATAGCCGCCAAGGGCCTCGGAAGTTTCTTGACCTCCCCTGTAAGCCGCTGGTGCCGGCCGACGTATAGATAGACACGCTTCATCCAGGAGCTATCATTTGGATCATTGTCTGCGGCGTCATTGTAGTCCGGGAATATCAGGCGGCCAATGGGTGTCCTATACTGCTTTGGCGAATCGGCGAGTCCGCTGGACTCAAGATCCATGTTGAGGGTATCTGAGTCATTGGCCGCACATGGGTCTGGTAGGTTTATTGTGCCCTGCATCTCTAGTATTGCGAGTCCAGAAGGTGTTTGGAGGAGTTGTGGGAGCGGGTTGTTGGGCTTCTCTGACTTCGCGCCTCGTTCAGATGGCGGATGAAGGCGAACTGTTGGCATGGTGTGTAATTGATATGAGGATATATTGATATGAGGATATACGACACGAAGCCCCGGTTTTATGGAGAAAGAAGTAGAGTAGCTTATTCTGCTGCTGGTATCCTTAGGGATCTTATCTCTCGATATATGACGACGCAGTGTTTTTCTTCTTCCTGTGCTCGAAATGAACAAGATATCTCGGGACTTTTTCGTAGTTTAGATCTATGACGTCGACTTGTGCCAAACTGAAAAGTTTCGGAGATCTGCCAAGACTAACCAACTAACTACCGAGGTAAGATATTCAAGACCGACCTGGGTCGCTTGGAAGGATTATGGAGTACTTATTGCAGAATACACAATTAATTGATATACTTTGAATATACGGAAGTACAATTGCAATAATGGATAGGTAAAGGATCTGATCATACCCTTTGTATTAAAAAATAGTGGACATGTATAAATAAGACAGGCAGTCACAATGAATCTGCCCCGGGAAGCATTGGAAGATTCGCACCTTGAATTGGAGGGACAGGAGTAACTAAAACACCCCAAATCCACTAAGATCATCAAAGCATCTCATAGATAATGTTCTTTAGTTTTAGAAAGACAGCAACCTAAATATAACCTAGCTGCCACAGGAATGAAGAACACCCTCACAGAGAAATCCAGTCAGACAAGTTAACACCCCTTGGTCTGGAGGCGAGAGGTTTTGTAGTCAAGAGAGAGAATATGGATATAGCTCCTTGAACAAAATGCTGCTTACTGAAAATGAATTATGGGTCTATATCACAGAATATTTTTCTTCACTTCAGGTTCCCAGGTCTTTTGTGTCAAAAAAACAGTTGTTCGCCTTTCAAATATCAACAAATGAAAGTCATTCAAATTTAATTCAGTAGTACCCTTCTCTTTCGCTAGACTTTCGTTTTTGGAATTGGAGCCTCCCAGCCCTTGTTTCTTGAGAAGCGGCGGGTCGGTCAGAAAGGGCGAATACAATCTTCAGTGATTAAGCAAGGGTTAGATCAGAAAAACAGCAAACATGGCCCTCCAACCTCTACTACTCTTTAACAGCCGCCTTATGAGCCATCGAAAGGCAGAGCTATCCAAAGAATTCGACTCTGTAAATTTCCTGAACCTTCTTCTATCACGGGCGAGATATGGGCCTTAGGCATCCATTAATAGAACCAGAAGGAAACATCCAGATACAACGCGGCGTTCTTGGATTGAATATCAGACATTGCCTATAAAGTAGGCAAGGCTTTCCTCCCACCTCCCCAATTTTCAAGCTCTGAGCCACGGCTCTTGTGTGCTCGGGAACAGTCAAGTTTAAGGTACGGGGACAGGTCCCATGGGCATTATATCAGGTTGCAGAAGCTAACGGCGAATATTGATATGCAGTTTCCCATAGCCCAGAATTAAATGGGCAGCGTTCGAACCCAACTTAACAACCTCAACACCAACCCTTCGACCGCTGTAAATCGCTCCCATCATCGCCGGACTGAAGACGCCAACGCGGCAATCATGAGCCATACGGCATCTCAAACATGGTTGTCAACCGAAACAAGAGAATTCGAAGCCTGGGTGAGGGTCCGGAATACGATGATGTACGTCGCGCCAAAATCCCCCTTTACGCCAAGGACCTTTGGGGCATGGATTTCCCATAGGCTCGCGTGGATGGAGGAGAAGCATAGTCGTCTTTTATGCCAAGCTCTCAGAAGAGCGATTGAAAGGGGACGGTGCGAGCCGGTCCAAGTGGGTCCGGTCCTTGGAGGAAAGAAGTTACCAGACGGGCTGGCCTTGGTTCTCGCCAGAGAGACCATTTGGGTGCCTCGGAGGGCCTATCCCAGTATTCGTGACTTGGCACCTTGGCCCAGCTACGAGGAGTTCAAGCACGAGGGCGATGACCGGAGCAAATCTGGCTATTGTCGATTTCCTCCATTGCCCCGTGGCCATGGGAACGAGACCGTCAACTGGAAACAGCGCATGCCAGTAAAGCAGCATCGATTCGACGAAGTCGGCCGACCGGCCTTAGGCGCAGGGAGTGTCCGCCTTCAGTATCTTGAAGGTGAGATCCTGAGGCTTGTTGGTAACCCGTTATTGGCCGAACTGGGCTGGTTGAAACGGTCATATTACTACATGGAGGAGATTGACAGTGGAGGGTTCGAATGTTTGTAGGAATGGAGGCAGAAACAGAGAACTTTTCTCAGAGCACAGAATATCTTCCTAACCTGAAGAATATCTCTCACCGCCACTCCAATATTCTGTCCGCGGAATAATAAGGAGTTGCCCTGGAATAGAACGAAAAAGACCGTAAATATCCTGTGCATTTGTTCGTTCGGATGGTGGTTTCACAGTTTGAACCTTAAGGGCCTTTTTTTCAAAACATTTTGTGAGAAGCGTTGGGAAGTTTCGACGATTTCATCTCCATTTTCTCAGCAGGGACGTCGGAAGTTTAGCAGTGTCCAGCCAGGTTTTTTGGTGAAATTTATCATGTTTACTTGCAGTAAATCAACTTATTCCGTGTTACTCCATAGCCTTCCTGGTCAGAGTGGCCTTTCCAAATAGTGTTGAAGCGCTCGACAAAGGGAACCCCATCTCAATACATCCATACCACCTCAATGATTCCACACATCTCGAAACCAAGAAAAGTACAGTGCTGTGGTCGCTGGACTCGTTAATCCTGGCCTGAGCTTCGGTTTGACATGTTCCCTAGAGGGGTCTTGTTCCATATTAATGTGCAATCCAGCCAGCTTTTTGCACGACCCGGGTGAGCCGCACCATAACAAAAATGGCTTTTGGACAAGGGCGTCTCCATTTGAAGGTATCCAAAGGATCAAAAATTCGGAAAGGGTTAATCAACCCTTCCTAGAGGGATTGCAGGCATTCTCAAGTTCCTTCAAGCCTCGAATACCATCGTCAACAGCGTTGGTGGCAACATCAGCAGGCTTGTTGAATTTCCCATAGCGTAGTTCACTTAATTCCCCCACGGTAGAACTAAGTTCTGCGAATATACGCGCAGCTTCGGCATCTGCAGCTTCAATTTCCTGTTCCATCGATGAGCAAGCTTTTCCCATCTCTGGCAGAATGGACGCCAATGTGTGCAAATCTTCGGGGGAAATTGCAGGCTCTCTTTGACCGAAAAGCTGGATATCCATCTCCATTTCTAGTTTATCGGTTTTGTCCATCCCACTTACACCGGTAAGTTGCTTTGCATTTCTCAGTTCTTCTCTTTGTCTCTCGCCTCTCTGAATTTCTCTGTCGATATTTTCCCTGACGAGATCAAGATCCTGAGAGCGGATATGTTGTAATTCTCGATATAGGACCCTTATCTGCGGGTGGGACCGGAGATGCCTGGGGAATAACTCTGTGAATTTGCTCAAAGAGATGAGGGTGGGTAGAGGAGATGGGGAGAGAAGGAAATTTGACAATATTGACACTTCGGAAGGGGCCATGATGGGTGAATGGCGAGGATAATAGTGAAATCCCAGGCAGTTCCCGAACACAACTCCAACGGGGCCGAATTTACTTCCAACTTTTATCCCAACATAAATTGTGCAGTTCAGTTCTTGATAACCAGCAATAGAACAATCCAAACGGGCATAGATCTGAAGCCCAGAAAAGAACAGATAACACCAGTTAGTATTTTATCTTAGGAAAACGTAAGAAAGCCAGTTAAATGCCTTCCTTTGAACAGTGCATTGCGTTGTTGTCTCTCCTCTCTCCTTCGCGCTCTTAGGAAGAACTTGGGGGGGGGTTGTTGGTTTGACGTTTGCTGCGGACGCTGACATAATATCCGAGTCATCAACGCGGTTTAGGGCAAAGTTACAGGGTCGTAACGCCCGATACAGGGTAGGTAACTAATACCGGCGCGCGTTGGCTACGAAAAGATTCTCAAGGGGAGCAGCAAAAGGTGAAAGAAAGGTGTACGGAGTAACTTACTCCGTAGTTATATATAATAATAATAAAGGGTCCGTCTTGTCCGTCTTGTCCTCGTTCGGTTGAATATCCAAATATCCAGACATTTCTCTCTCTGAGCCACCGCAGCAAGAAAGAAGCCACACCTCCGCTGTTGGTTTGATTCTTCCTCTGCCGGCCATCGTTCTCTCACAACAGAACTGTCAATACGAACATTTTGGAATCCTTCTTTTTGGGGTTGCCCTGCTACGTGGTGGTTGCTCCTCTTCCCGTGCTGACGTTTTCCACCCTGTTTCGTAGCTGCTTGTCTATCTGATTGAGGCATTAGTAGCGTTAACTGATCCTGTTTCTGAATTTGCAACAGTGTTTATTATTGCCTTTCATTTGTCCTTTGTCGCAGTGGTTTATTTTTTTGCTTTCGCGAGTGTGGCCAAATACCCCAGCTTGCTACGTACCCCAGTCCTTTCATCCGTTCTCGGGCTGCAGGACCCAGTATAGAAGAGGCTGTTGAGAACTGCAAAACTAGCCACTGAAGCGGGTATACTTTTGTTGCTGTACTACCTACTGTCATGGCGCCAGCAAATCACCCGATTTATCATAAAGATGAGAAGGTTTTCTGCTTCCATCATGAGATTCTCTACGAGGCGAAGATCCTTGAGGTCAGATTGACCGATCCAGATGACAGGAAAAGCCCTTACGAGTATCGGGTCCACTACAAGGGCTGGAAGAATACGTATGCACCCCTGTCTATCTTGTTTTTTTGAGATGAAGGCAGTTTTTTTGTGCCGTCTTGTCTTTCTGGATGCATAGCTAACACGAATGTGACAGGTGGGATGATTGGGTTTTACAAGACCGCTTACGCAAAGCAACTGAAGAGAACAGGGAACTTGCTGCTACGCTCCGTCGTGATGTGGAAGCTTCGATGCGGCAGCGGACTAAACAGTCGTCCGCGAAAAGGCGCCGTGGCTCTGACATGAGCTCGAATCGAAATAGCGAAGAAAGGCATTCATCCACCCCTGCCAGAGGCACCAAGCGATCAAGAGATGCGGAAATTGAAAAGGTATGTAGCCCATCTTTACCTTTCATGCTACTTAAGAGATACTGTTTCGATTTCGCTGTGAAAGTCACCCATATCATATTTTCGGTATTGCCTGGAATCAGCCAAACCAACAATTTATGTGACGTGTTGACTGATGATTTGCCACAGGAGGAACATTTTAATGCGCGCCCATCAATAAGGATAGTGATGCCTGATACTCTGAAGGCACTTCTCGTGGATGATTGGGAAAACATCACGAAGAACATGCAGCTGGTACCGCTTCCTGCAAAAGTCCCAGTGAACAAAATTCTGGATACATATTTTGAAGAGGAAAAAGTCAAGAGAACTTCACAGGCACAAGTGGATGTGCTGGAAGAAGTGTTATCTGGCGTGAGAGAATACTTCGATAAATGCCTTGGCCGACTATTGCTATACAGTTTTGAAAGAGAGCAATATCACATCCTGCAGAAGAAATGGGAATCTGCGGCCGAAGGTTTCGTGGACAAGGGACCTTGCGATGTATATGGAGCGGAACATCTAGCCAGATTATTCGGTAAGACTTTCTGTTCATTTTATCAACTAAGCTAACCCTGCGCCGCTACCAAAATATTCCAATGCTGTTTTCCAGTCTACCTATATATGCAAACTAGAACTGACACGTATTTCATTTCTTTTCACAGCCTCGTTACCTGAGCTTCTCGCGCAGACAAACCTAGGCCAAGAGTCCACAAACCGTCTGCGTGAAGAATTATCCAAGCTCGCGATATGGCTAAGTAGGAACTCTGAAAAAATGTTTGCGACCAAATATAAGAGCCCCGGCAACGAATATATCGACAAAGCAAAGGGCATTTCAAACCCGGATGCTCCCGGAACTGCGACGTCCCGCCTCTTTTAATCCTGTTCCTTATTTTATATATATATTTTTTCATACAATTTGGAATTTGCACGCTATCGCTGCGTTTTTACGGAGAGGGAACTTGCAAGTCGATGCCTCCCTAACAATGGAAGAATGACCCCTAGCATTACTCTCAATATCCTGCGTTCAAATTCCGATATGTTAGCAGGCTTTATGATCGTTTTACTGGGATGGCGAGATATGAAAACCCTAATATGTTGCATCTTGGATGTTTTGCCATTTTGTTTCGAAAGAATCCAAGCAAAGCGCGGGGAATTGTGAAAAGATGGCAGTTCGCCCAGGCACGTGTGATCAAAAGGGCACCGTGAGGCACAATTTCTATCCTTTCTTTCAACGCCCTTTTCCTAGTTTTTCAATCAGGCTTTGCTATTCACTCGATATTTTTATTTAATCCTTTACTTTCCCTTTGCTTTCCCTTCGCGTTCGCTTTGCCTTCGTATTTTTCCCCCGTGGTTTTTATTGGCGTTTTTAGGTTTATATATTATATATTCGATGCAAGATCGAGTTGTGGAAACTTCAGGGTGGCTCATTTTTTCTTTGACAACTCACGGAAGAAAACTCTCCCTCCCCTCCTTCCTTGATTTTATGTTTTTCTGTGCGAATGGACGATTTTCATTACAACAACTTTAAGTTAAATGAACATTGATCTATATTGGTATGATTGGGGCTTCAACACAATCACCCTACACAAACCAAGCGCGTAAGACAGAATTGTAAACCACAAAATAAACCCTGAGTATAACAACCGGCTTCTCATCGCAAACTTGCACATACGAGAAGACAAAATCTTAAAACCGCGAAACACGGAAAATGTAGCACTCAGTGCCAAACATGGATTGGGTGCGCACGAACGTCCCCGGACACAACGACGCAAGTCTTACTTGACTTGCTTACCACCACCACCTCCCCCTCCTCCACCGCCTACACTCGTATCCACAAGGACCGGCGTCTGCTCCGCCTTCGACACAACCACAATTCTCGCATCCTCAACCGCGCAGCGCGCAATCCGCTTCAACTCCGCTTTCCAATCCGCCTCCCTCCACTTCTCCCACAGGTTCAGCCCTTCCTGCGACCGGATGCTCAGCGTATCATACCCTTGCTTGATGATCTGGTGGACTTCGCGCGGACTGAGATTTTTCTTCTTGCCGGTGGCGAGGATTTCGGTGCTGGTGGTTGGGGAGGTGGGTGTTTGTGTTGCTGTTTTTGTGTCCTTGGGTTTATCGGCGAGGAAGAGGAGGGAGTGGAAGTGGGAGGCGACGCTGATGAGGGTGTCTATTGAGGGTGTGGCGGAGTCAGTGGAGGCTGAGAGGGCTGCTGGTGAGGAGGAGGAAAGGGAGCGTTCGTATGTATCTTTGAAGCGGGCGAGGATGGGTCCTGTCTCGACGACCTTGTAAAATAGGTCGTCATAGGACGCCGGGTCTGGGAGGAAGGTGTCGCCAGCGGATATGCAAAAGGCGATTAGATCAATCAGGGAGGTGGCGAGGTTGTGGATTTGAGGGTTTGAGGTGAGGTCCTTGGCGTAAGTCGTCATGAAACGGGTGAGGGTGAGCAGGGTCCGCCAGAGCTCGGACCAGTGATATGCGAGACGTGTTTGGTTTGAGGAGACATAAGTAAGGAGACGGAGAAGGATGGAGATTGTGTGACTGTTCAAGTCAATGAGTTAGTATATAACTGTGTTGTGGCTAAATATCCGAGGCTGGTTGGGATACGCACCAATATAAGGCGACGTCGAGTTCCCTGCGGAGGTTATGGTTAATAGTATCTATCATGATGTCGAAGATGACGGTTGCGAGGATCCTTTCTCCCTGTATCAAGGGAAGGTAAGGTGCTCGTTGGCGACAAAGCCGTATAGGGCGCTTCATCTCCTCGCTACAGATCTGTTTACATAGAAACGGCTCTTCCACGAGTATGCGAAGTGAAAACAAGGTAGTCTCCGCATAAAGAGTAACTCTTGGCGATCGATATGCATGTTGGAGGAGATACGAGGTAAGTGAGAGGAAACTTGAAAACGGTGATTCTTCAGAGCGCTTTTCTGGCATGAATGAGACAAAACTGAAAGCAAACAGCTTATTCGCATTGATGAAATCGTATATCGCAAGTAATATAGTCGCTTCGGGGCAGGGACTTTAGGTTTGTCAGAAAACCCCTGTCCTCGGTAGTACGTGTTGTAGGAGAACCAAAAAAGAATATACTTACAGAACTCCAAAGCGTGCTTTAGCCTCTTCCGGAGTCAACGGCGTCTTAGCTCTGCGACTAGGCGCCAGAACCCCAAGGCCAAAGAAGGCCAAGGTTGAACTCAAGTTCCAACCCTCAGGAAGATCATCCTGGACGGCAACGTACCCGTTCCGCAAGGCAGTGCATGTCGCACCAGCTCCATTGACTATTTTCTGAATGGTTGATTCATTTACAAAGTCATCAAGTCGTAGCTGGTACGGGTTCTGGAATTCAAACTTGTTGTAGTTTGATAGAAGCCCTAGAAGCACAAATGGTTCAAAGATTTGAGTGCGGGTATCTGAATCATGCACAAACTATAAGTAATCTGCAGTCAGCATATATGGATTAGAAGATTTGGAGCCTATATATATAAGAAGCCTTTGTCGAACCTTCATCAGGGCTGGAAAAATATCCCTATGCATAAAATAGGATATAAGACTTGTTTTATACCCGCCGCTGGTCATTGATATCGCGGCTTCAACAGCCTTAATACGGATCTCGGCTATTTCAACGTGAGGTAATCAGCCGGGTTCTTATTATATGATAAAGCATAATGATTGAGTTTTTCGCATGTAATATCATACAGGTGGCTCCATTACGTATGATCCCGTCCAGGGCAGCGACAAAGTCAGCGATAACATGGTCGACTTCGTCAATGCCAGCGAGAACAGTGATGATATCAGAACTCGGGTTGGTGTACTTCTTAGTTAAGACGCCACCTAAGAGAGTTGTCAAGGTCTGTTTTGTGAAGCTCTCAGTAAGTCTTTTTAGGCGGGTCATTCAGAATGCAGCCAGGCTAACCTCTAGAGCCTGTAGATTTGATGGAGATTTTCCAGAAGCTGCCTCCTTTACGGCCCTGGAGAACAGCTGTTGAGTGTGAAACTAGGGGTTATGTTAGTCAAGTCCTCAACGACTATGTACGTGAATATGCAAATAGGCACATACGTGGATTTGCAAGATTTCATCAGGACTGATACCGTCCAGTATCTGGCTCAGGCGGACCCTCTCCGGTGGGAGAAGAAAGAACTCTCTCCAGAAACCTTCTGACGGTTCCGCATATTCAGGATTCTGTAAATCATTTGTCAGCAGATTCGGCTACAGTGGCTATGAATAATAACAGCTGGAACATACAAGAAATAGAGTTTCGTATAGCTTGACGATCTTTGGCTGGAAGGTGTCCGGTCTGGATTGCTGCGTCAGAGGAGAAGCTTCCATGATTTTTGGGGAAGAGGATGCCCGACGGTTGTGTATTGTCAACGTCTATTAATGGTGAACGAATAAGATCCAGGGAATCGAATGGCGTTCATTATCCCCAGGAGCAGAGAATACGGGTAGTCAACGATTTTCCACACATGGATCCCGCTCAACCGCGGAGTTGGTGGTAACAAGCCTCGAAATACCCGCTTTGTCAGCATTAGCCGCGCGATAACCAACTGGCGTCATTTGTGCCACACCACCTCGCCACACACATGCCCCAGCCACCAACCAGAATGCGTTGAAACCCAACCATGCTGATTGGTGGATTTGGGCTGAAGATCATTAGTCACCCGCCCCCGGACCGTCTTATGCCGAGTCCTTCCATGCACTTTTTGTCTGATGCTGCATTTATAAGTTGAACCTAAAACCCCCTTCACTTCCCATCCCAACAAGCTGACCTCCAAGGACACATTTCTACCACAAACCAGGTCTCGTTTTCCATACTCGCTCACTCCCTTGTACCAACATCCCTTTTGGGACTGTATATACCTTATAGACTACTGCCAATTCGTCTTCTACTGCAACCATGTCGTTCTGTTCGAGTCTTCACCCTCCAGTGACATCATCTGGCCTGCTCAGATCAGTCACCACCAAGTTGGCTCGACGACGAGCATGTCTTCTTAGCCTCCGATCGTTCTCCTCGCACGGCTCATCTAATTATTCCTCGAAACGAAAATTACAGACCGCAACCGCCTATCAACCCTACTCTCTTCCAGACTCTTTTCCCCCGCCCGCCCGGAATTCGGGTAGCGCCTCTGAATCCTCAATCACTGTCAAGAATCCTGTGCTCAGCAAATGGCAATCAAAATCAAATAGTCAACCACAGCCACAACAACCTAAGAGCGATGAATCCGTCAAAGAGACGAGTGCAACCAGTTCCTCTGAAACCGAGGCCCAAAAGTCAAAACCAACATCTCCCTCATCACCATCAACCTCCGCCTCCGCCTCCGCAACTGCAACCGCCACTCCTGCAGCGCCTGCGCAATCTGAAACACCCAAAAAACCGCGCCGCGTGAGCAGACTGAAAGCCCGCAAAATCGCCATGCACATCACTCCCGAAGCTATTGTACATTTACGACGTCTAACCGACCAGCCGGATCCGAAGCTAGTTCGAGTTGGCGTAAAGAATAGAGGATGCTCAGGCTTATCTTACCATCTGGAATACGTGGATAAAGCCGCGCCATTTGATGAGGTGGTGGAGCAAGACGGAGTTAGGATCTTGATTGACAGCAAAGCTTTGTTCAGCATAATTGGTAGCGAGATGGACTGGCAGGAGGACAGCCTGGCTAGCCGGTTTGTGTTTAGGAATCCTAATATCAGTAAGTATTCTTGCTCCTCTTTCGTCTCAAGTTTCGATACAAACATGTATGTATATAGAGCCATTTTACTGACAGGTGTTGTTGCGACAGAGGACGAATGCGGCTGCGGTGAATCATTCATGGTGTAAACGCTAGTTGCAACCAAAGATTTCTCTTCTCTTACGTATTGGGATTTTGTTTTACAGGTGCATGCACGGGCGTTATATATATCTCCCGAGTGGATTAATATCCGGAAATTGGATTTGAGATCTTTTCTTTGCTGTTTTAAGTCTTATGATAGCCTTTGATATTTTTGTTTATACATATATGCACTTTTTGAATATACCCGTCTCCACTACCTGCACATCTCGTTCTAGAGAAATTCTTCCGCTCTCCCCCTTCTTATTTCTTTTCTTTATTTATTAATTGAAAGCCAAACTAACATGGTTGAGGTTCGCGACATATATATATATATATATATACGGCTAATGTGGAACAATTCTGTGGGATGGATGGTTAATCTCTTGATATTGGGAGGAGCTAGCTACGCTACTATTAGCGCAATATCATTAGTGTAGTTAACAACTAAAGCTCTTAGCTAAATTCTATATAATTTGATTTGTTGATACAGATTTACTACATATAGGATCTTGGTTATAGCACTTGATCGACTCCAGAAGTGCAACCCCATTCAAACATATCAACCGTTTCTCACTTACGGAAAAAGCTCCCAATTAGGAGGAGGGTGATACACTGCCTAATCGGTTATCTTGGCTCATCTACCTCCTCAACACCCATTGTAAGGTGGAGGAGAAGAAGAACAAGGACTAGTAGAAGAAGCCGGCTGCCACTACTCCCACTAAGGCATTGGACCATCGCCCGCGTCCGGAGAAGGATGACGATGATGGCAAAGAGGACAGGAAGTCATCTAGCACCAAATGATAGGCAATTTGATGACGTTGCACCGTCTTGAGCGCTCTGACCCAGAAGAGGCCAAGAAAGTGTATTTCTTTCAATTCATATTCCTTTACCAGCTTAACAAAGGGCTATCAGACTGTGTCAAGATGGACACTGGGTGTGTGGATATTTTCAGTTACAACTACATTGTTGTTCCGATTAATGAAAATATTCATTGGTATATGGCGATCATATGCAATTTGCCAAATTCAACCGATGAGACAACCTCCCCTGTTGATGTTTCAAGCACCAAGGAAAATGGTTCTCAGTAGGCTGACATCATCATTTTTGATTCCCTGGGAAGCCGGCGAAGTGAAACTATAAGAATTCTTCAGGAATATGTTATAGAGGAAGGCAAGTCGAAACGATCACTTATCATCAACAGCAAAAACATAGAAGGTATGGCTGCGAAAGGCATACCACAGCAGTCTAATACATTCAACTGTGGCCTTTACCTTTTGGCATATCTTGAGAAATCCATTCAAAACCCAGGTGATTTTGTTACCAAGCTCCTTCATAACAGAACGAATGAGGATGTTGACCGGTCAATGTTGAGATCTGATCTATTTCGCCAGCGCCTCCAAGTTGTCTTACCGGCTTTATACAAGGAGCAAGATGGCGAAGATGGCATGGATGCTGAGCGACTGTTGATTGTTGATACCGAGCCACTGAATATCCTGCTGTGTGGATGAACTGGCACCGCGCCATGGGACGATGCTTCCACTTTGAGTGGCTTTAAAAGACTGAGGGCCTCAAGGCGTGTTGCAGGCTTCTTCCTCCAAACTTGGCTAGGATTCCCACAGTTATACAATGACGGCGCGCCGCTATACCGTGACATGACAAATGCAGACCGCTGCATGTCCTAGATAGTTTCTCCAATCCACCTAAAAGCCTTAATTTGCGATTGAATCGCAATGGTCAGGACCGCACTCGGCGATGGCATTAGTGGAGATTACAGGTGCGAACAGTAAAAAACCATTCCGGACATTTGTCATTATTTACCAGCAATATCATCCTACCGCAAAGGACTTCTCGCCGCCATCCCTGAAAACACCTATGACCAATCTCCTGCAACAACATATTTAACAATTGAGTTGTCTTTTACAGGTTGGGATCAACTCATTTTCTTGGTTTTATCATGGTCCTAGGAGCTGAAACACGAAACCCAGTCATGATATGTGCGCCACATCCGCTTGCGTCAATGAAGGGTGGAAATTTTTTTTGGGCTGTACAACGTCGAGGTTTGTTGTCGCTATTCTTGACTTGTTTTTTCGAGGAACTACCCCTGCCATGGTTATTACTCGGCCATGTGGGGAAACAGAGGCATGGGAAAAAGCGGAGGAGCCTGGCTCACTCCTGGTCTGTCCTGAACCACCACTTCCTCACTACCATCGGCCGGTAGGGGTCGAGCATTTATACCCGCTCTGGAACTTCCAGGGTATCCTTTCCTGGTCAGCCCGATCAAATTGGACATATCCCTTGCGAGAGAGGTCTGGCCTGGTGGGGGTGGTGGGCACGGGAGAGGAGTGATGCTAGGCCGGCGGTGGGGGTGGCAGGAGCCGCGAGAGCCCCGGACCGTCATTCCTAAAGTAGAAACCATCAAACCCCTCCCCCCCCCCCGTTAGAGGAGGCGGGGAGGCGTGATGGAGCAAGGACTCAGGAGAGAGGGAGGGGGGGCTGGCGGGGGCGATGAGAGGGACGCAGACGCGGACAAGGGGGGGGGAGGGGCTAATACATGTCAGTCTCCAATTATTAATTAATATCTTATGTTAGACTTACGGCGAACCAAGAGGCAAGCAAGCAGCAGCTGCAAGGACATGAGCTTCGCTGCTGGGAAAGCAGGGGGTTCCAACGAACAAACGCATCCATGCCGGACATCAGCGCTCGCCTCCAACACGTCCACCATTGCCGCCATCATGTCTTTGGCTTCGAAGTCTGTGGATTTGGCCCTACGGGTCAATGATCTCTGCCTGGTTTGCATTTTCTCTTTGCAGTGGGTGCCTCCAGTGCCCCTGCACCTCTACCTTCCCTTGCCCTCTGGCATCGCGCCACGGCCTCGAACGATTCTATCTGCCGATAGGGTCCATATCTTCATGATATACCAAGTGCGAATGTGGTAGCTGACAGAGTTTCTAGGTGCCCTCTTGTTTCTCAGATCCTCTTGTCGCCATCCTGGTCGACGTTCGCTCTTTTTGGACTGCGCAATCTGGGAATACTGCGCTGTACCGCGAGATCATGGGTCTTTGAGTCGTCGAGTTAATGGGATCTTTCGAGAACTACCTGGAGAAGGAGGGTTTCTTTGCCACGTTGGCCGACGAGGAATGCGGATATGCTGGCCCTAGTTTCTGGAAGTTTTGTTACCGCTTCCGCGAATACGCCTGCCCCTGCCCCTCACTCTGTGCTCTCGGTGTTTGTGTGTCTCGTCCTGACGCAATCTCAACTCCCCTCGCGCCCGCATACGCGCTTCTGCCTGGCTTCGTCCCGTTACCTGCAAACTCGAAGTACAGACCAGACCCCCCTGCCCCAGCTATGCCGTCGGCGGAGGTGATCGAGCTAGGCATCGCGATGCAGGCGGCGGGCCCACCTCCGCAGTTCCTTTATGAGATGGAACCCCACGAGTTTTGTTACCGCTGTGTCTGGAAGATGGAGAAGTACCCTCCCACTGAACCCTGCGTGTTGGGCGGCCAGCGCTATAAGCGTGCTCATTGCAGCAAGGCTTGCCAACCAAGGGGACCATTTTCTTCCTATGCTCGGTTTTTAGGGTGTGGTTTAGATCCCCACCTCCACTCACTCCGCCGTCAAGGCCGTGTTTGTTGCTTGGGTTCACGAGGGGTTGGTGTAGCGGGCGCTTTTGGCTGGCCAGAAATTTGAAGGGAAGATTCCGTTCGGTGGTGATGTGGCGGCCCGCGAGGCTCGCAGTGCTGTTTGGGGGAAGGAGAGGAAGGAAAAGAGGAATGTGACTTGTCACTCTGCTCGGGGTGCGGCCAAAATCGCGAAGGCCGCTATCAAGGCAGAGGGGGGAGGAGTAAATAGCTTGGGAGTATTTAGCTTGGGAGTAAATATTTATATAAATAAATAGCTTGGGACCGGCGGTTATTTTACCGTGCCTCGAATTCCTGTAGATCTTCTTGAGCACCTTCAAGATCCTCCTCAATCTTTTGCCAGGAATCCCTCGCTTGGACTCCAGCCTTTCCATAGTACGAGATATTGAACCTTTTCATAGTATTTTGTGTGTTTATCCAGGATCTTCTCAACTTCCTATTGGGGCAACGCCACCGAGGCGGCCACTGCTACAAGGTCAATTTGATTTCTCCGCAGTAGAGGGAGGGCAATAGGCTGCGTAGATAAACAATACGTGCTTTCAATTATCCATGGACACGTCACTAGAAACTCAACAAATATTAATTTCAGTAACTTGCTTCGTATAAGGCATCTCATCTGGCCGAGTTATTTGCCACCCACGGAGTAGAGATAAATATATTGTCACGTGATTATATACACGCTCAGCCAGTGCGCGCTTCATCGGCATGAACCGATCTACAACTTTATAGGATACTAAATGACGAATCGTCATGGTTGAGAGTGAAGAAAAAAAAAAATATCCAACAAGAAAAGAATATGACTCCACCAACGCAAATGCATCAGAAACTACCACCCAAGTAAAAACAATTAAACAACGCCTCCGACGAAACGAAACAAACAATGACAGACCACTTCTCCCTCCTGAGTCTCACAATCCGCTTCTCCTCCTCAATCCCAGACGTTCTCCTCGAAATCCCCGACCCAGCCCACCTGACAGCCGCAGGCCTCAAACAGCTCATACGCCAACGACTCCCGCATGATCTCTCCACACACCGCCTCCGCCTCATATATGCCGGCAAAGCTCTCGACGATGCCTCCTCGCTCGCCTCCTCGCTAAACATCGCCGCTACCCTACCTAGGATTAGGGATGAGATCACCTCGTTCCCGGTACCGGATTCCTTCTCTCGCGCAGGAGATGGAAGGGGTGGTGGTGGTAATGGGAGTGGGAAAGACAAGGGCAAAGCACCCGTGCGGGACCCCCCCGCGCCACGACTACGGACCTACATTCACTGCTCGATTGGTGATATTATCCTCTCCCCAAAGGAGTTAGAGGCTGAGGCGCAGCTGGCGCGTGTAGCGGAGGAAAATGATAGTGCAAAATGGGAAGGCAAGGGGTCGGACGGGTCATCCACTCGGCTAAAACCTTCGTCTGCCGCTTCATCCTCCGCCTCCGCCTCCGCCTCTGCCTCCGCCTCCAACATCCTACCCCCACCACGATCGTCGACATCGGGCAGTTTTGCAACTTCTACTTCCGCAACCGCACCACGTGGTACCACCTCGCTCTCGCTTTCGCCCTCCTCCGCTACTGATCACGTCCAATCTTCATTAACCGCCAGCCGCCCACCACCCAACGCGCCCGGTCCCAGGGGCTTCGACCGCCTGCTAGATGCAGGCTTCACAGCGGCAGAAGTCTCCGCGCTGCGCTCGCAGTTTCTCGCCCTCCAGTCACTCTCGCATACGCCGGATACGATGCCGTCCGGCGCAGAGCTACGACGGCTAGAAGATATATGGATGGACGAGGGAGGTTCTGCGGGCTCTGTGGAAGGAGAAGGTGGCGGCGGCGCGGGGGCGGTTGGGGGCGGTGGTAGTGCGGGGATTGCCAATTATGGAGTCGGCTCAACGTCGGGGGCGGCGGGGCCACTGGATGATATGTTGTGGGGATCTGTGATGGGGTTCTTTTGGCCTGTGGGGTGTGGGCTGTGGTTGTTGAGGGAGCAAGGGGTTTGGAGTTGGAGGAAAGGGTTGGCGGTTTTTGTGGGGATTGTGGTTAATTTCGGCTTTGGGGTTGTGAGGTTTTTGAATTGAGGGTCGTTGAATTGCATTATGTTTATCCGTAAATGTTTTTTGGTTTTGTGTTTTATAGCGCTTTTGTTTAATCCCTTTGGTTTTGGCTGGAGCCATGACTGGATATGTACTCCGTAGATGATAGATGATAAAGCATTAGATACCCACGCATCTAGCATAGTTTTAGCTCATAATGAATTCATAACATTAATATATCGTGTGGCGGGTTGTCTCCATCAGAATCCGCTCATCTGGTACGTAAAAGGGAAAACCAACAGGGCTATAGTAGGAGTAGGGAATACCCGTATCATACAAAATCGCAAATGAATCAGTAGTGATATATAAAATGACTGGGACAAGTGGGAAAGCAGCAAAACAAGGAGACAGTTCGCCCAAAACACCGCAACAAAACACGTGCAACCATGTATCCCAAAGGAGAACGCTCAGTGGAACTTGCTATATACAACCGCAATGATAAGAAGGACTAATACGGTTATTATGGCGATGGTTATCACCCGATTCGTAGCCATCCTATTCACACAAAAATCAGTTACGCCTACGGCCAACATGTATTTAATTGTGCTCAAAATTGAGGGTGTACTACCTACGGGCCATCCCCCTCAGCGTCTTTACACTGCGATCCACGTAGCCTTCGCTCTCCAGTAAACCAGCTCTGGTGTGTTCGATGGTCTGCCGCTGGACGTATAGATCGGCTAGGGTGTTCCGTCCAATATCTTCTGTCTCCTGCGCTACTCTCTGGCTATCTCTCAGGCGAGCAGAGCTCCGCTCTAGCCGTTCTGTACCAGATAGTAACTGCTGTCTTTGCTCCAGGTGGTGGTCATTTATCCCGTTAGGTTCATCTGTGTATCGGTCGCCAAAGAGCGCTCTGCGGTCATCAGAGAGGGACTTAAGTTGGCGCTTGACGTCGTCGATATCTGTAACGAAGTTGCGGAAACGGGCGTTCACTTTCGAACGGGTTGCGGAGGGGATATTCTCTTTCTCTATCCGCATTTGATCTATCTATACGTTTTGAGGGGGCTCGTGTGTGAGTAAATTTGTTTGTCATCCGGAGATCCGGGACAGACAGCGACTGATGATTAGGTCACGAAGTCACAGGACGGGGGCTAAGGGAGTAGGTATGAAATAAATTTACCAGTTCAGTGGCCTCCTCTAACGCCCTCTCTGCTTGTTTGATGGCCAATTTCCTTTCCTCTCCTTGCGATTCAGCGATCTGATCGAGTTTCTGATTCAGGTCTGCCTGGACGAGCTTAAGCTCAGCTTCATAGCTACTGAACAGCTCTGAGCCGGAATCTGTCTCGAGGGGCCTGGCCATTGCTTATATATCTCGAATGCGAAACGGAATATCTCGTAGGAAGTGCTGGTAGACGCGGCTATGACGGATGCCAGACAGATGGGGGGATTGGTTTGTTCCTTCCTTGTTGTTGTATAGGCGAAGTTTAGGATGGCTAGGAGATGTTGAAGCGTTTGGAGCTTAATTACTGTCGATTCCAGATCCCCCAGGCTCCTAGATTAATGACTGGCTTCTGCGGGATTGTATATAGATGTGGTGGTATACTTGTTGAGTTGGAGACTTGAGTGGGAGATGAACCAACCCCAGCCACGCCAAGAAGGGTAACTAAATAAATAGGCGACGACATAAATACATAAAACTACTTCTGCAAACGACTAAAAATTGGTTGACTCTCCTGTATTTAAAAGTACCTCTGAATCTAGCCGCACGTGATCCTACTTCCCATCCATTCCATCTGCCCGGCCTGGAACCTTTGCAACATCCAGACATGACAGCTAGAACGGTGTTTGGAACGTGCTAGTTTCTCTCTCTCCTAAGGCCGGAAGATGCAATCTCTTGCTACAATATCCTGTAACTACTTACGGAGTACAGAAGTAGAGAGAGAGATCAGTGTATTTCGGTCTATTACTAATTAGAGTAATATATAGTTATACTATTCCTCCACCTTCCCCTTCACGAGACGTTGCGCGCCGGAGCATCTTTACCACAAGTCGTCGAGACATACCAATGCCTTTCCATATGATAGAACTTATCTGCACTTTAGCCTGGCGATATTGCGCGATTGCAGTGTTTGTATTCGTCGCATAGATTGTCCTTGGTTCGCCAATACGGAGAGCGTCAAATTTTGCTGAATCCGGCACGAATCTTGTCCAATGGCCAACCAGTCAGCCATATTATATTGCTGGCAACACTAATGATATTTCTGGATGTGATCTTTCGTTTATTCCGATACCTGCCGAGCACATCACAATGACTTCCAAGAAAGTTGCCATTGTTGGCGGGGGTTGTTCCGGTCTTGCTGCCTTCTGGGCCTTGAAAGACTCAGGGCATGAAGTCCATATTTTCGAATCCGGGAGCAGATTTGGAGGTCCTACGCATTTAGTACAGTACGAGCAGAGAGGAAAGACTATTGGGATTGATACAGGACTTGTTTATTTCAAGCCTTCCACTTCACGTTAGTTTGCTTCCGTACCTTGAGCCTTCCTTGTCTTAGGAGCTTACTTGGGAGGCCAGCAAATCTATATGCATTGCTGCAGGAGCTACAGATACCTTGCCACGACATAGAATTCTCAATCGCTTCGACCCAGCTCGGGGATTTATTTGAATGGAGAACAGCATCCCCCTTCGCAATTCTTTCCCGAAACCTGTTCCGGTTGGATATGTGGAGGATGTTGATTGATGTTGTGAGATTCAATCATTTTGCCCTGGATTCATTAAGGGGTGAACAACCTGTCAAAAGACAAAGGTCGCGAAAATGGAAAAATATCCAGCAACCTTACCAACATGAGCAATCCCAGAAGAGCATCGGCGCATATCTGGCCACCGAGGGATATTCGAATTCTTTCCGCGATAATTACATAATTCCACTTATTGCAGTTTTATGGAACGTCCATAATGCAAGGGATGCACTGGAGCTTCCAATAGCGCTACTTCTACGTTTCATGGCGAACTGTGATATTCTCCGGAGCTCACTATGGTGGTCAGAGTGGATGATTGTAGCAGGAGGCAAAGCTGATTTCGCGGCAGCAATCACCAATATCTCAGCTACTGAGAGAGTCCATTTCAATACGACAATCAAATCAGTTAAAACAAGTGATAGACTCGGTTGGTTGGCAGTGCAAGGGGAGCAAGGCCGAACGGAATATTTCAATCATGTCATCATTGCGACGTCTGCCCATAACGCTTTAAACCTGATATCCGCGGATGCGACTGATGAAGAGGTCCGGGCGTTGAGCGGATTCCAAACAGCGAGTTCTATCGCAATCCTACATTCCGACACGGCGGTAAGTTCCAACTCTTCCCCCTTTTGCGTCCACATGTCCGAGCTTGGACCGTGCCAATCGACATTTTGCTCCGAAACGAGTTTATCTTTCATTCCACACATTTAGCTAAAGATGCTATTCGCCATCGATAGTTGATGCCGAAGCGAAAACGTGTGTGGGCCGCCTTTAACCTCATTACAAAATCCTCCCAGCGCAACCCCCCCGACACCAGTCAATTCTGCACCTCCTTTCACATAAATCGGCTGCAAGGACTCTCGGAAGAAATCTTCGGCCCCGTCCTCATAACTCACAATCCCATATCTCCTCCCCACCCACTCCGCGTTCAGGGGATATGGGAATACTCGCGTTTTACGTTCAATAACCGAGCGTTGAGATCACACAAGTTGCTCCAACGGATCCAAAATACGCGCGGGATTAGTTACTGTGGTCCGTGGACTGGATACGGGCGGTACGAGGATGCGGTCCGCAGTGCGTTTCAAGTAGCTGTGGACCACTTGGGAGCTGAATTGCCGTTCGGGGTCTTGGGTGATGACCCCTTTCTTCCTTCTTACCCAGACGCTATGGAATGGTCGCAGGTCGAGGCTTTGGCCAAACGGGAAAGGCTAGCTAGGTTTCTTGTTAGGTTTCTGTTGGTAATTTACTGGTTTTTGGGGATTGTGAGGCGGGTGGTGCTTTATTTTCATCGGGCTTGGGAGAGGGGGGACAAGACGAGAAGAGAATAAAAGGCGCGGCAGTGGAAGATACCCAACGTGAGAGTATATCGGGCCCTGGCTGTCACTTGTCTCAACTGCAACAGGGCCGTATAGAGAGATTTCCGAAGTAATTTCCTTGAGAAGGCTTGGTCTTCGTGTATTAGATTTATTATGTTTTATTTTGACCATCTAGAATCCCTTCTTTTACTTTCCCACCACCCTCGCATAATTATGGAATAAAATATATAAAAGAACTTATTATGGGACAAAGAAAGGGGAGAAAATTCTCAGCCTTGTCCAAGTTAAAAAGAATTGTAGGCTAAAACAAACTTGTCGGTACAACATCGAAAAGCAAATAAGATATCACATCACATCATATTAGTATAAAAAATAAAATCGAAAAATCACGAAATAAACCCAGCAGCACCCCCACCCGAAACAATCCCCGCACTTCTCCTCGCATCAATAAACAGATCCTCACACTCCGCAATATCCGCTTCCTCAATCCCGCTAGCCCTCCCACTTACCCGCGCCAGGATGCTCGCCGGCGTCAGCAGCTGCAAAGCATAACGCAAACTCACCTTACTTCCGTGCGCCGCGACTCTTTCCAGCGCCGGCTCACTAATGGTCAAGCCCTCTGTCTTGGCCCGCAGGCGCACGATGGTTTTTATTTCTTCGGGGTTATAGGCGTGGGTGGGGATTATGAGGAGGCGGGCGAGGAGGTCTGGTGGGATTCCGTGGGCGGCGACAATGTCGCCTGTGCCGCGTACGACGGTGTTGCCGCGGTTCGAGGCTAGGATTACAATGGGTGAGATGGAGGATTCGAGGGCGCGGTTCAGGTAGGTGAAGCATTCTATGTCAAGCATGTGGACCTGCGGAAGGGAATGATTGTTAGTCTGGATGGTTTCTTTTCTTTTCTTTTCTTTTCTTTTCTTTTCTTTTTTTTTTTTTTTCTTTTCTTTTCTTTTCTTTTCTTTTCTTTTCTTTTCTTTTCTTTTCTTTTCTTTTCTTTTCTTTTCTTTTCTTTTTTTTTTTTTTTTACTCGTTTTGGGTATTTCATTGGGGCGGAAAGGTAAAACTTACTTCATCGATGAATAAAACGCCAGGAACCAATTCGGCAACCCCTTGGTCAATATATCGGTTTACAACCTTGTTGATTTCCTGACGCAGTTTGTCTGTGATTTCCGTCTTCTTGGGTTTCATGAGCTGACCCATCATGCTCATCACATCTTGCCCACCTTGGGGTCTGGCATTGGCAATATCCAAGTCATGGAGCGTGACGTCTTGTACGATCTCCTTCTTCTTGTGGACGTCGCCCTTCGGGACAGGCACGTATTCCTCAGCCTCTAGATCAAACTCGGTGGCATAGGCGTCAGATCGTCCAACACGCTTGCACGCGCCAGTGTTAGCTTCGATGTATATGACGTCGCCAACCGCTACTCTTTCTTTCTGGATCGCTTCGTAGATGCTAGGGTCGAGTCGCAGCTTTTTCGTCCCTCTGTAAGATTTGAGTCCGATTATTAGATGGCTTATCGTCCTTCCGTAGCCTCCCAATGGGTTTTCTGCTTCCTCTGGAGTAAGTTCTGTTACTTCTCCTTCGTATACCTCCTTTGTCTCGCGTACCCGTAGTCCTACGCAGAGAAAAGTTAGCTCAAAAACCAAAAAGTAATTTATCATGGAAATTATGCAAAAGTTATTACCGATTGCCCTTCGAAAGTTCTCCATGAGAGCTTCGGTCTTCTTGACCTCCGCTGAGAAAACTTCACTTCCCACGATGGGACAAAAAGGTACTTTGGTGCCCAATTCTTGCGACACAGCCAGCGCCAGGGCGGTTTTACCGGTTCCCGGCCCGCCCGCAAGCAGGACTGCTCGCCCTGCTATTTTCTTCGCTCTTATCATATCGACCACTACACCACAAGCCTGGGAGAAATACCGCAGTGTTACGGCTGGCAAAACAAAAAAAGTTCGACACGGAAATGGTCAAAGAAGATTCCAAACTCACCTCTCTCGCGGCAGCCTGTCCAACAAAACCAGCACTAGTAGGTTCAGCAGTGCCATCGGGCCGTAATCCTAAGCCTTTTATATGGGTGTGCGCTGCCGTTCTGTTCTCGCGCGAATTTCCTTTGACCTCACTGATCTGAACCATGGTGGTAGAGGTCTCTGCTGAGCGCAGATGAGCTGATGGTTAGGAGCAATCACAAGGTTGAGAATAATTGGCAATCACAAAATTAAAAGGGTCGTGGATAGTCCGTGGTCAGAGTTGCAAATAAAGACGACAGTTATTTGAAGCTTCCTCGCGCTATTTGCTTCTGGATGGTTTTGCGGCCTGGAGCAATCGATTAACTAAGTTAGTCTGGCTTAGCTAAACAAAACTGTAGAATGACGCTAGTCCGAATGAACCCTAGCGCCGAAAGTTGCAAAAGTCGCTCCAAAGCAACCATCATTCAGTCCTGAATATTCAATGCCGACAGACCGTTGTCAATCGATCTCACCCATAGCAATACTCTTTGCCTACAGCCGTTGACCTCCTAGACCTTATCCGGTTCGTGGGAGTGTAGCCGCACATCCAGTCAGTTCTCCCACTCCACTGCCATGCTTGGGCTTTAGCACAGCATGGTCGCGACAATGTCTCTCCACACGACCAAACCATTCGCTCTCTCCGCCTCCCGCCCTTCATCCTTCCTCCAAGCATTCCGCAATCTCTTCTGGACACCAACTCGCTCCCTATATGTTGCTACAAACCCACCCAAGTCAATTCCAGAATATCCCTACGGCCCCGCCCGATTCTACAAACAATCAAACACAGGTCTCTACGGCGGCTCTAGAATCCAATTCGGAAACAAAATCTCCAAGGGCCGAAATAAGGGAAAGACAAGACGGACATGGAAACCCAACATTCGCCACGAAGAACTCTATAGCGAAGCCCTAGGGAAGACTTTAAAGCTCAAAGTCCAGCATCGCGTGCTGAGAACAATTAAGAAGGTGGGGGGCTTGGACCAGTACCTCTTAGGCGATAAACCGGCTAGGATAAAGGAATTGGGTGTTTTCGGGTGGAATCTGCGGTGGAAAGTGATGCGGTCAAAGGCAATGAAGGAGAAATTTGAGCAGGAACAAAGGGAACTAGAATTGAAGGCTGCTGCAGAATTGGAATCCGCCGGACAGGAAAAGATAGCTGTGCCGCGGAGCTCAGAGTAGTCGAGCGGAAATTTTCAATTTGGGATGGGAATGGATGTGTGCCTTTGAGTTGATTGATGTGTCGGGAGGGTATCTGAGTCTAGGTTTATCTTATCTGTTCAACTGGTGTAAATCGTCAGCCTTGCGCTCTGGTGGTGGCAGGATGGGGCGGTAGATGGCTGGAAGATATCTCGCACTGATTGTTCACACACTTACCCCTGCTTACAATGGGATGTATATTAGACTATGTATTTTTTGATGTCGTGGTAATCAATTAATTTCTTTCTTCTCCAAAATGTGAGCGTCCAATCCTGGATGACTACCGCATCTGCGCCCCTTGGGTGGCACGCAAATTTCACATATGTGCTAGTACTTTACAAAATTAACTTTACAATACCAGAAAGCGTAGTCTCGCGTATTCGTGGTGCAGTCCATCCTCGGTTTCAAGACTGGGATCCTGGAATGCTGCATGGCTAGCTGGAGATGATGTTCTTCGAATGTCTCAGATATTCGGATAATATTTGACAATATATATAACCCTGACTAGATGCCATAAAACTGCTTGCCCTCTCGTGGCGCACAACTCAGGTAAAGCAAATTGAAATCAATAAACATATTAATAACTAGAAAACCTCTGAACACACCACATCAATTATTATACAGCTCCAGTGACTAGTCCAAAACATTCTGCTGGATAGAGAGCGGAGAATCTTGTTGTTCCGCCCCGAGGCCCGTCTTCATCTCGCATCCTCAAATTATTATGCAAGCGCGAAGCTCTTAACACGGCCCAGAGACCAGGGGAAAAAAAAAAGAACCACATGTCAAAGTCTTCCAAGAGGAGGGTTTGATTACTGTTGTCTCCCAGCATCCCCGTAGCTGGGGGAAGGAGTTTGAATTTCAGGAATTTTAAAATATACAGAAGATGCAGTTCGCCCTACCCCCGCGCAAGCCTTCGCATAATGTCTCGTACACGCGCCTCTCACACACCTCCACTCGCCGCAAGTTGAAAGTAGCTGCTGTATTGGCAGTTGTTGCTTTCTCGTTCTTTTTCTTGCTCTCTCGCCTTTTCTCCTCTTCTTCGTCTCTTGCGTCTTCGGGAGAGGTCATACCAACCGGGGAGACGAATATAGTAATTGTCACGGTTTTGGATGAGGAGAAATTCAGTGACAAGTATATTCAACGCATTAAGCATAATCGGGAAGATTATGCTAAGCGTCATGGTAAGAATAATGCAAGAAGCTCTTTGGCAGTGAATTACAACGTGCTAATAAGGAGATAAACAAACAGGCTACACAAACTTTTTCGCCAGTACAAGAGAATACCTTCCCTACCTAGACGGCGCTCCTCGCAGCTGGGCCTTAGTCCCTGCCCTCCGCCATGCCTACACTTTGTATCCGAAGGCATCCCATTTCTTCCATATTTCGCCGCATGCCGTCATCATGAACCCTTCCCTCTCCCTGACTTCCCATATCCTCGATTACAAGCGGCTGGAATTCCTTATGATCAAAGATAAACCCGTAGTGCCGCCGAGTAGCGTCATCAAGACATTTAGTCACCTAAAAGCAAAAGACGTGGACTTCATCATCAGCCAAGATGCGGAAAATCTGTGCCCTGGTAGCATGATCCTGCGGCGAACAGACTGGACTCGCTACTTTCTGGATGCGTGGTTTGACCCCTTATACCGCAGTTATAACTTTGCAAAAGCGGAAACCCATGCTCTGGTGAGTGTTCATATTGCCATGTATCTGTGAAATCCAACCCGCAAACGCTTCCGCAACCATAACTACTCTTTTACTAACCCTCTTTTCTTTCCCATCATAGGATCATATCATCCAATGGCACCCCACCCTCCTCGCAAAATTAGCGCTGATCCCACAACGTATTCTCAATTCTTATACGACGGATTCTCCTTCCTTAATGCCAGACAGCCTGTTCAACGACGGAGACTTTATCGTTCGGTTTTTGGGTTGCGATGCCCCTGAACCCAAAAAGACTTGCGAGCAGCAGATGGAGATCTTTTGGACGAAATGGGCCCGGGAGACAAGTAACGCGAATAGATGAGTGTAAAATTTTCTCACTCCTCTTCTCTTTCTATTTCCTTGCTTTGAAGAATGTACTCTGTATGTCCATGAAAAATGCTGGCTTTTTCCTATTATCTAAATAATGTCTGTCGTCCATTGGGCATCTTTTTCCCTTTCCCTTTTTTCCCTTTTCTTTTTTTTTTTTTCTTCTTTTTCTTTTCTGTTCGTTTCATTTCATTTACATATTTGAGTTTTCATGATTGGTTTAGAATTTTACATAAAGATGGAAGGAGCTCAGGATTCAGATCTAGAACTGCTGAATGGCTGTATCCTGGAAATTTTTTGCTCTTATGTATTTCTAAGGTAGTTTGCTACTCTTTTATTCTGTCTACTCTTTTAGACTACTATATTCTACAAGAACCTAAGCCACCGCCGTGGTTAACTAGTAACGCTAGATATCCTCTATATACCTACCGTCCATCCGGTTAGCTGGCACTACCCTATCCTATAGTGATCAAACATCATAAGGCATACTGTACGGCCCAACCTTACTGTATACGTGTGAACGCTTGCTATAAGATAGCGCCTGGTACCATCCACCTTTGTGACTAGGTGGCTTACATCTAACCCCCCTTCAGGTTTGGAACCAGCAACTGGCGCATCGCACGATGTATAATACCTACCTAGAAGGCCAAGGCATTGGACACGAGGTTAGTATTTCAAATTTCTAGAGTAGAACCAGATACTCGCACCACGAATTAGCCCGGTTCCAGGCCTCTTATCCCCTGGCGCCTCTCTCTCGCCCCTTCTCTTATGTCCTGTTTTTTTCCTTTTTACCCTCTCTCCACACTCCTTTCTTCTCTTTTCATTTACTTTCTTTACCCCAGATATCTCGCTGTCCTGGGCCTGACAACCCCCCACAGGGTCTAACACCCTGCAGCAATCTATGCCCACCTGTAATGGCACCACAAGCAAAACCTCCAGGAAGGAGGATAATTTGTACATATAATGTAGATAGGCATAGGCAACTAGACTCCGTCTGGCGGTAGACTAGCTACCGTGCTGGCGCGCCTGATACCCCTAGGGAGGTTTTGTGACCGCGGCGGACTGATTAGTCAGCCCCTGACGGTTAACTACTTATAGTTACCTTATCTTTCTCTCTCTTGCACTTTCTTTATAACCTCACGCTGTGATGGGATTTTCGTTACTACCGCGCTGCTTTATACCGGATTTTACCTGGGCAAATAATATCTCACCTACAGTGACCAGCAAAATACCAGAAACACCTCGCGCGACCCACCCTAAAGTACGCCGATTATGGGGCATTATCCACAAATATCTGAGATTGTTCTCTGAGTCTTATTGTCGCTGGGTCGGGGCTACTTTTGATAATCAGATTGCTCAGCTTCCATTTGGGCTGATTCTGAAGTGGTCTGATGGTACTCGGTTAGAAGAAGTCTTGACAATGTAGGTCGCCAGAAGAGCAGGTCTCCCAGTTCCGAAGGTGATCTGCTATGGAGACCATCCAGATACTCCGCATGCTCCAGTATCAATTCTGATGACTCGTATCCCCGGCGATGAACTTGGTCGAGTTTACAAAATCCCAAGTGACACTGAGCGAGATTCGATCCAATTGCAATTAAAGGGTTATTTAGAAGCAATCCGGAGATGGAAAAGTCCATGGGGGGAGAACAGAATTTGCTCTTTGATGAACACAGCTATTAGGAGCGTTCGCGTACCTAATCATCTCATTGGCCCTTTTGAGTCAGAACAAAAGTTCAATGAATACATGAATACCTCCGGAGCACTGCTTGGTCAGGGGGATTCCCATCAGAAACAGAATACAACAACGCACTTGATTGTGCTAGAAAAGTAGATTCAATGCCTCATCGTATCGTTTTCACGCACGGCGACCTCAAGCACCATAACATCGCTGTACAAAATGGACAAATTACAGGCTTTTTGGACTGGGAGTCAGCAGGCTGGTGTCCTGAATATCGGGACTTTACCACAGCCCTCAGGTTGATTCCGAAAGGTTACTGGTGGTACAACTTTGTGATAGGGCTTGGGGGCAGCTCATACATGGCAGAACTGGATTGTGAACAGGCGTTGACTTCTCTAACAGTTGATTCATATTCCGGTGACATAGAATTGAGAAGGGCAACAGGGTGCATATCACCAAAAGCCAACTTGTCGAAGAAATTCTGGCTTATCTAGCGGCCATGGAAGTGACGGGTTGCAGGTTCGAAGCACGACCAGCTTGATAAAACTTGGTGGCCGTAGATGTGAGAGCAGCTGCCTTTTGAATGAGTCTGCCTGCTGGCTCTCTGAATATCTATGAATGTCAGAGAGTTTGAAGGCACCCAAGGAAAGGGATCTGTAACATCCGCAAATGTTCTTCGCAGTAAAAAAACCCAAACCAAGTCAAATATTTTGAACACATTCATTTTTTCTGATAGAGTTGCCTAGGGTGAGTTTATCCAAATTTCCAAAACCCATTCAAATGTCTTGCATCATTCCTGTGGTGTCCGGCATACTGAGACCCGCCACAGGCATAGAATTTCGATTGCAAGCCACTAAGCAGATAATGATTGAGAAAATCGCTGTATCTACCTGGCACCAAAGGGTTTCACAGACATTCCAGGATGCTATTTACGGCAGCCTATCATTATCTACTACAAACAATATCTAGCCGTTCTACACCATCTACTTCCCGACCTCGAAGGATAGGTAAATAGTAAAAAATGTCCGGTTTGCCCCCAATAATCTATCCACGGATGATACAATGTTCTATCTATATCACACAACCCAACGGTTTTGCATAAAATGGATGAAAGCGAATAAACTATGTTTCACGAATGAAACGAATGAGAGATAAATTTAAAAACATTACTTCAACTAGTTATAGTACATCTGTTCGCAAATTGATCTTCCCCGGCTAATAAAACAGGATTGTTTCACGTTGCATAATATACACCGACGCCGAACACATATTTTTTTTATGGATTAAGAAAGGTTGTTACCCGAAGACAAAGGACAGGCCTCCTGCTGACCAATGTCACAATCCGAGCCTGCATTAAACTCAATCATGGCCACCTCGTCCTGTCCCACCGACAAACACCACGCCGTCCAACCCCTTGCTGCTATCCCCAGACAATGGTCGACTGATTTGATCCCGCGTCTAGGTAGCCAGTCGACAGCGTTAGTACCACCACCCACAAGCGGAAAGCACCAAGCTCAGACAATGCCCGGCAGCATGGCGAACCGCTTCTTCTTATACTTGTCACCAAACTCTTTGCGATACGAGCGCTCCTTCTGTTTCGCCCAGGTAATCATGGGCGCACACGCAACAATGATAAAGAGCACCACGCTCCAACTCAACCCGCTGACCAGATACATACCGACCCATGCAATTACCTCGAATAGGTAATTGGGGCACGTCACCCAGTTAAACCCGAAGCCACGCGGGATGCCCCGTTCGCTCGTGCCGGGCCGTCGGAGGTTTCGGAGCACTATATGTGCATTTAGATTTGCTAGTTGGCCGAAGGCGAATAAAGCTAGGCCAGTGTAGAGTAGGAATGGGTTTGCAGATTCAATCGTTGTAGATGCGGCATTGGAGGTTGGTGCGTAGACCCAGTAGGCGACGTTAAGACCTGAGAGGACCCAGTAGTGCGCGCTATTGCGGATGACGAAGACTGCGGGCATGGTTGCGCGGCCGAAGCGGTGGAGGAAGGCTGTTTCTAGTTCGCGTTTCACAAAGTGGAGGAGAATGAGGGCGCAGAACAGAAGTTGGTAATTGGTAACTTGGGGAGGATTAGGGGTGCGATAGATTTTGGAGCGCATGGACTGCATGAGGAATATTGGGTGGATGAGGAGTGGGCCGAAATATTCAATCAGGTAGACGGTTCGCCAGCCGAGTTGGACTCCTGGATATGATGTCAGAGAGATGATTCTCGCGGGGAATATGTATACGTATTGAGCATCCTAAGATGGTAGAGTGAGAATGCAAGAGGGAACAAGGGAACTGAGGTAATGCGGACCTAGATCTTTTATGTAGATGGTGCTCTGATTTCGGAGGCCGGTGGAGTGTACAGTGGCATCGCTGTTGTTGCGGATGACACTCCCATCGCTGGCCTTGGTGACCCTAATGCGGTGTATGGAAAGCCCGCATCGCGACGCGATGGTGTTATATAGCTCTGACCCAGTTGCGTTGGGATCGATTGACAGCTCTTGAGGAAGTTTGGCGATTGGATTGCCTGTCGAGAAGGTGATTGATTATATTGTTAGCTTTTGATACGCTTCTATAACTTTTGGATATATGGGCGTGTAAGGATATATCAAACTTCGGGGTACCCTCTAAGTTTGAACACACCTCGCGGCTTGATGCTGAGAGTGATATTTGAAGCCATTGGAATACAGTCTCCTTCAAGTGATCAATGAATCAACCAGAAATCGTACTCTCTTGGCCTGACAGTGCTTGCCTGAGACTGGGAACATCAACGAGTTGGAAGGTTACTCGGTTCCCGAGTTCAAGTTGGCCCCAGCCAGTAACCTTAAGGGAAAGAGTTCACGTGATGGACCCAGTTCTGCTTGGCGGCTCTCGAGGCATCCTAATCCGGTTACGGCAGTCCTGGAGCTCATTGCCAGTTTTATACGGATAGCGCAACATATTATGAGGTTCTCTAAAGCTTTTGAGTCTAACAAGTGGAGGAGGTAATTCAGTGTTAGATTCATGCACCCAGTGGTGATCTCATTGTCATCTCCTTTGTCATCCAATCTGTTGGCAGGGATAGATAGAGCTGTGGCATGACATGGAGGGGATGGGCCTGGATAGGATATTTCCTTGATTCGTTATTGGGTGAAGGCAATGATAGCTTCATCGTTATCCAGCAAACCAGGACGATATCTGGTGACTGCAAGGGAGCCCAGTTGCCGAACAGTATGCCTGGTGAGCGGCATTAGCAACTAGAAGTGGAGTGCATAACTATATCTTCCCTTCACACCTTACATCTTGCTTCTTGAAGCAAAGCACGGAACATTGCTGATTCAAATACTGTGACATCCGAAAAACGTATGGCACACAGCGTCAGGTTAACGATCTCAAGGGCAAGAGGTTTTGTACCGACACAAGCGGGGTTGTGCCCGACGTTGGTAGGCAACCGCTCAGCTCAGACTTGTTCTACTTATTTATAGACTAACTTCCATGGATTGTTGACATTACAGCTCGAAGGAGCGTACCAATGAATTGCCCACATTGCTTCCCAGCCAGCCATAGAAGATGACCAAACAATCGCTCACTGATTAATCTGATGAGCTGAGTTCGCCCAGCAAACGGATAGCGCTCTAAGTGAGGTTAAACTGGCATTTAACGACTTCAATACCCGAAACACCTGGGCAGGGGACAGTTGCCCCCAATTTAGCGGCTGAAAGAAGGGACCACCACAGCCTTGGATCCTTGGTTGCATCTTATTAAACCCTGAACATGATTTTGCGCCTTCGTTGTCCTCGTATTTAATAGCCTCCTTTTCTTTTCTTTTCTTTCTTTTTTTTTCTTCCTGTTTTGGGATATCTTTTAGCCTCTTTCATTCAGCCTGGTGGGTGAGACGAACCTCGTGCCGTCGCTGACAGCCGCAACTGATGGACTCTGTGCCCATGACGCAGGCGGGGAAATCGCAAATCTGGCCCAGATATGCTTGTACGCAAAACTCCAACCAACTTAGCACCTAGTAGCTCAAGGGATTGTGCATATCCCAGGCCTGCATTCCTTCCGCCAATCCCGGATTCAAACTGGCGATGACAAACGGGATCTGCGTGCGTCTGGAACCGCCAGCCCTGGATCGCCCGATGGTGGATCTATCTAGTAGACCCGCTGTCTCGTTCGAACTATGGGCGATGTTCCTTTGGGCGGATGTCTGCTCAGCCTCGCCATCAAGGAAACAGGATTCACTCGTTCTGGAGTGCGAATGTCAAATTTCCACTGTATAAATGGATCAACGAGTTCCATATCGTTGATTCGTGTGTGTTCTTTGATTTCCTTAGACGAATAGCTCTGCTTCCCTGTCTCTGTGCTCCCGCGGTATTTGGTGACTGAGATCAGGACCTTTTGTGTTGCTTTCTGAAATCGGATCACGTCCCTATTTGCCCGTCTGATCCAGTGGTTGCTCATATTTCGGTAAGTCATGCAATGTCTAACCATTATCTTCGCTGCCGTGCTATTGCCGCTCATTTGCTGCGGTTCATGTCTTCAGAAGCATCATCATGAGCCCCTATGTGTGGGGAGTGCATTGTAATACCATGTCTCAATGCCCTGATAAAACCTTTATCTCTGGCTTCATGTGCTAGGGTGACCATATGACACATGTCGCTTGGAAGAAACTTAGAAGCCCTCATATACCTGCTCTTGTTAGGCGTTCAGATAGCTTCCATCACCACCATCACCATGACTCTAGGATTGAAGCAGTGGGTAGCTAACATCTGCATCAGAACTCTAATCTTCCCTATCGTTGCCGCTGTGAAGATAACGTCGAGAATGACGGGATCTTCTGGGAACGGTTCTCTCCGCGAAGAGATAGAAGATGGCGTGTCAAAACTTAGTCAACTCATCCGCGCTTCGTTGCGGCCGCTGCCTACCCGAACTGGGGATGGAAGTTATATTGACGAAACGCCGCCTGAACCGACTTTAATCGATGACCTGAAGAAAGTCGGCATTAAAGATCTCGATACGCTGGTTGATGTTGTTCGAAATGCTGCGACGGGAGAACCAGTCAATGATAAGGATTATATCATGGAGAGGGTCATCCAGGTAAGGCACAGCCGCCAAACGAATAGTTGCCTCCAGAGATTCATTCTGGATATTTAGCTCGCTTCCTCGTTGCCCTCCAGATCACGAAATGCAGATAGGTTGAGCAACTCTCTTCTCTCTTTGCTTTGGAACGATCTAAAGCATCCGCCGTTGTCGTAGGTATCTATTCGAAACCTTTCCAGAGGATTTTTTTTTTCTTTTTTTGACGGATTATATGTAGTTATCTCGGCGAAAAGTATGTTTATCGACAGGCAGATGGTTCACACAATGTAATTTGGTATCCATTACCTGAACATTTCGGCATTCGAAGCTAAATGAGATACAGAACATCCTTTGGCCACAAATCGGAGTTGCAGGTTCTTCATATGCGAGGACTGTGCCATCGAAGTCCGTTCAACCAGCAGTGCTCCCAGACCCGGGGACCCTTTTCGATAGTCTGTTGGTTCGGAAACAGTTCAAAGCTCATCCTAATAAAATATCGAGCATGCTATTTTACCTGGCCTCTATTATTATTCATGGTAAGTTATTATTATCTGTGTCAATGATTTTTAGGGTGCTTACATAGCAGCAGACCTATTCCGCACTGACCGTGGTGACTATACACGTTCCCTTACTTCCTCTTATCTTGACCTTGCTCCGCTCTACGGGAGCAACTAGGAAGAATAGAATATAGTCCGATCCTTCAAGGATGGGAAGTTGAAGCCGGACTGCTTTTCCGAGACGAGAATTTTAGGGTTTCCACCCGGTGTTGGCGTGCTTCTCATAATGTTCAACCGTTTCCATAACCATGTGGTTGAAAATCTGGCTTTAATCAACCAAGACGATCGCTTCTCGAAGCCAGCTGAGTCGAGTGGGAAAGCATACGCCAAGTACGATAACGACCTTTTCCAAACTGGCCGTTTGATTACATGTGGGCTGTACATAAATATTATCCTGAAAGATTATGTGCGCACGATTCTAAATATCAACCGGACGGACAGTGATTGGAGCCTCGACCCTCGTTCTGAATCTATGAGAGGCCTTTTCGGTACTGAGATCGATGAAGCAGGTGGGAACCAAGTTTCCGCAGAATTTAATTTGGTATATCGGTGGCACTCCTGCGTTTCGGAACGTGATGACAAATGGACTCAAGACGCCTATAGAGAGCTATTCGGCGATGATACGGACCCGAACAAAGTAAGCCTATCTGATTTCCTAAGGGTTCTCGGCAAATGGGAAGCTGGAATTCCGAACGATCCTCTAAAGCGACCATTTGCCAAACTCACCCGTGGATCAAACGGTTTATTCGACGATGACGACTTAACCAAAATTCTCACGGAGAGCATTGAGGATTGTGCAGGGCCGTTTGGCGCTTCACAAATTCCCGCTGTCTTCAGAGCGGTTGAAATTCTTGGGATTAAGCAAGCACGCTCTTGGAGACTTTCAAGCCTCAACGAGTTCCGCAAATATTTCAATCTCAAACCTCACGAAACTTTCGAGGATATCAACTCTGACCCATATATCGCTGACCAACTCAAGCATTTGTACGACCATCCCGACAATGTCGAACTCTACCCTGGGCTCATTGTCGAAGAAGCTAAAGAAGCCTTGTTACCGGGAAGTGGCCTATGTGCTAGTTTTACTATATCTCGGGCAATTCTTTCCGACGCTGTTGCTCTGGTACGAGGTGACCGCTTCTATACTGTGGATTATACTCCAAAGAATTTAACAAACTGGGGCTTTAATGAAGCAAATTTTGACAACACCGTTGACCAAGGGCACGTATTCTATAAATTGTTCCTCCGGACATTCCCCAGTCACTTCAAGCCGAATTCAATTTACGCCCACTTTCCCTTAGTGGTGCCTGATGAAAACAGAGAAATCCTTACAACGCTGGATTTTGCCAGCAAATACTCATGGGACAAACCGGCGAGGATTCCCCATCCAACCATGATCGAATCGTATGCTGCATGCGACGCGATCCTTAAAAACCAAAAAGATTTCAAGGTTACATGGGGCGAGGCAATTGAGTTTCTGATGCACAAGGAGCGCAATTCGTTTGGTAGAGACTTCATGCTTTCTGGAGATGAGCCACCCAATGCGGCCTCCAGGCAGATGATGGGGAAAGCCTTATATCATGGCGAATGGGAGGCGGAGGTTAAAAAGTTCTATGAACATATTACGCTCAAACTACTACTCGAAAAATCGTACAAGATTGCTGGAGTCAATCAAGTGGACATTGTGCGAGACGTCGCCAACATCGCCCAGGTACATTTTGCCGCGAGCGTCTTTTCACTTCCACTCAAGACAGCAGATAACTCACGCGGTATATACACCGAAGCCGAACTTTATATGATCATGGCGCTTGTGTTCACTTGCATCTTCTTCGACGCGGACCCTGCAAAGAGTTTCCCTCTTCGCCAGGGAGCTCGGAACGTTACGCAACAGCTTGGAGATATTGTCATGTTAAATGTGCAGCTGATCAAGCAAACTGGATTCCTCACGAGTGTTGCTGAACGATTGTATGGAAACGATATCCTGATGGAGTATGGGGTCCATATGATTCGCCGCTTACTCGATACCGGCCTACCTCCTGAGGAGATCGTTTGGACACATATGCTTCCAACAGCAGGTGGTATGGTAGCAAATCAGGCGCAATTATTTTCTCAATGTCTCGATTACTTTTTATCAGAGGAAGGGTCTGTCCACTTGCCAGAGATCCATCGATTGTCCAAGTTGGATACCGCTGAGGCTGATGACCTTCTTTTGAAATAGTAAGTTATCTTCCCATCAAGGTCGCCGTGTTTTGTTGCGCCTAGCTGTGTATTAATTAGGTTATAGTTTCCTCGAGGGAACTAGGCTTCGATCAACGGTGGGCCTGTATAGAGAGGTTGTCACCAAGTCAACTATCAAGGACGGCCTAAAAGTGTTGAACTTGGAACCTGGAGATCGTGTTGCGTGTAACCTGGTAAGACAAAAGCAACCTGAGATCCATTGAAATTATGATGCTCATCGTTTTGATTTAGGTCAAGGCATCTATGGATCCGAAGAAGTTCCCTGAACCCAATAAAGTTGACTTGACGCGGGATATTGACTCGTATATCCATTTCGGACAGGGCCCTCATAAGTGCTTGGGGTTTAATATCTGCATCACCGGACTAACGGCGATGCTAAAAACGGTAGGCAAGCTGGAGAACCTGCGACGAGTACCAGGTCCCCAAGGGGAGCTCAGGAGGATCCCAGGGCCTGGTGGCATTAGCAAGTATTTAGTGCCGGATTATACTGGCTACTTTCCCTTCCCAACAACCATGAAGGTACAGTGGGATGAGGAACTACCACCATGTGTGGGTTAAGATCTCGTCAAATCATGTTTGGCCATTTTACGTTCCGGGCGCTTTGCAGCTTTATTCTTCTCGGGTATTTGTATGTATCTTTTAGCTCTTGAATAATGAAGGGCTTAAGTTATCAGCAAACTTTATCATCTGCTCATTCTGGGATGGACGTAATCGCATAACTGTTCACCATGCCGTGTGCTGGCACAAAAATACGACCGCAACACTGGTGGAGTTCAGAAGCAAGAGGGTGGTTAGTAATGCCGTTTTGCCTAGGAAAGTTGGTTTGGGGGCGATGAAGTCATCCCACTTGGTGTAATAATGGGTGATTGGACCATCTTCATTCTGAGCTTCGTAGAAGTTCGAAGTCCCATATCGATTCGCGGGCAAAGATGCGATATGAACAAGGGTCTTGAGTATATATCAACAACAACACAGCATCCAGCGTCTCACAGATGATGTGTCAGGCAAACCGAGATGAGGTGCGTGGAAGTTTACTGGGTAGGTAAGAGCGTAATTGCGGAGTAAAAAAGAGCAAATGGTACAGCAAGTTTACCGCCGAGAAGCTCCGTTCTGTGTATTTACCCGCGTAATTTTACGCGGTGACAAACAAGGCAATAATAATTTTGGCAAACCAACATCCAACCGACGACTCCTGACAACGCCCAACAAACATCTCTTCTTCACTCCATCGCCACGATCCCCTCTACCATCAAGCCTAGGCTCAGAGTCAGTGACTTCGTAATTAGGATAAAGTGCTCAAGCTTCTGGGAATACGACCTGCACTCGTTCTCCCCCTGCTCACAATTTGGGCTTGTCTTTACCCGTCACGTTTAGCCCATACCTGACTGAACCTGATCGATTCTGTCACCTTTGCTCTCTAACCGACCCGATCGACCTGAGCTATCTACTCAACGCATCAGATTCTTGCTTCTTAAGTCAGTATCTTATCCAGAGACCACTAACAGCAGGTCCGCAAATCAAGGATACAAGCCCCTAAATAGACCCCCCTCCTCAGTCAACCTTGTGGCGACGCAAGGCCGGTCAAGCAACACTTCTAGCGGAGCTTCTCGACCTCTACCACCACCAGGCTCCTGGTAGTGCGCAACCTCCCATGGTGGACTACAGAGCTATATTCTAATATGGGGAGAATAAAGAAGGTGGCGGGCCTTAAACATGAGGCTACAATCGTAAGTTGTATTCGCCTTGTCGTTTTTATATCATTTTCCTTCTTACCTCAGGTTCCCCACCATATCAATTTTATACCCGGCGGGTACGGGTATTGGAAATCTTGATTTGAGTAGGGGCACTTCTTTTTTATACTAATATCTTTTTCATTCTCTATAGTCTCCCGCCTTAGCTACCTTCGTTCAACAAACCACTAGCGTTGACATTCCGGAACTTCCTTCACATCTCTTGACCTTCCCTCGCCGATGGCCGTTCCCCCGAGGCGATCTCTATCATTGGATTGTAGTGCTGAACCGGTTTGATGCGATCCTTCAACAAGTGGTGGAAAAGTATGACCTCCATTTAGGCCCACAGACGAAGCCTTTTGGCCGCTTGGTTCTTCACGATGCATGCGTCTCCGCCGGTATTGCAGCAACGACCCAAGAGTCTGAAGCACATCTGGACAAGCTTGGCTTTGGGCCTGAAGGAGATCGAGAGTTAGTCGAGGCTCTCCTATCGTTCTCAAGACTGCTGCTGGAGAAATGCGGCAATCGGAGCCTATACAGCAGCAGCGATCGCTTGAATGACTTCTTGAATACCACGTCACTTTCCCTTCTTCAGAGTACGCTCCGTCTTGGTGTCAGCTTGGCCCAGCGATACTTTTCCAGACAACGACAATCGAATAGTACTCATTTCCATCAGAGCTTACTTGCCACACACTACAATATTGAATTGGAGCGTGTTCAGAAGCTTGCTGCGCCGTTTCCCAAACCTGCCCCTGCTAAGCCAACTGATAGTTCATCTATTATTAGCCTTAAGGGAAAAGAAAAGGCCACCCAGGTGCAGGTTGGCCGTCGGAGTTCCGTCACCAAATGCAATGCGAATGATCTAATTGCCCTTACTAAGGAGCCGTCTGATGCCTCGGAGCCCAATGGGATCCCTGCTCTGGCCTGGGAGGAATGGGCTAGTATTAGCATGTCGTATTACACGCCCTTTTCGGACACTGCTGAAGTTACCACTTTGGCAGGAGCCGGGAGCACCCCGAATCCCCAGCATGCCCCCGCGACCCCGACTCCTTTGCGTAGAGCTTCTACTCACCCCAGCTCAAGATTGAGTAGAAGTTCAGCAACGGATGATTCACCAACCGCTCCACTAACCAGCTCTCCAATCTATAAATACGAGGAAACAAATAGAGGAATTAAAAATCTAGAGATCCCAAGCTCGACGATAGTAACCACGAGTATTGAGGAAGTTTTGCAAACGCATCTGGAGGAACTTCCAAACGACGCCTCGAAGTATGAGTTGCTACAACGACTTCGTGTTGCATATGCTCTTGCAACTTCCGCAGAGACCAGGCGTCAGATTCTTGCCATTAGAGTCCTTGCAGTCACAAACTTGGCATACATTTATCCGGAAACTCTCTTCCAGCAAAAGGTCCTTAATCATGATTCTGATATTCCGAAGCGGCTGCAACTTGCCTATCAGCTTGCCGAGTTTGTGCACCTCGGTGTCGCAGGTGATATTACCGCTTCAACGCTTAATCAGACCTTCGCGCTCAACTGTCTCGACGCTCTGGCAAAACATAAATCCCGTTCTGCGGATGTTTGCGCGGCCCTTAGCGTGAATGTTAACCACGGAATTCTCATGTTTCTCACGCGCAAGGCTGTTGCAGACCTGGCCATCGAGGAGAACGCGGACGACCCACCTGAAGCTGACGACTGGAGAGAGACTCTGTTTGCACTCCTTCGAACTCTTCCAAATGCTGGCACGCGAACTCCGGAGACTCTCGTGGCGGCCGGATTGATTCCTCTGTTTGTCGACATCTTGAACCTCCGGACGGATAAAGCAAGAAAAATATATCCCCGAGTGATGGAATTCTTGGATACTTTTGTTCATTCTGTTCGAGATGCGTTGGCAACATTGGCTGGAGCCAAGGGTTTCCATGCGATTTCAGATCTAATCTCTTTCGAGACAAAAACGTCGTTCGATTCGGTGGCTAAGGATGCGGGAATTCCGGCACATTTTAAGACGCCCTCCATCGATTACCAGATTCCCTACTTCCAGCAGCAATCCCTGAGGTGGTTATTCAAGTTTGTCAACCATGTAATGCAACATAATAGTGGTGGATTTGAGCGTCTACTTCGGAATCTCATCGATTCGCCTCCACTTCTAACGGCTCTTCGTTTGGTCCTGGAAAACGCCCGTGTCTACGGGTCCCATGTATGGAGTGGCGCAGTGAACATTATGAGCCATTTCATACATAACGAGCCAACCAGCTACGCTGTTATTGCCGAAGCTGGGTTGAGCAAGAGCCTCCTCGAAGCAGTGACTGGCCGGCCCGTGCCGAGCGATACAACAGATGTCAACACTGCCGCTAGTGATATTGAGAACAGTGATCATGCCCCAGCCGAAACCCGACCCCTGTTTATTCCAGCCCGTGCAGAAGCCGGCGATCATGAGACTCTCAAGTCTAAGATTGTCAGGGCTCCGGATCGCAAGCTTGCTGAAGCAATTTTGCCTTCAACCGAAGCTATCGTATGTATCCCCCAAGCATTCGGGGCTATCTGTCTGAACCAAGGAGGTCTAGAGTTATTCCGAAAGTCAGATGCCCTTGAAAGCTTCTTTGATATATTCGAAAGTCCAGAGCACGTGAAATGCATGAAGAATGATTCGAATCTTGTTCGTGTTTTGGGTGGCTCATTCGACGAACTCGTTCGACATCACCCCCCTTTGAAGTCTGCGGTTATGAGTGCTGTTCTGCTCATGGTTGCTCGCGTAGCCCAACATTGCAAATCCAAAGCATCTGAACCTGGACTTGGTGCGAAGCTCTGGACTGAAGGAGAAGATGGAAAGCTTTCCATAGCTGGGGGAGCTTCTTCATTGCTTGGTGATATTGGCTCTGCTTTCACTTATACTCTTGGTAATCAGCAACCCCCTTCAGAGGCAGAGCCAGCGGGGCCAACAGAACCAGCAGATTCTGAGATGAGGAGTGTCACAACGACTCCCGGGGATGGAAACGCGTTGACACCTGCGAAGAAGCCGGAAAATGGCGATTTCAAGGACCTTGATGCGCATGGGCTTTCTGTTCCCAACTACATGTTCCCTGTTGTGAAATTCCTAAATGCTTTTTTCGAGAACCACACTATCTGCGCCAGTTTTATCGAGGCAGGAGGGGTGGAGTATGTCCTTGATTTTGCCACCCTTCAGAGCCTGCCATTCGATTTCCATAACACGGAAGCGAGTCAGCAGCTAGCACAAGTAATCCACTATATGGTTGAGGTGAAGCCTCACCTTGTGCTTCCTTCGCTTCTGAAACGGACCCAGGATGCAGTTGATCGTTTAGCTCCGTTTTGGCGACAGTCTAGTCAAACAGGATTTTTTGCTCCTTTGACAAACCCATCGAAGCAAACCGAGGATACTGCCGAAACTCCAGGATCCGAAGATGTGAAGGCTAAGGGGGCCTATTACACAAAACATCTCGTCGCAGTCCATACTCTTACAGATATCCTCCGCGAAGCATATACACCGCCGATCTACCCAACCCGTCCTAGCCAGCAGACATCTCCGTTTGTCCAGGTAAATTTAGCTGATAAATATGTTGCTCTTGTCAAGCGACTTGGGTCCTTGCATTCGGCTTGTGTCTGGGAAGAAATCTTGCTGCAGAAGGATATGCCAGAATCTTGGAATGAAGCCACTAGAGTTCCTGGATATGGGTTTGATGGAGAGGAAGAAATTGAACCGCTAAGTACTTTACCCGTAGATGATGTATCAGAGCCTGGGGATGTGGCCACTGAAGATGCAACTGGAACAACTGTTGCTGGAACGGACCCTGCCCATGGACTTCCCAACGGCGAGACCACACGTCGAAGCGCGGTTACTCAAACCTCTGTTAGCTCAGAGAGGGGTGCGACATTTAGGAATGTGAAAACTCTCCGTTACCTGCTCAGTTCTCTACCATCCTCTATAACTGGTTTCTTCCAACTTTTGGGTCATGGTCTCATCAGCAAACGGCGAATGGATAACTATCAACGGCAAAAGGCCGGCAACGTTGCTGATGCGATTGCTTCGATGATTCTGGAGCAATTGAACCTTGACGCGCCTAAGAAAACAACCTGTGTAAAAGACCGGTTTTCGTATCTCATAGTCATATTGTCGTCGTTCTCTCAGTTACTATTTGATAGTACGCTTTTCCCCCGTCCAACATCCTTTCTTTTTATTTTTTCTATTCGTGAAAAATGCAACTAACTTACTTGTAGCTACCGCTGAGCGTCCACATTCTCATTGCCTGACGATCATTCTATCGGCTTTCAAGAAGCTAAATGGGATCCAGACAATGAAAGGTTTGTGTGGTTTATTCCTGAATGAGATTAAGAACCTTGGCCCTCAAGCTGGGCAGGATAGTACTTCAAAAGATGTTCCTGCACGTCTGGCATCTGCTTATGGAGGGATTAAGATTATTCTTAATTTCTTTTCCGAGATGACATCTGCTCAATATATTATCGACTCTACCCAGACTCAGGCAATGGCCAGCACCGGCGGGGACCGTGACCGTCCTGACTATTTTCTTCCAGCGCAATTCTTGGTTGAACTTCGAATGGAGGTCATACCAATGGTGCAAGAAATGTGGAGTTCCGGGTTTGTGGAAGAAGCGTCGAGCTCTATTCTGAAATCTCTGATTGACATTCTCCGCTCTGTCCTTGAAGGAGAATATGAAACGGGAGCCTTCCGTCGTGGTGAAAGCCTTCCTGCCGTTTCAGCGGCGACTCCAAGAACCTTCACGTGCCATAGGGAGCGTCTGTCCACACTAAAAGAAAATGGTCATGACGAAAATCTTGCCCGAGAGGCCCTCTACCGCTGTAATAACAGCGCGCCCGCTGCCGAAGAGTACTGTGCCAGCCAGAAGGGTCTCCGCCCACCACCTAGGAGCCCAGTCCCTTCTCATGAACTAGAGCAAGCGACAAGTAGTAGTCCCTCGCTCCGTGACAGCATCTTTACCAACCTTAGCACCTCGCAACCGCCATCGGACGGCACTCAGATTTTGTCTGCAACCCCATTCGATATCGCCTCATTGTTTCCCCACCTTACCCAACCAAGTCCAAACGTCGAGGAACGTGGAACAAACCAAGCAGAGAGTGCAGCAACTCAAGCTGCCCAGAGTGAGGATACAACGAGTACTGGTGGGCTGCTCGCAATGAGCATTGATAATATTCTTAACGATCAGGGAGGATCCCCGGCTGAAGAGAGGAGCATGTCTGCTCAGCGCGCGGAGACCGCTCCTCAACCTCCACCAACTAGCCAACCGGCTCCTTCTCCAAAGCGGCGGGAGGTAGTAACTGTTGAAGACCTGGACAGTGAACGTGATAACGTCCGAACCAACCTCATTGAACGATGTCTCGATGTATTGAATGGTCATCACGACATAACTTTTGAGCTCGCCGATCTTATTGGGTCTGCAACCGCCAGGCTCCCTGACCCGGTCAATTTTCGTCGGGAGGTTGGTGAAACGTTGATGCATTTCCTGATATCTCTCCAGATGGAAGAAAATTTCCAATCATCAGGAAAGAAAATAGCGGCGTACGCTGGCTTGTTAGCCTTGGTACTGCAAGATAAGGATGTGTATGAAGCCACTCTTGAAGAGTTGAAGGAAAATTTCTCGAACCTGCTTGGCTTTATCCAAATCCCATCCTCTTCCGCTGAAAAGCCTACTGATGAATCATGTCCGTGGATTCCGCAAGTTTTGCTCATTCTTGAAAGAGTCCTTTCCGATGACGTAACGCCACCTTTAATTCGGTGGAACCCACCAAGTCCCGATGGGTCTGCCGGACCAGAAGAGCTAGCACAGCTTGAGGAACCAGTTATTCCGTTTTCTGACAAGATGGAGCTTTTCGAAACAATGGTTGATATTCTCCCTCGAATTGGCAAGGACGAAACACTCGCGCTGTCTGTTTCTCGCATGCTCGTCATCTTGACCCGTGAAAGGGATATTGCCGTACGGCTAGGAGAAAAGCGCAACCTTCAACGCCTGTTTGTCATGATCAAGCAATTAGCTAGTGGTTCAGATGACAGACTTCAGAATACATTTATGCTGATCTTGAGACATATAATTGAAGATAACGATACCGTTCGTCAAATAATGAGAAGTGAAATTGTTGCTGGTTTCGAAAGTCGATCACCACGTCAGACGGACACCACAGGATATGTGCGCCAATTCGCCCATCTTATATTGAGGAACCCGATACTATTTGTGGAGGTTACGAATGAGAAATTAAAACTACAGCGGTACGACTCACACCAACGACCACAACTCCTGGTCCTGAAATCCGAAGCAAATGATGCGGCTTCTCGGCGAGATCAGGGCCATTCTAGCCAGGAGGACAATGAAGGTTCTAAGAAGCCAGAGTCTGCCGGACCTCATACTGAACCTCAAGATGGGCAGCCAGCTGAAGGCAAGGAAGATAGGGAGGACAAGGAGGGTAAGGAAGGTAAAGATGGCAAGGAGAAGTGTAAATCAACTGAGCTCAAGGCGCCCGTTGTTGAAAATCCTGATGGGGTGATCCACTACCTGCTCTCCGAATTACTCTCTTATCGCGATGTCGACGACAAGGAACCACCCGCAGAATCTACAGAGAAATCACTACCCCGCACAGAGTCTCAAAGCGATGTAGAAATGGCAAGTGGACCAGCGTCGCCAACTTCATCTACTTCGGGGACACAGACTAGCAAGACTCCCAAGAAGACTGAAAAGCCTCAATTTAAGGCAGACGAGCATCCAATCTACATTTACCGCTGTTTCCTATTACAGTGTCTAACTGAGCTTTTGTCCTCATATAACCGAACAAAAGTGGAGTTCATCAATTTTTCGCGCAAAGCTGACCCCTTCGCCACGACCCCTTCGAAGCCACGCTCCGGTGTTTTGAACTATTTACTGAACTCGCTAGTTCCTATCGGGACACTGGATCATGGAGAATCTATCCCGTTCAAAAAGCGGGTCAATACGTCTAATTGGGCGATGCGGGTGATAGTTGCCCTCTGCACCAAGACGGGAGAGTTTGGCGGGCCATCCAGACGTCGCACTGTTGTAAATGACGACAACGAACCTGAGCTCCTATTTGTCCGCAAGTTTGTCCTCGAGCATGCCCTGAAATCCTACAAAGATGCCAATGCTTCGACTGAACCTCTTGATGCGAAATATGCCCGACTTCTTAGTTTAGCCGATCTATTTGATAAGATGCTCTCAGGGGGCACAAGTGGAGATGGCACCACGCATTTTCCTTCGTCTACTCGGCAGGTTGCGAAAACTATGTTTGAAAAGAATTTCATTTCAGCCTTTACAGCGTCTATATCCGATATAGATTTGAATTTCCCTCCAGCAAAGAGGGCTGTTAAATACATTCTTCGACCGCTGAACAAACTAACACAAACTGCAGTCTTGTTGAGTGAAACATCAAGCATTCCAACCATGCCAGGGCAAACCGATGAAGATGATGATATATCCTCGGCGACCTCTGTATCGGATATGGAAGATGAGCGGGAAGAAACCCCCGATCTTTTCCGACATTCTACGCTTGGCATGTTCGAACCAAACCATGAGGAGGGTACTACTAGCGAAGAGGACTCGGAGGACGATGAAGAGATGTACGATGACGAGTATGATGAAGAAATGGATTATGAAGAGGATATGCCGGAAAACGATGGAGAGGTCGTTAGTGACGAAGATGAAGAGGATATGGACGAGCGAGGGCCTATTGAAGGTTTGCCTGGGGATTCCGGTATGGATATTGAAGTCCTCATCGAAGGAGATGACGATGACGACGACGATGATGACGATGACGATGATGACGACGACGATGAGGACGATGAAGATGACGACGAGGACGAAGAAGGTTCGTCGGCCATGGACGATGACTTGATCGCGGGTGAAATCACTGGAGACAATGACAACGACAGCCTCCAGGATGGAGACGAAGGTGAATGGGAAAGTGAAGATATCTCGGACAATGATGAGGAGGAAGACGGTATGAATCAACTAGAGAACGAACTGGGTGATTTTGCTCAAGGAGACCACGGGTCTAACTTGCAAAATGTGTTACGGATTCTAGGGGAGCAAAATAGAAACCGCCTTGATATTCACCGTCTTGAATTAGATATAGGAATGGGAGAAGAACTTCATGACGACCTGATGGACGACGAAATGCAGGATGACCAAGGTAAGATTCTCATTCTTCCCACTCCTAACTGTTTGCGATGTCCTCTTACGATTTCCATAGACGAGGATGACGAAATTGATGAGCTGGAAGGGTTGGACGAAGTGGACGACGATGAAGACCTGATCCAGACCTTCGGTATGATATTATTTTTCTCATGTTATTTGTGTTATTTTTTGCCTTTTATGTTTACTTTTGAAAGGGAGTTCTTGCTGATAATATATGATACAGATTTCGATCACGCAGGCCAATTTATGTTGCATGACACTGATGCATCAATGGATCACCGCCACGCGCCTCATGGTCGATTCCGTGGAATCCCTCCCCCTCCATGGAGCATGTTTTCTGGAGGCCTGGGAAATCGTCACGGTATCGTACCTATCCAGGGTTATAGAACCCATCGGAATCAAATTCCCTCACGTGGAAATGACGATGGGAGCAATCCACTGCTACGTCGTAACGACCGCCCTACGGACGTTGCGCCTGGAGCTAGAGGTCCTCCCGAAGCTTTGAGTGATTGGGTCCATGCAATTGATCCTAACCACCAAGGGCGTCTTCTCTCGATGGATAGCCCGGTTACATTCATGAACGCAATTATGCAAGCTCTCGGTCAAGGTGGCGGTGGTTTTGGTGTGGTTAGCCGACCAGAAGGAGTCCGTGTTCGTCTTGACCAGCGTCCTATTTTCACCAGTCGTATCCAGGATTTGTTTGGCGTTAGTCGACCCCAAGCGACCACTAGACGTCCTCGTGACGATCCTTATCAAGCGGTCACATTTGTCCTATCGACAACCTCGACTCGTTGGCAAGAAGAAGCACGACTCTTGTTTAATAATTCGTACTTGGAGAAAGCCCAGCGGGTTGTAAATTCCCTCCTTAAAGTTCTTGTTCCCCCGGCTATTGAAGAAGAAAAAGTTAGACAAAAGCAATTGGAGGAAGAGCTTAAGCGACGAGAGGAGGAGAGAATCGAGCGAGAGCGTCAAGAACAACTCGCGAAGGATGAAGCTGAGCGGGAGAGAAAACGGAAGGAGGAGGAAGAGGAAGCGTTAAGGCGTCAAGAAGAAGCTGAGAGAGCCGAGAGAGCCGCTGAAGAAAGTGCACAGCAAGCCGCTGAACATCCTGAAGGAGAGCCTATGGACGGTGTGCAGCCTACTGAACCAACACAAGAACAAGCCGCTGCTCCAGGCGAGGGCGAGGCTGCGGCGGCCGGCCCTTCCGAACCTGCGCCCCGGGTTCACACCACAATCCGCGGTCGCCAACTTGACATTACTGGAATGGATATTGACCCAGAATATTTAGAAGCACTTCCTGAAGACATCCGTGAAGAGGTCATAATGCAGCAACTCACTGAGCAAAGATCACAGGCTGCTGCATCCGGCGAAGAGCCAAGCGAGATAAACCCGGAGTTTTTGGAAGCGTTACCCCCTGATATCCGTGATGAAATTCTGCAACAGGAGGTCGCTGATCGTCGACGACGTGAGCGAGAGGCTGCCCGTCGAAATGCAGCTGCAAGTGGTGGCGCAGCTGCTCCGGATGATATGGATCCTGCCAGCTTCATTGCTACGTTGGATCCTTCCCTAAGACAAACCGTACTCGCTGATCAACCCGAAGAAATTCTTGCATCTCTTGGTCCTGAATTTGTCTCGGAAGCGCGCGCTCTCACGGGGCGAAGACTTGCTCAGTTTGCCGATATAGGCAGGCTAGACCAGCGATCGCGACCTGACGCTGCTCAACGTGACCATGGAGCCAAAAAACCTCAACGCCGTCAAATTGTCCAGATGCTCGACAAGGCTGGCGTAGCTACCCTCCTCCGTCTCATGTTCATGCCTCTGCAGGGAAATGCACGGCATCATATCAATGACATCCTTCATAACGTCTGCCAAAACCGCCAAAATCGTTCTGAGGTGCTAAGTCTCCTGCTTCTGATTCTCCAAGATGGAAGCGCGGACGTTTCTGCTGTCGAGCGCAGTTTTGCTCATTTGTCGCTGCGTGCTAAGACCCCAACAGCGGCGCAGCGGACCCCACAGTTGAAGCGAACGTTGTCATTGCCAGTTCCTGGTGCCAATAATGACGTCACGCCTTTGGTTGTGATTCAACAGTGCTTGGGAGCCCTATCTTTCCTCACGCAATACAATCCCCATATCGCATGGTTTTTCCTCACGGAGCACGACACAGCGGCGTCCCTCAAAATGAAAGCGCTGAGGAAAGGAAAAGGCAAAGAAAATAGAGCCTCTAAGTTCGCGCTCAACTCACTCCTGTCCCTGCTTGATCGCAAGTCGATCATGGATAGCCCAAGTTGCATGGAACAGCTCTCAAGCCTTCTCAGTAGCATCACTCAGCCATTAACGCTCCTCCTACGAAAAGACAAGGAACGGCATGAGAAAGAAACCAAGGAGAAAGAGGCCAAGGAGAAAGAGGCCAAGGAGAAAGAAGCGGAACGCACCGAAGCCACTGCTGAAAGTACACAATCTGCGCAACCCACCGAGGCTCCTCCCCAGGAAACTGAGGGCACTCGTACTGCCGATGAGACTGCTCCGCATAGTGATACAACGATGGCTGATGCTGGACCCACAGAGCAAGGTCAAGATCGTGCTGAAGGTCAAGAAGAAGCGAGTGGGTCATCTATTGAAGAAAAGGCAGAACCTTCAAAACTGGCTGAGGAAGAGAAGCAGAAGAAGCCTCGTATCCCTGAGCCTCCTGTGGTACCAGAACACAATCTTCAATTAGTTGTCCGCATCCTTGCTGCCCGAGAATGTAATGGCAAAACTTTCCGAGAGACCCTTTCGACCATCAACAATCTCTCCGCTATCCCTGGAGCCAAGGAAGTGTTTGGTAAAGAATTGATTGCCCAGACACAAGCTCTAAGTAATTCAATACTGGGTGATCTTGGCGAACTTCTTCCCCATATTAACCAAGCGGAGACTGGTATCGAGGTGCAGGGCATGGCGCTTTCCAAATTCTCTCCTGCTAGTTCGGATCAAGCCAAATTACTCCGGGCCTTGACTGCCCTTGATTATCTATTTGACCCAAATAGGCTTGACAAGGAGAAGTACAGCGAGCCCGAGTCGTCTAATAATGAGGATGTTTTGAAGATACTCTATGAAGGTACCACATTCGGACCTCTGTGGGCGAAGTTAAGTGAGTGTTTGCATTCTATTCGACAGAAAGAAAGCATGCTCAATGTGGCCACGATACTTCTGCCACTCATCGAATCACTTATGGTTGTATGCAAGAACACCACGTTGAAAGATGCTCCTCTCTCAAGACATGGACGGGAATATTCCGTTTCTAGTCCCCCACCCGAGTCTGGAATGGAAGCCTTATTCTTCAACTTTACGGAAGAGCACCGCAAGATTCTCAATGAGCTTGTCCGTCAGAATCCTAAGCTCATGAGCGGCACGTTCTCTCTTCTCGTCAAGAACCCTAAGGTATTGGAGTTTGATAATAAGCGCAACTACTTCACACGTCGGATACATTCGCGTGGCAGTGAAATCAGACATCCCCATCCTCCTTTGCAACTCTCTGTTCGCCGAGACCAAGTTTTCCTGGATTCCTTCAAATCTCTCTACTTCAAGACTGCCAACGAAATGAAATACGGCAAATTGAATATTAGGTTCCATGGCGAAGAAGGTGTTGATGCCGGCGGGGTCACTCGTGAATGGTTTCAGGTTCTAGCACGTGGCATGTTCAACCCCAACTATGCCCTATTCATCCCTGTGGCTTCTGATCGCACAACATTCCATCCAAATCGCCTCAGTGGAGTGAATCAGGAACATTTGATGTTCTTCAAATTCATCGGAAGAATCATCGGCAAAGCTCTATACGAAGGACGTGTGCTTGATTGCCATTTTAGTCGAGCCGTCTACAAGCGTATCCTCGGCAAGTCTGTTTCTATCAAAGATATGGAAACACTCGACCTCGATTATTACAAGTCTTTGCTGTGGATGTTGGAGAATGACATTACTGACATTCTTACTGAAAACTTCTCCGTCGAGTCTGATGATTTTGGCGAGAAGCAGACAATTGATTTGGTTGAGAATGGTCGCAATATCCCAGTCACACAGGAGAATAAGGAAGAATATGTACAACGCGTGGTTGAATATCGCCTTGTTGGCTCTGTCAAGGACCAGCTGGACAACTTCTTGAAAGGTGAGAAACTATCGTCATACAACAAGTGCAGTTTTGGGTGTATTTGAACAGACGACTAATGTCTATTTTTTTTACAGGATTCCACGACATTATCCCTGCCGATCTTATTGCTATATTCAACGAACAAGAACTAGAGCTCTTGATTTCCGGGCTTCCCGAAATTGACGTAGATGACTGGAAGAATAATTCTGAATATCATAATTACTCCGCATCCTCACCTCAGATCCAATGGTTCTGGCGTGCAGTACGATCATTTGACAAGGAAGAACGTGCGAAACTTCTTCAATTCGTCACTGGTACTAGTAAAGTCCCGCTCAATGGCTTCAAAGAGCTTGAGGGTATGAATGGCTTCAGCAAATTCAACATTCACCGAGACTATGGGAATAAGGACAGGCTGCCTAGTTCCCATACATGCTTTAACCGTAAGTGTAATTCCATTGTTCTCACAAGTTTGGTATGAACATCTATCAGCTAACTTTGGATGCAACAGAGCTCGACTTGCCTGAGTATGACAGCTATGAAACCCTACGGCAGCGGCTTTACACAGCAATGACTGCAGGCAGTGAATATTTTGGTTTCGCGTAGAGGGAGCAAAATTGTGTACTTTTCGTGAATTTTTGTGTTTTCTGTTGTTATTTATTTCCCTTCTGATTTTTTTTTTTTTTTTTTCCCAGCCTCTTTCTTTCCAAAATCCCCTAACCACAGATATATCTTTGTCATTTCCATTTTATGACCTATGCACTATGCATTTGTTTATTCAAAGCATCTGGCGGCGCGCTCACCTTGATATTTTGTTTTGTCACTTTTGTTTTGTTCACTTTCTGTGTTTTTTTACCCTGATTCCAAACTGTACACTCGAACGGCACGGGTATTCGATTTGTTCTATATCGGAGGGGAATGGACGGGATAGGGGAGACTGTACTTCCAGTTTTTCTTTTCTTTATACTCCAGGTAACGGGGACCACGTTTCACTTTTCTCTGTCAAGATTGAGCAGGGATGCAGTCTAGCAACGGAGGAGAGGAGGTCGCCAGCCGGAGTGCAGGCCAGCTGCCGTGTCTACTTTCGCTCATTGCTGTTGATAGCCACCGCTCAATCTATCCCCTTGACACCCATGTATCTAGCTTAGCACTCTTAGAATTAAAAGTAGAGATCTCTTCCATGTTTTGCCTATTGAATTTGACATTCAAGAGATGTCGGCTAAGTTACCGAATCGGGCGCTTGCTAGTCGGTATCACGCCAAGACCCGGCAGCAGCAGAAATAGAGTTTTCCCGTGAACTCGGCGGGAAAAAAAAGATAGGCGGCATCAAACGGCCTTCAACCACCACAAACCTAGCTATATATGTTTCGACCTCTCCCTGGAACTCTTCTCTCTCGTGCAGAGGCCCTCTGGTTCTGATATCACACATAGGGGCAAAGGCCATACTTGTTCCTTGAACTTTTTTTTCAGATTTCCCTTTCAAGTCTGCGGCAAAGTGTGAGAGACCGAGCCTACTTACTATAGCTACTCACAAAATGGCGACGAATTCTATAAAGCTCTTGACGGGCAATAGCCATCCTGAGCTTGCTCAGCTCGTTGCGGATAGGTATGTCTGTTCATTTTCGCTATCCATCTGTGTACTTTCTTTTCTTTTTTCGTTTTAGTGAAGTATCGGAGAATATAACCCCCCGCCGCTGCCTCTGATATTTTATTTCTATCGCATTTGTTTTATACTCACTTAAAATTTCTTGAGGCTTATGTTTTATTGATTGATCGCCTTTCTTTTTTCTTGCTTATATGTTGCCCCTGCGTGAAGCGAACTTGGTGACAGTATGTGTATATGGACTAGGACGTTCTATCCCTTACTCCCAGTCCGTCGGAGCTGCGCTGAGAGATGCCCAGTCACTGATCTTACTTTTGGTATTTAAGTTTGCGGAATGGTCTATTTTTTGCTTTAACTCCTCTTGCAGATGGAATATCTTTTACTGACTGATTATTCGATGCGGCTCTGTGAGGGGCTTGCTACCCTCATATCCGCTGCTTGAGTGCCTGCCGGCAGACTTGGTATTGAATTGACCAGGGTTATGGTCCTACAATATTCCAATCAGGAGACTAGCGTGACGATTGGGGAGAGTGTGAGAGATGAAGACGGTATTTATCCCTTTTCCAGACTTCGGGGGGTGTACCTTTCCCACTCCGTTGGAAGACGTACTTCCCAGAATAGTGCCTCTCATGAGACGCAATACTATCCGCCCATTTTGCGGGTTATTTGCAATGCCATGGAAAGCAAATAGCTAGTGAACTAGTAGATACTGACCTTATGATAGTGTTCATTCTACAATCCACCCGTCCAAATGATATCAATGACGGACTCATGGAACTCCTCATCATGATTAATGCCTGCAAAACTGCCTCTGCGAGACGAATCACAGCCGTAATCCCCAATTTCCCCTACGCCCGCCAGGATAAGAAAGACAAGAGCCGTGCACCAATCACTGCAAAGCTTATGGCAAACATGCTACAGACAGCAGGCTGCAACCACGTCATCACCATGGACCTCCACGCAAGTCAGATTCAAGGTTTTTTCAACGTGCCTGTAGACAACCTCTATGCAGAGCCAAGTATGCTACGATGGATCCGACAGAATCTCAACGTTGCCAACTGCGTAATCGTCTCTCCTGATGCCGGCGGTGCAAAGCGCGCCACTGCCATCGCTGACCGTCTCGATCTCCAATTCGCGCTCATCCACAAGGAGCGCGCAAGGCCCAACGAGGTCTCACGCATGGTCCTAGTCGGCAACGTCAAGGATAAAATCGCCATCATCGTCGATGACATGGCTGATACCTGCGGCACGCTTGTGAAAGCAGCCAGCACGATAATGGAGCATGGTGCCAAGGAAGTCGTTGCAATTGTCACACACGGCATCCTAAGCGGCAAGGCGATCGAGACCCTCAATAACAGCCAACTGACGCGTATTGTGGTTACTAACACTGTTCCGCATCAGGAGAAGAAGGAACAGTGCGATCGCTTGGAGACCATCGATATTAGCCCGACGCTTGCTGAGGCATGCCGGAGAACGCACAACGGCGAGTCTGTTAGCTTTTTGTTTTCGCATGCAGTGTCATAGCACCCCTTTCCCATGGCTTTTGGTTGGTTTGGTTGGTCATTCTTTTTGAGGGTTTACTTTTGTCATGTTGGTGTTATCTATTGCTTCTTTTATTTATTTTTCCAGTAATACTTCCCACTGTTAATATATGCCCACCTGAGTTATGTTGATAATTACGGCATCAGCCACAACAGCAGCCAGATCAGCGCTCACAGAACAACATAAGTAGGCGTTTTTTATGTTATACGCACTTTTCTTGTTTTTGTTTCTTCATTTCCCGCTGGGCCTACGAGTGGTGGCGGACATCCTGTCTTTCTGTTCCATATTTCAGCCGTCCACCCCTTCCCACCCAACAACCACGAATACCCACAGCATCTCATGAAGTCCATTGGTTCCCCTTTGATGCCTCAAGGACGCCCGTACGATATATCATAGCAATTATACTGCCCCACAAAAAAGGACATGACCACAATATCTCAATTAAAATGGACTATGGGAAAAGGAATGAATACGAATAACTCAAGTCACGAAGTAGCGAACCGGCGCCTTTTGAGCTCTGAGGCTTTTCCGAAAGATGCAAGCTTACGGAACCTATTGAATCAGCGGAAAAGCCGTTTACAGACCATGGTAACGGATTAGTTGGGCCATAATATGATTTATATATTACTAGAATGAGTTGCGCGGGCAACCTAGATCATAGAGATCAGAAAGCAAGAGCTTGATGAAGAACAAGCTTCATCTATCAACAACCTCTTCACAACCGGATAGCAAATCATCCCTCCACACAACATTGATATATTTTAATGATTTCATCAAAAAAATGCTTCCGACACTGATTTTCGTCATATATTGACTTCATTTCTCTCTATTTCTACTCCTACATCTAACTTGTCTTTGTTGCCAAGTTCGAAACTCCTACTCATGATACCACACCCGGATGTCTTGCACTAGCCAGGGCCAGAATGCCTAGGTATCTCCCAGCCAGAATATGAGCGTTCCCAGAAAGTTCACGAGTCTCTGACACTGGATTCCTGCTACCCACTCTATCGAGATTTGACATCTGGTAAAATCGCGAAAAGGCGGACGCCTTAAAAAAGTACATTGGCAATGATGGCCGTATAGTGTAGTTTTATGTAGTAACAGTGATCTCCTTTTCTTTCGCTTCCAATAGTTGAAATTTCCGGATTGATTTTGGCTCTGTAAGCTCTGCCTCGCGTTGGTAGGAAAGGGAGCTGTAAACAGTGTAACACCGTGCAATTCGGTTAGATGTGTTCAAGCGTGCCACAACGAAGATGCGGTAATGTATATGTGGAACGGGCGCTTTCCAGGATGCCGACGTACGAATCGAAGTATCTAGTTGTCAATAGAAGGATTTGGCGGAAACCTAAAAAGAAGTTTTGGATTTTTTGTGACGTCCCTTTTGCACCAATGGGGACCAGAGGAAAGGAAGAAAAAGTGAAAATACTATAACATGCTTTCCTTAGTAGAAGAAAAAAGAGAAAAAGGAGAAAAAAAAAAACAGAACAATTCCCATTTGTGTATTGATTGATTTGCCCAATCCCACCACGCCATCTCATCATCAAGCATCATCCCTCGAGTACTTGGTTTTCGTCTATCGAGTTCAAACACATGGAAAAACGACTCCCACGCCCACTTCAACCTCCCCTGTCTCCGCTTGGAAGACCCGTCAAGACACCTTCTCTCCTTGACCCCCGAGCTACCATTACTTCCGCATCGACGACGCTCTTCGCTTTCGGAGTTCCACACGCTTGGCCTTCTCCTCCTGAACACGGGCAGCCAGAAGCTTGGCGTAGTCGTTACTAGATTACCAGGAAAATATAATATATTAGTATATTTTCACACGAGAGTTCATTTTCATCACCTCCATCTAGCCGCGGTGCGCTAGAAACCAGAGTGCAGGATAGGGTGTCCAGCTTACGCTTGTTCCTTGGCAGCCTCAGCCCGGCGGCGCTTGAGGGCGATCCGCTGGCGCTTGCGTTGGAGGCGCTGAGGGGTGACGAGACGTTGAATCTTGGGGGCCTTGGTGTATTCCTTTCCGTTCTTGCCGGTAACGGTGCGGCGGATGACGAATTTTCTTACATCATCCTTCTTGTCGAGACCGAAGAAGCTGCGGATCTTGGTGGCACGCTTGGGGCCAAGTCGTTTGGGGTTGACGACATCTGTGAGGCCGGGCAGTTCGCCTTCGCCCTGCTTGACGATGCTGAGGGCCAGAACACTGAGGTCGAAATTGGTAATGGCTGGAAGTCGTGCATTTGACGCGTTAGATTTTTATTTTCGTTGTTCTCACAGGGAGCAGGGAATGGATAATTATATACCTCCGCGAACACTCTTGCGTTTTCTCTCTCCCGTTCGGCGGGGGCGGTAGCAGCTGTTTATTCAGATTAGTATACTGAAGCTCCTTGAAATCTCAAATATGGCTTGGGAATATTACCTGTGTCCATCGCTGAGGAGCAGTCTAACACGGGTTGGGACCAAAACTGCAGCGAAAAATATGTTATCAGTTTCCAACTTTTCATCCCCTAGGCTCCAGTTATCCCGTTCTAGGTCGAATCAAAACGTACCACCCTGCTTCATGGGGAAACCTATTCAGCTCAACACAAGTTAGCAAACCAATTCCGATATATATATATATATAAATTCCAAAATCTTCTTCCCCCCAGAGTGTATTTCGTTTCCGCCCGTACCTTGCTTGTCATTTCCACCAGTGATTCTGAACAAATATCCTTTGAATTCATCCCCCAGAGAATCGCCGGGAATCTATAAAACACCATCACAAAAAGAATCAGCACAAGAGCCCAATTCAAAATAAAATCCCCCCAACCCCCGGATGACATTCCGCCTGTAGGAACGCCGTAAGGGAAGAGGATGCGGAGGTAGAGGGAATTGCTGACTTCGGCTCCCATGCGCTTCTCCATGAACGGCCGGAGTTTGCGTTCATCGTCAATCTCGATCAGTTTCTGGGACCCATTGGCTGGGTAGGATATGTTGAGCTTCATCTTGACGAAGGTTCCGCGGTCAAGACGGGAGGCGCAAATTTGTCGGTCGGTCGGAAGGTTGAGGTCGTCGTCGTCGAGCGTTCTGGATACCAAATCTTTTGTGGTGGGTTTTGCTGGTTGTAGCGAATTTGCTGACTGTGGGAGGTTGACTAAGCGACGCTTAACCGCAATGGGATGGTCAAATTATATAAGCAGCCCTATCCGCCAAGATTAGTCGTTTTGGGCTACTAAGCGCATGATATCAACCGAGCCTCTAGAAAACTGTATAGCATAGCTCTCCTTAATTTAGTCGCGACGCGAGCTATTATTGAGACAATAAAATATATAAATATCTACTTTCTCTCTAAGACAAGTGCAACTCGTTTCTGTACTAATTTTACAGGACATCTCTAAGAGACCATGAAGGACATTGCTTTTTTCCTCTAGTCTTGCCAGAGACCGGCGATTACTTTTATCCCTCCTTTCAATTATACCATAATATAGGCATCCCACCTGATCACATTCTGGTATCAGTCTCAATTGACCTGTTGAGTTCTAGCAGTAGTAACTAGTGTACTCCGTACATAGGTAAATAAACCAGCAGCAAAAGCACACGACTTTTCAGGGATGCGGAGCGAGCGGTTGATAGAGATTTGGAGAACCTTAAAAGATTGGAGTTAACTAACATCTTAGGCTACTCCAGGCCCTATTTTAGGGTGAGTGGCTGTCGTTCTTGGCATCTCACTTAGCTGGCTTTAACTAACTACCTCCAACTAACTAACAACATGTATGTACAGCGGTGTTCAAGAAGTCATCAGTGCACCAGGGGCTCAGCGCTAAGAGTCTCACTTCTTCTCTTCTTGATTCTTCCATCATTCAACACAAGCATCAAACGCTCGCTTACGCTCGCTTTGCTGCTTGCGCAGCCCCCTCTACCACTTCCACCCTCTACCTCTACCCCCCCCTTACCACCCCTATCACCATCATCAGATTAATCAGAGCTGTACAGGCCGCAGAGCCGGCTGTTCAATCCCATGAATTCAAAGGGGTGCATGTGACATCATGTGAGGTCATGTTACAGGGCATTTAGCAGCACATGCCATGAACACAGAGATCAAAAATGAACATAGAGAAGAGTATAAGGAATGTAAATACTGTAGAGAATGTATGAAAAGAGCAGAATGAAAAAAAGAATGAAGAATTGAAGATTGATCTGAGCTGTATCATGTATGAGCCAGAGAGCAGAGCTAAGCATTCAAATTTTGTGAGATGGTTAATCTTCTATTCATTATCAGAGGAGCTAGCTACATTATTTTACATATGAGAGATCATGTGTAGGCGGAGCAATTGCTAGGACAATGCCACTGAGCAAAATTGATAGATAGAACAGATGATTTGATTTATATAAAACTCTTATTTGAATTCTATAGAGAATCTCTGAGCTATTATAAGATTAATTACACAGAGATTGAAGACTGTGATCAAGACTAAGAATGAATTAATTAAATATTAAAGAAGAAGATGTATGTAGATATTTTCTATTAATTCTAGCTATCTAAATCATATATACTCCGTACGCTGTATAAAGATATAATGGGTGAGTACTCTGTAGAATAGATATTATTGATGCCGAGCCCCTAAGTTAGTAGTTAACTAAGTTACAGTACAGTACAAGTAGTTACACAGATATTCTGAACACTACTAAGTTATAAGTTAGTTACTGTAGTTAACTAGTTACATCCTAGCCAAAAAGAACATCAACTGCAGAATTCTTCTGGAACCTCTCTTTAGATCAAGACTGAGTGACAACCATCCATGTTGCATGATGTTTGAATGCTCTTAGCAAGCTACAAAATAGAAGCCATTCATCTTGAGCTTCTACAAAAAATCTGGCCCAATCAAGACTTTTTTAACTTTCAAAGTGATCATCTCTCATTCACAGAGCAGTTCTCAACAATCATTTTGTTTCCTGCTTCATTTATTCCATCCGGTGGGAATAATTTTTTTTCCTCATGATTTAATTCATAATTGCTCATGGTCTACAAACTCTCTTGCTGTTCATTGGGCCAAATTCAAATCCCCAACTGGTCATCAAAAGCTGTCTCAAACCTCTTCCCCACTCCCGCGGCTAGGATTATGGGACATGACATGCACTTGCTAAGAGTAGCATCAGTTCCTTTCTTTTATCTGTCAGGCTCCGTAATTCCTTTTAGACATGCGTTTTCAAACAGCTCTCATACGCTGGGCCAACAAGCAGGATACACTATGCAGCATGCTCTACCCTTTGTGGCTGGTGCATTTTTCCAGGACCAGCCCTTCTCCTCCCGGAAGACCCAGTTCGAACCGATTCGCTTAGAGGTTGGCTGTTTCTGGTGGTTCATGGGGTGATAATAGTAATGAGAAGATACGACAAGATTTGCGCTACGGAAGAGTGTACCAAATGGCTTTCTTGCGAGGTACGAATTCGACTTCTTGATCGTTGCGCATCATTATTTATCATTGTTACTCCGGATGCGTTAGTCACGGGCTAAATTTAGGTTGCTTTCCTTTAGATCTTTGGTCTCCACGGGAATATGGCGGAGCATCATCTTACTCCGGTGCTGGAACTGACATTGACGAACATCAAAGGGTGTCAAACACTAGCTGGGCTAGATCGCTGGTTGCAGACCTGATCCAACCCGCCGTTGGATGATGGAGGAGAAAGTAAATTACATATTACATTGAAATTACCAGGCTATCGAAAGAAGACACGGCAGGAGTTCACTATCCTCGCCATATCGGTTACCATCCAGGATACTTGGGCGATTATTCGGGCAAGCGTACAACTTGCGAAAGAGTTCGTTCGACCGAGCGTAAGTTCCATATTCAACTAACTCTCAGTCAGGGGAGGTAAATAAATCACAAATGACATGAAGTTGATCCTTTTGTCAGCGGCAAATGCGGCATATATTTCTGCATTCACAGGAGCGGAAACGTTGGTCGATATACCTTATTGAAACCAACTCTGGCATCCCTAACCTGGCATGCCAGTGACATCAGTGGGCTAATTGACCGAGATCGAATCTTATGGTAAAAAGGGCATGGTTTGGGCCAAGCTTATACAGGCATGCGAACCTCGCAGGGAATTATTATTCCGGGGCCAGGAAAATTCTTTCTCGGTAGTTATGGAAAACAATCCTCTTTAGGTAATTATGAGACTAAGCCCTTGAGATTAACTACCTGCGAGCCGAGGTTATTGGACGCACTCAGAGATTTATGCTAAATATTTATCCATAGCAATGAGATGCATCTTGGGCTAACAGCACGAAGGCTGTTAGTCGGGATTATTTGACGCTGTTAATACCCTGTAGCTCTACCAAGAAGACCCCTCGGACTCATGAGCCCTTGTCCCAACCGCATCCTAGGATAAGTTGCCAACCGCCTAAGGAAAACCCTTTGCAGAATCCGCAAACGACGCAAAAGCGGGCCCATCTCATTCAAGAACCCCTTCCCGCTCAGCGTAGGAAATCATCCGGGATCCATCGCTGCATGTCTTATTACGTGATGTGATCGCGGCCGGTTTGGGATACCTGGATAATCGTTTTTGTTCTCAATCAGCTCGCCTAATTTCATTGTCGCCAGAGCAGACATTTTAAGATCGAAGTTGGACACTTGGAGAATGAAATGAGAAGTGATGAATCGGCAAAGACAATTTCATAAACATAACAAATCCTCCTACCACCTCTATGTTTTCAAGAGCTTCCGGAGCTCCATGCTCTTTGTTGATAAAGTCGACGAAAAATGACGCGCATCTGCTCCATTATTTGTACCACTCTCCCCTAATATCACTCTCACTTCCTGTTGTCCTGCGCTCTCCACTAGTCAAATGCGGTCTATCCAATGACCCTTTGTAAATTCTCTTCGTTGGAATCAGCAATTCTTCATCGCATTGTTGCAGCTCCGGCTTGGTTGGATGTCTCAGCTCAAATCACCTCTGCAGTTTTCCGCTTTCATCAGTGAACCTGGGGACAAAGGAACCAAAACAATAGCTTAAGTTTATGGAGAGTACGGACAACCACGCTGCCTGTTCTTTGCAGACTACAGCCCAACGACTGCGATTGTTTGCAACTGTTGGGTTGCGCAAACTAGAAACAAAGAAGAGCGACTCTTAGAATAAACCAAACGTCCGTTTTGCTAACAACAAAGGATTTGACGCTCGTGAAGCGTCCCTATTCGCCACGTTCAAGCTTAATTTCTTACAGAAAACAATTCGTCCATTCGGAGTACAAGAGCTCAAGCTATGTGCTTTCATTCTCTCTCGTTCATCGTGTCTTCTCCGTACCGCTTCGATAATATCTTGATATCTATTTTTCTTCTTCCTTCGCTATCTTCTTTTTCACCCTTTCCTTTCCTTTCCTTTCGTTTCTTTCTACGTTTTCTTTTCTCTCGTTTATTTTCCCTTGCTTAACGCTCATTCATGTCTTGGGATCGAGTTCTTCCAAAACCCCCCGCTCTATACTATGATCCCATCGGACGTGATTTTCCGACGCGGACCAGCACCCCAGTGGACCATCAAATTATGATAGACAAATTCTCCAAAATTGCGGATGAAGAGAGTTGTCACCAATCGGTCGGTCTGGAGAGCAGAGCCCTGGGAGCTTCTCTCTTAAGAGCCACAATCCCAAGTCCCGAAACTTCCGTATTGCCTGAGGTCCCACCCCTAATATCACCAATTGCCCGAAAGAGACCTTGTTCCTTAATCACATCCGAGGCTGCAAGACAGGAGCGATCCGCATCTTCAAGCTCCTCAAAATCCACATCATCGAAAGAATCATCCAGCCTGCAGTTTTGCCTCTGTCAGCCCGATCCCAAAATCCCTCGCCCGAGAAATGGTCTGTTGGTTTTGATTTCTTTGTCATAAATTACGTTTCTTTTGGCATAAGAAGGGGCGGAACATGTATTCCGCATTATCTTCCACTTTGATTCGATATGTTGGTTTAACTGTGTTAATATGTTAATTCCCCGTTCATTAGCTTTCATTCTTTTCCGCCAACATTTCCAAGCCTCTGTCGTTGCCCAAAATCCTGGCCTTGCAAACCCCGACATATCGAAGATCATAGGTGAAAAGTGGAGGACTCTTCCTGTAGAGTCGAAGCAAGATTGGAAGAATCTGGCTGAGGTGAGAAATTCGAAATTCTTATTTTCGTTGATAGTTTCCCAATTATAAAGTAAAATGCAAAGGCAAAGGGACAGGTTCTGATAGTGGACTAGGAAGAAAAAGCTCGGCATCAGCAGCAGTACCCGGATTATCGATACCAACCTCGCCGCTACGGCAGAAATGGTAGCAATAATGCCGGGAATAGCTCAGGGATTAGCAACAACCCAACCGGTGCTTCTGTATGCAACAGATGTGGCGGGCGTGTCATGAATCCTCCATCTACTCCGAACACACCATTTACCTCGTCCGGCCCAAGTCCGGTATCTTCCACCTCGTCCTCGAGTCAGCCAATTCAGTCTGCGCAACGAAATTTTCAGGAGCGACGGTCTAGGGATGATATTGGGCTCCCAAGCCCTATCCAAGTAACAAGAAGTATGGATCGCCGAGTGGCTGTCCGTAGCCAACTACGTGAAGAGCTTATACCACTGTCACCTGACTTCAAACGACGTCGTTTCAATGGGAATGGTATATATGTTCCCGTTGTGCGTGATATGAGTCCCGAGTACCCTTATTCACCTCGAAGAACATCCCTTCCACGGCCCGATAGTTTGTATCCCAGAGCTCCTTATTCATCAGGAGTTACTCCACCTGGTCGACCTTACCGGCATGGTTCAACTCAGCAACCACCTCTCGACCATAGTCTGACGTTGCCACCGCTTCAGACAATGTCTCTTTCGCAGCAAAACCAAACCAATGTTGAGGCCAAGGTGATGAACATATCGTATCTCAGCAAGATCAAGGTTCTCGCACGAATTTCTCCTCCGGTGAGGTCGTGCGTTTCCAAGGGCAGCTCGATCAGACGGGGAGCTTTAGTGGCAGTCGAAGGACAAGCGCAAGAATCTGTCCAGCAGATGATCCAGCATCTGGAAACTACCTTATTGAAGGATGGCAAGAACGTTGCCCGAATTTTTAAAGGGCCAGAAGCAACCACGCAACAATTCAACAGTGACAAGTCAGGAGATTCCCGGGATCCAACAGTCCAATATCTCGAAACAATATCCGCCTGGCACACAATATCCAAGGAAATTGTGTCTTTTATCAACGGGACGCCAGAGTCTTCGTCAATGCCGACTGGGCTGGATGAGCCAGCCTCTGGCATATCCCCTCAATCCATCGTCCCAAAAACAGCCCAACTCCGCATTGGCTCTCCAGATGGATTTTCCCCTCCCTCTGCGCCAACACCGGCGCCCACACCCACATCCGTGTCCGTACCGGCAACCGCGATGCCTGCAGAATCGGAATCACCGTTCCACATTGCCCTTGTACCCGGCTACCAGCTAACGACGGCTGATCTTCACGCATGTTCCACGCCCATCAACGACTTTTACACTCCCACCGACCATTGGCAATGGATGGCCTCGCTTTGGCGCGGGTGCGCTGGTCCTGATGTCACCGTATTAATACGAGACTGCGATAAAGAAGAGCTAGACAAAATCGGCAGCAACTCGGTTGAAAATTTTGAGGAAGCTCGAACTCTAGTTGTACGGCGGTTAGCTAATTCGGCGCAGGGGATTGAAGGGAGAGTGTTGAGGGAGGTGGGATTTGAGGTTGAGAAATTTTTGAGGAAGTAATGTGTTTTTTATTTTAATATACTATTTTATTGACAACACTAGGCATTATTGATTCTACCTGGGTGACTTATTAATCACGCAGACAGCCGAGATCTAATTGCCTCTTTTTCCCTGCCCATCGGTTATCTCGATTTCTTTCTCCCACCCGGCGCCTTCATTTATCAGTGTTTCCAAAAATCCCAAGACTGCTTTCTGCATGCAAATGTGCATCGTTTTCTCCAATGTTTTCTCAATGGTTTTCGCTATGCAGTAATTACTTTTTTCTCCCCTTTGTTCCCCTGTAAACAGAACGGCATAATTTGCTAGGTGTGGGGGCCTGGATTTGCATTTTTCTTACCTCCATCCATCAGATCAGTTCTCTCATTTATCTCCTGAGCATTGCGACCCTTGATGGCTAATTCGTTAGAATCTCTTGGTTCGACCGCTTTTCCTCATCTCCTTTTCCTCCTTGTATTTGTAGGCTACTAACTACTGGGGCAAAAGAGCTCAGTCACCACCAGCGCACTGCTGGTAGAAGGGCCGATCAACCCGGGACCCCCAACAGTATAGTATTGTGGCCTGACTCCTGTGATGTTCTTGTGGTTGGTGTTATATACTGCGTAACTCTGCAATTATTACTATTAACTAGTAGTAAAATACAGAGAATCTAAAAGTTAAAACAATTCCTTACACACTGTACAAAAATCTACACGAGGTCTAGACTCTTTTATTCTGCCCAAGGCGGTGAAGTCGGCATTCACTCTTGCAGGCAGCCCTAACTGCTGTCAGCAACAGCTCGCTGACAAGCCGCAGTTGACATGACTAACAGAACAACACATCCGCTCCCTGCTAGGTGATGTTAATTGAAGACAAGGGCACAGTATGTTGGACGTTTCTCTTTTCTCTCAACTTATCCGATTGGAGCGTCCATAACATGGCTCCGTTCCGTTGACTCAGGACCCCTTCTCAAACTCCTCGCAAGGCCGCTGATGAGCCCATAATCGACGAAGATTTTCAAACTGTGTCTGGCTTCTCTTCTGTCATACTGACCAGAAATGAACTTCTCTGGCATTGATCCAGTTTTGCCAACAAATGGCTTGCCACAGGTAGGTGTATCCAATAGCTACTGAGCCTTAGAAAAAATTCATATTGATGTTTATCAAATGAACAGGATTCTCCGCTTGCACAACAGCTCCAATCTGCGATTGCAGATATCCTACCTGATGAGCTGGCTGCGCCATCATCGTCTTCATCTACTCAATCGAGGGCCACATCCCCTTCCGCACCCTCCGTTACTTCGTCATTCGGATCATCCCCGCCTACACCACACCACCCTGTCACTAATTTGACCCTAGAAAAGGAGAATTTACTGGGTGACTTGAACCACTTTATTCCCGTGGGGATTTTACAAAGATGCGATGAGCTAGACAATAATCACGAACCCAGAGTTATAGACCAAGAATCGGTATCTCCCTACCCCAGCGCTGCGCTCTCGCAGCTGGAGCAAAATAATTGGATTCGAACTTCTATTTGCCGCAATAAGAAATTTCCTGGGTGGAGTGCTATACGTATTTATGTTCTTCCCGATGACATTGGTAGGAAACACATCCACCGATCCAGCGGGGTGTTAAGGGGATGTTTGAAAGTAGTGATGTCAAAGGTGGATACATCGGCGACGGCATGGGAAGGTAATTTCGATCCCTATGCACAACCAGCGCCGAGATCCGCGGAGGTAGAGTCATTGTTTTATATCTTTAATACTCTCGAATCACCAACCCCTGATATTGACAAAGTTTCCGACCCTCATGCAAGAGCTGCGATCGAAGAGGTTCTTTGGAAAGAAGGGGACTACGTTGGCGGATCTGATGAAGATACTGGTGTTATTGGCCTGAAAACTCCCTTGTATGCTTATCAGCGCCGTTCAGCAGCGTATATGATTCAAAGAGAGTCCGAGCCAGCACAAATGCTGGACCCTCGTTTACAAGCACTGCATGGCCCAACTGGACAACCTTATTATTATGATAAAGAAGAAGGAAACATTCTTCATGAGAAACGGCTCTACTCGGAGGCGTGTGGCGGTAAGGCCCTGGTTCGCAGTTTCCTTTTTTTTTTTTTTTTTTTTTTTTTTTTTTTTTTTTTTTTTGGGGTGAAGGCCTACTCACTCATAGAACGTACAGGAATTTTGGCGGAAACGATGGGCTACGGCAAAACTCTGATATGTTTGGCCGTTATACTTGCAACGAGGGGCCATTTCCCTCGCATTCCAATTCACTGTATGGAAGGCCTTCACCCCGTTCGTGAGAAAACAGCATCATTACTTGAAATGGCTGCAGCAACCGCAGGGCGTTTCTCCCTCCCGTGGAAGTCGTACTTTGAGCGGTTGGGGGCTTCGGGAATGCATTTTGAAAAATGCATATCAGCCTGTGAATCCAATCGTGGGAGCTACGCAATACTTAGGCCACCTCAGAGGTATAAAAGCCGAGAAGTTGCACTGAAAGTGACACCTACCAAATTACGGCTGTGTTCTGGAACCCTTATCGTCGTACCGCCAAACTTGGTTGACCACTGGTTAAGTGAAATTGACAAGCATACGCAGGGTCTGAAGGTACTTGTTCTCCGGGACAGTCGCCGTGCGACTCCTCCTCCAGAGAAATTGCTTGAATATGATATTCTTCTATTTTCAAAGTCACGTTTCGAAAAGGAAGCTGGTGGTGGTGGACGTTCTTCAGGTTTTGCACCAGAACCGCGGAAAGATTCCCCATTGAAACGTCTACATTGGCTTCGCATCATAGTCGATGAAGGTCATAATTTTGCTGCCAAAGGTGCACGAACCACGGCCGTCCATGCACTTAGTCAACTGCACGTTGAGCGACGTTGGGTTGTTTCAGGTACCCCTTCACGTGGCCTATATGGCATTGAAGTTGCCCTAGCCTCACAGGAGAGTGTGGAAGGAGGATGTGAGAAACAAGGAGATGCCTCATCCATTTTGCAGGCTCGAAAAATGTCAACCAATGTCATGGAAGAAGAGCTAAAGAACATAGATAAACTCCGGTCAATTGTTGTTGACTTTCTTGCCTTGAAGCCTTGGTCAAACTCAAGAGCAGAAGACCCAGCCAGCTGGGCAAAGTATATCAAACCTGTTGGGCTGGATGGGAATCGCAGAACTTCTCCGTCCCTCCGATCTACGCTTCAATCACTTGTGGTCCGGCATCGAGCCGAGGACGTAAACAGGGATCTAACGTTGCCTAAGCTGCATAACAAGGTGACTTACTTGGAGCCAACTTTCTATGACAAAATGTCTTTGAACCTTTTCATATTCACACTTACGGTCAATGCAATCACCTCTGAGCGGACAGGTGAAGATTACATGTTCCATCCCAAGAATCGCAAACATTTAGCTGTCCTCATTAGCAATCTGAGACAAGCTGGTTTCTGGGCCGGTTTCGAGAAAAAAGAGGTACAAAAGTCGGTAGATTTTGCCCGGGAGTATCTCGGGAAGAACACTCACAGGATTGATGCAGGCGATAAAAGGCGACTGAGTGAGGCAATTATCGTCACCGAAAAGGCAATAAACTGCAAGTCTTGGGATGCTCTTAGTAAGTTTACTGAGTTGGGGATTTTTCTGGATGAGTTCCCAGATCATGCACGCGCCGAATGGGCAATTGATGCCAGCAATGGACATTCTGAGCCCTTACTCCTTGGGATCTCACAAGCCAGACATGCACAAAGGTTTGTCGCTTCACACCTTTGTGCTTTTGACCCTTCTGAAGGTATCGCTGGCGCCGGAATCCGGGCGCGAAGTCAAATGAAGGAGCGAGGGAATGTGCCTGATAAAAAGCCCAATGATAACCTTGTTCACCGGCCAAAACCTGAAGGAATTGAAATTTCGCTGTCGAAGAAATCATTCTCTCTGGGCCGCGTCAAGAGACTTTCTCCCGAATCACCCCTCAATAAAACTAAGCTAGTTGCTACTGCGTCAGCCAAACTCACGTATTTACTAGATAAGGTGCTTGAATTTCAGGAACAGGAGAAAATCATTATTTTCTATGAAGGGAATAACACGGGCTTCTACATTGCAGAAGGACTTGAAATTCTCGGTGTCGAATTCCGAATTTATGCAAATACTTTGAAAACGCAGACCCGATCGGAGTATCTCTCACTGTTTAACGAAACGGAAACCGTACGGGTCCTACTTATGGACCTTCGTCAAGCCTCCCACGGTCTTCATATCGCGTGCGCCTCCCGAGTTTTCATCGTAAATCCAATTTGGGATCCAAACATTGAAAGCCAAGCAATCAAACGAGCTCACCGCATCTCGCAGACCAAGCCTGTTTATGTGGAGACCCTTGTTCTTAAAGGTACGCTCGAAGACAGGATGCTTCGGCGACGGAAACAGATGTCAACTGCCGAATTGCGGCATGCGGAGAAAGATCCCCTAGATGACCAGACGATGAGCAGCATTATTCAAAATGAAGAGGTCATCCCTATCCCCGAAACCGATGCTTCTGAAAGACCTGCATACCTGAAAATACCCGTCGGTTTTTTTGATCGACATACCTTACCCATTCCTGACGATTACCAGGAGGTTGAGCATGTATCGCCAGTCTCGTTGCCACATTCCCCATCAGCACCGGCGCCTGTTAAAGTAGCGACTCCCACTAAGAAAAGCAAACCTTCCAACGATTTCCCTTGGCTAGAATCAGATGTCCAGTCGTCATCGAATTCTAGTCCAAACATACGTAAAAAGAGACGTTTGAACGGGCATTTGGAGACTATGAATGGTATCATTATGGAGGCTCCTCGGACCAGAACACCACCCTCCCGCCGCGATCCAGTCCCGCAAGTTGTGCTTCATACTAATTAAGGCGCATCTCCGGCTGATAACACTCACGCTTTTCCTGTATTGTATGATGGCCCAAGTGATACAGTTGAGGATCTGCCTCGTTCTGAGGAGGATCCTGAGTCACACCTTTTCGAAAATTTATTACCTCTTGGCGCTGGCTTCTTTATTAACTCAGAGCTCTTTCTTAAACTAGCGTGTCGGTTCTTGTTTCACTATTACGTTTTTTTTCTTTTGTTTTAAACTCTGCCTGGGGTGCGGCAGCTGGACGACTCGTCCTGGCGTTAGGTGGTGTTCTGGATGTGGATATGGATATGGATATGGGTATGTATGGGTATAGGTAGGGTATGGTTATGGACATGGATCTGAATCCGAATATGGAATCTGAGTTCTAGGACTTTGAAGCCAATCATGGTGGCAGCGCAAAGTGGGGGGCTGATATTTCTCAAGTTTAAATACTGCCATATATTTCCCATTATTGTACCGCACTACGGCAGCCTATATATAATATAGTGACATTTGGGTCAAATGGGTATTTTTTGAGTATTATTTTATACTAGTGTTACCATCGCACATTGGTTCTAATCAATGCATGTAACGATAGTTATCTATGTGTATCTTGACCTTCCTTACAATGCTTTATTAAACGCGTGGATACAGGAGAAATCCCCTAAATAGTAATTGTATTAGCTGTGGCTTCCGCAACAAGATTAACCGACAACATCCAAATCTTAACATGGACTCCAGTATGGTCGGGAAGACATAACTACCTGCTACTCCTGCTACTCCTCATATTCAGTCAGAAGCAAAGTATGCTAATTTCCAAGCTCTCATCAGTCAAAAGATTCCCATATTGGTCTATTGCTTAACCTTGAAATCTCTAGCGACATGCTATAGCCCATATATGTAGTTACCCCGCCGACATCCAACGTCAAGCAAAACATGACCTCCTCAGAACACACTGGAAACGAAGCTGCACCAGGCCAACCCGCTCACAGACAAACAATTGTCGTAGGGATATCTGGACCATCGTCGAGCGGGAAAACGACCCTTGCCCGCCTACTTCGGACTGTGTTCACACCAGATTCAAAACTTGGAGGCGGCGCTGGGAATGCAGTTTCGGGAGCAATTGAGAACAAGGAGGCGGAGAGAGCGGACAGGGACAGGGTTAAGGATAAAGAAGCCCTGATGGTGTTTATCGTCCATGAAGATGATTTTTATAAACCAGATGATCAGTATGTGCTGTTTCACCCGTACCCCCTCCCGACTTGCATCAACATGGGAAATTGGGACCTAGATTTACCCTCACATACGCATGTACTGTACAATGGACTAACAATAGTTGAATGCACTGTACATCTCGGCATACAGAATACCAATGACAACCACCTCATCGGGAAAACGTGTGCAGGACTGGGATACCATCGACGCACTTGACATTCGACAACTGGTGTCTGTACTCTCCTACGTACGCTCCCATGGCATTCTACCACCCCGGTTAAAAAGCAAAGAGGACCTCAATGAAGTTACAGATTCGGATGTTGGAGAGGACACGATTCGTCGCATTCAAGATGACGTTGCGCGGAGGATGGAATGCATACTCTCAACAAAATCTGGGAACAATTCATTGCCCTTATCACTCGCGTTTCTAGAAGGATTTCTGCTCTACGCGCCACCGGATGATGAGGAACATCCCCTTCGGGCCGTGCATGATAATATACATGTGCCCTTGTTTCTGCCTGCTACGTACTCTTTACTGAAGGAGCGGCGGGAGAGTAGAACGGGATATGTTACTATTGGCCCTGCACCTACGCCGAAGTCGGATGAAGATAGTAATAATAAAGATGGATCTACAAAGTCAAGTCCAGATGTCATTAGAGATATTGAAAACGATGAGCCCATGCCACACCAGAATTTCTGGACGGATCCACCCGGGTACGTTGATGATATCGTTTGGCCGCGGTATATAGCCGACCATCGGTGGCTCTTGCTTCGTGACCCGGGTGTGGAGAGGAGTGAGAATGAATTGAAAAAGGCTGTAGGAGAAGGCGAGTATATCAAGGAGGATGCTGGAGTTTTGGTGGCGCCAGGAAAAGGAGGGGCTGATATGACGGAGTTGTTGGAGTGGGCCGTGAGAGAGGTGTTGAGTGTGGTTGAGCGGGAGGTGAGGGCACGTTAAATGACTATATACTTGTTGGAAATTCAAATAGACGGAGAGTAAGTTACGGATTATATTATATTGTTCTGAATATGGTTAGAGAATTTGTTGAGGGTGTTCTAGGAGTGTTTTTACGAGCGTTGATGGCAGTTGGAACGGCCGCAGTGAGGCTGATTTGGAGCCTCGAGCAGAAGTCCCCGACATTGCCGATGTTGCGATCGCCGATCTACGGTCTCTAGAGGCTTGGGCTTTGAACCTGTTTCTGGAGGTTTTTGATCGAATCCAAACCCAGAACCCCAGAGGATGCCCACCAGCCCACTGTCTGCAAAACATATCAACATTTTGCTAAAGCTAGAGGATTCACGATCAGCTCCCGTCACCAAACGTTAGAGAGCCAAATACTTCCTGAAGGGAACGCAGAGCTCGAGAAGGAGATGGAAAAAAAAAAAAAAAAAAAAAAAAAAAAAAAAAAAAAAACTGCTAGCGCTAAGCTCAAGCTAAATATTTAAGGAAAAGGGGCAACGTCGACAAGTTGAACCAACGAAAATCTTCATCAGCTCGTATTGAGAAGACCAGAATCGGAGGTGATGACCAACGACAACCGCGTTTCTCAATTTTCCAAGGCTGTTCATTTTTTTTATTTTATATTTTGCAAAGTTTCCATTTCTCTCCATCATTATGTTTCCGATTCCTGCTTCAGCCCTAGCGCGTGGGAATTTTATATTCCCTACAGATAATCAGCATTCAAAATGGGTACACCGCGAAATCTCTCACTACAAACAGCCGCAACACTGATTCTACTACTTTTCAGCAATCAGATCCACGCTCAGCAGGAAGATAGGCGCCCTCTCTCCTCCCCTGATGTAGGATGGCGAATCACGACCGTATCTGGGAGCAAGTCTGCTAGTATGCTCAATCTAACCCGACCTTTATATCGAGGGGTATATATGACTCGAAACAACTAACACGGTGATAGTGCGCGTGGTCTGTGATCATGGAGACACCTTCACGAAGTCGGGTAGCTATTACACTTGCTGCCCAGCATCTGCGACGACTCCCTGTTTGCTCCCGACAACTTGTTCTGGCAACACCCTTCTATTCCCAGGGGCCAAGACGCGGGACTGGTATGTACAATATCCATTCCCATGTCTAAACAACGGCAGTTCCCTAGAAATCGTATAGCCGGTATTTCGTTCTGATTTTGTATCTGGCAACAGTAAGAACAATATATGCGCATCGCTTCTTATATACGAAAGCGCACCATCTCAAAATCTGCTCGGAACGCAGCTGGTCTGCAGGTATGATCAGCTCGGGGATAACACTCCGTGGAGTGTGTATAGGAATTTTCCAGACACTACTACATCTGGTACGTAGATACTAGTATTTTTTGTTCCTAAAATACTAGATCCGAACTGGACTGTGAGAATTGACATTTTCTTGTTACGGTCCAAGCTACCCAATCCACAAAGACGAACGCATCACCCGCTCCCACAGCCAGACCACCAATCATGACAGACCCAGGCAACCCCCCCGAAACCCCATCCACCAGTAGCAGCAATAAGATCTGGATAGCTGGCGTGGTCGTTGGGGTAATAGCCCTTGGCTGCCTTATTGGGTTGCTGGGCTTCTGCATTGCCCGTCGCAGATTACAAAAACGGCCGACATTATCCAAAGACGATGACATGGTTCCTGTTAACACGCCCTCTGTTGATGATAAGGATTATATGTATAAAGCTTACCAGGGAGCGGAGCTACATAACCGCGATCGAGCGGAACTTCATTTTGACCAGAGACCGGTGGAACTAAGTCATTACGGGAGTAATGTGGTCGAAATGCCGACACAGCATGATCGGCACTTTGTGGCGGAATTAGACGGGGCGCCGGTACGGCGGTGATATCATCTATATTTACTTTCTGCCACCTTTGTGTCCCTACTTCTATGATATTCACATGAGAGGAGTTTTTGGAATATAGATCGAGATGGAACGGTGGTTATAAATGAGTTAGATTGTCTGCAAAGGTAGACTCAAAGATGGACAAAATGTATTGGATTAAAAGCAATAGAGCTAATATATGTAAAGCTGTGCCTTTCTCGCACTCCTGGATGTCCTTAGCACAGCGGAAATCAAGGCCTGGAATTCAGGTATACTCCGTGCAATGTATGTATGTACTCTGTTCTGGGATTGGAAACTAGCTCAAACCGCGTAAACCTAACCGACCTGACCCTCGATTAGGTAATATCTCGCCTTGGCATTGACCAACAGCAAAAAGTTCAATCTTCGTGAATAGTGCTGACAAAGTAAAATACTCCGCGAGCCGAAGTCAATAGGAAATAGAAAAGAAAAAGTGAAAATGAGAAGAAGAGCGTGAGCGGAGCTGATTGGTTGCGGGCTTCTTCTTCCTCTCATGCGATCAACGGGCTGCCTGAAGTTCGTTGGCTGATAGTTCCTGCGCACTCATGCGGCTGACAGGTCGCCGATCGATCAACATCTCGACCCGTTGCATTCCTCTCGTGATTTAGGTTGAATTGCTAACAGTCTGTGTTCGTTTGACGATGCTCTCTCATAAGGGGACGAGGCTTTTTGGCGTGGTCGCCTTCTTTGCCATCTTCCTTTTGATCCTGTCCAGCACGCCCTCAACCCAGCTGCGGGAAGTAAAGGAGAAGGCGGGCGCCTACGTCGAGAAAGTCCCAAGACCAAGCCTCCCAAATATACCGAAATTCCCGAAGCTTCCAAGTCTTCCAGACCTTCCAGACCTCAATAACCTCCGTTTATCCTTCAGTCCTCCTACCCACAAGCCTCCAGAACAGACGAACAGCACCAGCGGGGAGTCGAAGTGGTTCAGTGACTGGAAATGGCTGAATCCATTTTCATCTCTCGTAACTTTGGACGAAAACCGCTCTGTCCTCCCGCCATTGACCTCTAGGCGGCCAGTATTCACTTACTACAATACCAAGAGCAGGAAGCAGAAAGGTGAAGCTGAGGCGGATAGACAGCTACTTCTGACCTGGCGCCGCGCGTGGTGGGCGAAAGGATTTCATCCTATCGTGCTGGGACCGTCGGAGGCAATGAACAACCCTAGATATCAAGCGGTCAAGGCGAAGGAGTTGGGTCCGGAACTTGAGGAAGATTTTATGAAATGGCTCGCATGGGGGAGTATTGATACCGGTATTCTTGTGGATTGGAGATGTTTCCCCATGGCCGAATACGATGACAGCTTATTTGCCTCTCTTCGAAGAGGAACTGCTCCGGAGTACATTACTCGATTAGAGAATTTGGGCACGTGCCTATTTTCAGGCGAACGGGGTCGTGTAAACGATGCTATAGAAGCTGCGCTGGAAAGGAAAAATTTGAAGGATGCGACTGATATGATTGATGTGGTGCCGGATACGCTCTTCAGGGTCGAGAAGTCGACCAGCCTTGCTTACTATGAGCCTGGCCTTGTTGCCCGTCGGTACTCCCCCATTTCGGAGAAGATCAATGAGAACCCGGCGGTTGGCAAACTTGCTTTGGTCGATCTAATCAACCTACACCTACAAACCACATTCCAAAATACATTCGACTCGGGAATCTCAGTCATGAAGCCGTTTCCTGAAATAACATCGGTTCTCGTGAACCCGGCTGTCAAGCTGGCCGGCTTGCTTACTCAGTGCGCACCCTCCATAATCCAAGTGACTTGTCCACCCAATAATCTGGCGTGTACCCCTTGCGCAAAAAATGCATTAAAAATATTGCAACCTAGCGGCTACATTAACAACTCCGCAGTCTATACCATCGGCGTCCTCCCTCATCCCTATACATTGCTAAGTCTACATAGGGGCTCCGATAATATCACTGTCTCTTACATCCGTCGCGAGACTGACCGTGACACGTGGCTCATAGAGGCTACGAAAATGCTTCTTGGTACAAGCGTTGACGGCTACTCCCGTGTGGTTCCGTTCAAAAGCATCGTTGCAGGGCGTCATGGAATTTCCCGAAGCCTGTGGTTTACTGTGGAGTCATTCCCCGCCAACTCCAAGGAAAGCACGCTACCATCAGAAACCATTGATGATCTAGACTGGCATTTCGGCTTTCGTATCCCGCGGGAGACACCGCGTGAAAAAGACAGCCCGCAGAAAACTCTCATGGAGGATTTCCCCGGGGGTGATGAGATAAAGATCAAGACGGAGTTTGATTTGATTGGGAAAGCAAGACGGGTTTTGAAGAGCTCTAAGAAAGAGGACAAAATGATTAGGAGTGTTTCGGAGGCGTGGAACCTGGCGGACACGGAGGTTTGGCGGTTTGTCCGCGCTTTTAGGTATGTATTGTATTGACTCCGCCATCTTCACCCCCTATGTTCAGCCCTAGGTTTCATATATATATATATATATTTGTTCATCTTCTCTGCATACTTATTAATTTTCGTTTACAGAGCTAGAAGCGTCGTCGAGAGGAAAAAGTGGGAGGAGGAAGAGAAGTGGTTTGCGGGATCATAGCCGAAAGAAATATCTACGTATGCGACACATTTACCAACGATCTACTTCCTATTATATATATTCCTCTTTCGACAATAATGTGTATTTGTTTTGACTTTATATTTATCTCTTGTATTTATATATGCTTGGTTTCTTCGTCTTGGGCCTTGGGCCCCCTTCCCGACGATGTATATTCAAATTTTTTGTACTTAATATAGAATTTTGGATAGAATTCAAGCCTATGCGATGAGCGCGAGCTTGTGGCTCCAGGAATGGCAAGCAGGTTTATGTCTATTTCCCTTTCGTTTATATTAGCTGGCGGTCTGCCGCCGGCCGGCCGGCTTTCGGCTCTTTGAGACGCTTTTCCGCTAGCTACCCGATCCTCTTTGCTTTTTCTTTCTTCTTTTCCTCATCTTTCCATTGCTAGCTTGATTGCAGGCTGTTGGCTGACACCATTCTCTGCTTTGGTTAACCCTGATCAGTTGGGGGAAGGTTGGGTTCGTAATTTTTTACCCGCCGCTAACATCGAAAGAGCAAAGGTAAATTCTTTTCTCTCCTCCCACTCCCCCTGCAATGTTGACGTGACGTCATTTTAGTCTTTCCATCTGCGGGTAATCACGTGGCCCGGAGCCGGCCTTCAGCAGCCGCTATGTTCATTTCCCCGGACTGTGGCGATCCCCGCCTGGGTAAGTTAAGTTACCTGGCGCAGGTTAGTCGGCTGGCGGCTTGTCTTATTAAGAGCAGCACTGCACTGTAATTATCGAGTCCCACTTACGCGGGGTAACTTCTGCGGGGGAATGTAGAAGAATTTTCAAACACAATATGTAGAATATTTGCAAAAATACTGCTTACTTGTTTTTCTGAATAACTACTGAAATGAAGTAGTCTGTGAGGGTTTTATTTGCATTGTTCATTTTTCATTTTTCATGATTCTGAATACATTGCAGCATCTGATTCATAATATTGATCAGTCTGCTCATTTCTAAAAGTGCATGAGTATGAGTCTAACTGAGTATCTAATCTGTAAACAAACATAAACACTATTGAATTTTCTGAGACATCTACAAAGAGTTCAATTACAGTCACTGTCTCTCAGCTAGAGTCTTATAAAAAAAATTTAACTACTTACTATATTGCTAACAAACACTCAAATTGAGCATTATATCCTCATGTGTGGCGGGCTGCGCCCGATCAATCATATAGACTATTCCGTTACACTCCACAGATTTCAATCACTTCATTCTCAAATGCATACACTCCGATTCTCAGCCATTCTTGATCGCCGATCCTCGGCCGCTATGAACGCGCATATATTCTCCCGCCCTGAAGCTCCACTGCATACACCATCACATACGCGTATAAATATCCATCTCAATCACTGATTCTCACACTTTCTCTTTCTTTTCTTCTCTAATGTTTTTATCTTTGTTATATAAGATCTATCAATATTATACTGATCTATTCAGTGTAGGCCTCTTACACTATAAAAACATTCATCATCTTCTTATTAGAAAATAATTATTCATGCATTATCTTCTTATCAGAAACAATTATTCATCAAGAGATATCTGAACATATAATAATATGTAAGAAATAGAGAAACAGTTAAGTAGACACTGAGTTCTCAGATAGAAGCTGCTTATCAATTATTCTGACCTCATAATAAGATTCTATAAAGAGAATATCAGTGAAAGACTTAAGAGTTCTGATACTCAGATATATGAGATATTCATATAATTATACTTCTTTAAATTTCACAGATATTACATATTTAATAAACAATATAATCATGTCTAACAATAATATAGAAGAACTCTTAAACATAAGTATAGACACAGTACTACAGTGACTCTAAGTAATGTTAAAACTACAATAATAATAAATAGCTGATATATATGTAACTCAATAACATCAATATAAAGAGATTCAATGACTAACTCATATAATTTTAATATCTACAGAATCAAATACAAAAGTACTGAAAGAATACTTAGATACTCTTATATATTTCAATACTTTCAATCTCACTCTCTACTCATTATAAAGAATGAAAATGCTTATGAAACTGAGTATAGATAAAGATATCATCAGTTTATTAATCAATTAAGATTAATATATTAATGAATGATTAAAAGATCATATGAAACAGAAGTTCTATTCATGAATAAAAGTATATAAATCAGTGTTATGAATATCTGATAATATTATGAAATATCTTGATATTCTGTTCTAAGACACTGTTATATAATAGAAAGTATTAAATTAATTATAGAGTATCTGACAGAGAAACATTTCTCTTATAACATTTATCTCTGACTTCAATATCAAGATTCTAGAAGTAGATAATCAATCTTGAAAGAATTAAATGAAGATTAGTATACTTAAGAAGATATTAACTTTCAAACTCTTATAAGTTCTTATAAGTATAGATAAAGATCAGACTTATAAAGACTTCTACACATAGCTCTGAACAATGAATAACTGTCTTACTAAGCTTAAGAATATATAGAACAGTAATAGAAGATGTTATATCTCAGTAACTTATACACTCATACTGAGAAATAATAATGATACAGATGCTATGAATTAAGTAGACTTAAATATCTATATATAAGCAAGAATCTCTGCTATCTGAACAGACTTCTGAGTCTCTGAAATCACTTCTGAAGAAGTCACTAATTAATATCAATATAAAGTGTACATCAACTGTAACTGATCAGAATACATTACTTTCAACTATTAATCAATCTATATATCTTCATACTTAAGAGAAAGATCAGCATCTTCTCATTTAAAGAATAAATCAGCATCTGTTCATATTAATCACATTATATTAGAGAAAGATTTAGAAGATAACTATGAAAATATCTCAGTGAAATAGAAAAAAGATTAGCTTCTATTCAAATTTATAAACAGAAGCTTGAAGAGATCAGATAATAATAATTTAAAAAGAAAATAATAATGAATGTGATTCTTATATCTACTATGATTGATAATATATATAATATAAAAACTATGATAGACAGCAGTCTATATTACTATATAATAATAAAATCTTCAGTTGTAAGATATTATAATCTTCAGTGTATTTCTTTATTAAAATCTCAACTTCTCACAGAATTTAATAATTCAAAAGATATTTATACTCATTATATAATGAAGCTGACTATAGATGTGAGAGAATATCAATATAAAGATATCTATGTATATAAAGTTAATAATCTTAATTATAATCTTATATTAGAACTTATCTGACTATCTGAACAAGACATCTTATTAAATACTTAAAACAGAAGCTTGATATTCTCTAATAATAATAGAATTCATGAAGATAACATTTATAAAACTATTAATCTGATACAGATCTCTATTAATATCTATAAAATACTTAGAAAAAGAAGTTGCTGAAAGAATCACTGATAGTAAAACTATATATCAATCTATTTCATTAGTCTGACTGATATTAAAAAGACTCTAGAAAAATTATCTTATATTATAATAATAGATTCTTATATGAAACTCTCTTAATAATATCATAAATATCTAGATATCTTTTAATAAAATAATATTATAAACATATCTCTCTTATAAGATTTCAGAGTGAATCACAGTATCAAGTTAGAGAAAAAGAATAATAAGAATTTCAAACTGTTATAAGACTCTCTTTATAATATATTCTGAGATGAACTTCTTCTTCTTTGAAAGACACTCAATAATTTATTGAATAAAGAATTTATATATATTAGCAACTCTTCTGTTGCAGCCTCTATTCTCTTTATAAAGAAATCAGATAAAGAACTCTGATTCTGTGTAAACTATCAAGATTTGAACAGATTGATAAAGAAAGATCAATATCTCTTATCTCTTATCAATGAAATTCTAGCACAGATCAGATGAGCTCAATGATTTATAAAACTAGATATTATTACTATATTTTATAAGATTTGTATCACTGAAGAAGATAAATGACTTACAGTATTTTAAACATATTATAGTCTCTTTAAATAAATAGTCACACTTTTTAAACTGACTAACACTCTCAGTATATTTCAGAAGTATATTAACTGAGTACTCTGAGATTTTCTTAATAAGTTTATATCTGCTTATTTAGATAATATTCTCATCTTCACTAATGAATTCAGAAAAGAATATCAAGAGTATGTATAAAAGATATTACAACAGCTATAAGAAGCAGAACTACTGATAGATATTAATAAGTATAATTTTAAAGTTAAGAGTATTAAGTATCTGAGTTTTATTATAGAAGCTGATAAGAGAATTTGAATAAATTCTGAGAAAGTCTCTATTATTCTTGAATAAGAAGCTTTATATACTGTGAAAAATATATAAAGCTTCATCAGATTTGCTAACTTCTATTAATAATTTATATAAAACTTCTCAGATATTATGAGATCACTTATAAATCTCACTAAGAAAGACTTAGTATTTTAATAATCAGTGAATGCTGAAGCTGTATTTATATAGATAAAGAAGATATTCATTAATACTTCTCTACTGATAATATTTAATTCTGATTGTAAGATAGTTATTAAAGCTGATTTCTCTGACTATATAATAGAAGAAGTAATATTATAATATAATAATAAAAGTGTTCTATAATTATATATCTTTATATCTAAGAAACTGAGTCTTACTGAATACAATTATAAGATCTATAATAAGAAACTTCTTATAATTATACACTGTTTAGAAGAATAAGACTCTGAACTTTAAAGTATCTCTGAATTTAAGATAGTCATAGATTATAAGAATCTCAAATACTTTATAACTATTTATAAACTCACTGAATAATAAATATAATAATCTGAGTTCTTAAGTTACTTTTATTTTATAATATACTATTATTCTGATAGTCAGAACTCAATGATAGATACTCTCTTATAATAAGAGCAAGATATATTATCTGATATAACAGATACTCACTGAATGAACTGAGAGTATCAGCTCTTAAATCTGAAGATACTAGTTAATTAAGATAAAACAGTTTATAACACTATACATACTTCTTTAGTTAAAACTATCATTGATATCTTCACTTTCTTTATACTAAATAAACTGTGATATACAGCAGCTCAGATGAATGAACTTCTTCAGACTTTTATTAAAACAGTATATTAAAAAGTACTCTGATTTCTCTCAGAACTATATATAAGAACTGATATCTCAGAATATTTAATTAATAATAATAATACTCTATAATTCTGTGAATAATACTGAGTCTCTCACTCTGAATTCTTACACACTCAGATAATGCAAGAGATGTATAATTTGTATATAGCTAATTATTCAGGCTGTGAATAACTGTATAGAATAATCTCTCAAGAGTTCTACTAATCTAAGATATTAAACAGTATCAGATACTTTATCTGAAACTACAATCACTGTTCTTCTATTATCTTATAAAAGAACTGTAGAAAAGATTTATTATGTAAGAGGCCTACACTGAATAGATCAGTATAATATTAATAGATCTTATATAGACTGACCGTGTGACCGTGTCTGAGACCAGGACCAGATTTTTTGATAGTCTCATTATCAATTTGACTGATCTCATTACACGGTTTTAACATTAGATAGTAGTCTCATACTATCTCAGTGAGACTTACTGTCTACTCTTGTCACATTTTTCAAATGAGACCATGATTTCCACTTCTCAATTTAAATTATTTTTATTGCTTTAAATGACTTTAAATCTCATTTGAGCATTACCAAAAAGTGTTACTTTTTAAAAAATTAAAAATAGTCTAAAAAAAACCTTAAAATGTCTAAAAATAGTAACTTTATGCCAAGAATGAGACTAAATGAGACCAAATGAGACCACTTTCTCATTTTTTTCAAGTCATGATTCCATTTTAAGATCTGATATATAGTCACTTTACATGTTTTTTTAATAGCCAGTCCCAGCGGGATTCACGCCAAGAAATGTATGGAACCAGACCAAATGAGATCAAATGTGAAATTCATAGTCCCGGCGGCCAGTCTAGTCTTATATAACAAAGATAAAAACATTAGAGAAGAAAGAAAAGAGAAAGTGCAAGAATCAGTGATCAAGGTGAATATTTATACATGTATATGATAGTGTACGTGGTGAAGCTTCAGAGTGGGAGAATATACACGCATTTGTAGCAGCTGAGAATCAGTGATTGAGAATGACTGA